GCAACCTTACATACTTTAGTTGTTTGACCAGACTATACACTGTTAACAATGTTTGTTGATATTGATAATTTCTCAAACAATGCATTGTTGCAGGACAAATCTATAACACAAATTCTGTTGTGTAAGGGTCATTAATATTGTATTATAAGTATGCATTCTTGATCTGATCTAACAGACACTCAGACAGGGGCAGCAAAATCAATTGTCTATATTGCCCAGGTTAATTTGCACAGTCTATATGGATTATGGACACAGGTGAAATTTTCGCAGCATCCCATAGTCTATATGGACAGGTGAATTTTGTTTTAGAATATATTAAATAACATTATACATGAGACAAGCAAAGAAATACTATAATATATAAATTGGACAAGTAAGTCAAAATCAGATTATTTTTACCTGAACAGGTAATTGTGCTGTTGAAGTATATTATTAAGGTTCATGTTATATGTATTACTCAGTAAAACAATCCCACCTAGAGTTATCTGTCTTGGATAGTGATTTGTATCCATGACCTCACATACAATCACTTGTGAATATTTTTAATTTTTTTAAACCAAACATATGCAGATGGGGATATAATTTCCCACTTTCTTTTGAATATTCAAACTAAAAAAATACCTCTGATATGATTTTGAGATGACTACACATTATTTATTATGAGGTCATACCAATATTGTTCAATTTAATAAGATTTGTCAAAAAATTGATTGCAGCTTAATTAAGGGAGAAATGTATTTTGTTCCCAATTAAAAAATTCAAGATAGAGATGCATATGTTAGTGTTCATCCGTGCTGTTCTACAGAAATTAGAAACTTCGATGGGAGCATTAGTGACCGGAAAATGTTAAAAAAAAAAAATTCTGTAGAACAGCTACGTATGAATACTAACATACTTAGTGTCAAGCTTTTTCTGGCTTCATAATATTTACCTTCTTATGTCACGACTATTTTATGAACACGGTTCTATGACATACTCTGAAAAATAGAAGGCTACTATGAATCGAATTTGATATAGCATCGACTTTTGTTCTTCTATGGAATTAACAAACAGGATTTTTAAGAAATACAGAGATTTCATTGGATGACAAAATAAAGCTGGACACTAAGTATATATAGCAGTTACATGACCTTTTAACAAGTCCTAAAGGCCAGAATTTATTAAAAGTTACAATTTAGAAGTTCATATTAATTGCCATTAAAGTTATTTTTATTACAAAAACCATGAATTTTAATATAGCTTCAAATATGGTACATTTTATAGGATGAAATGTGAAAATAAAACACAGTCATGAAATTTCTTTATTAGTCACCATGAAATTTAATGCACATGATATTTGTGTATATTTTCAGTATGTGACACATGTATGCAGTGCACTTAATTGCATTAGTAATGAAGAAAATATTTAAGTGCGGGGAGGGGGTGCAATGTAATTAATCTCTTATCCCCAAAAAATAAGATACATTTTACATTACCAATTTGCAACTGGATACATGTGGTAATTAAGAATGGTGTTATAGTTGATTATCACTGGGTGTGTGATGGACAAGAACATGTTGCTTTAATAGGTGTTTTAACCCTAAGTACCTTGGGTATATAGTAAAATCTTACCAGTTTGTGAGTGGGTAAATTTTGTAAATCTAGTTGGTTCATTTGTTTAAAATACAAGACCATTTACTTATTTCTTATGAAAATCAAATCAAGTTTTTCTTGATTGATTGTTGGTCTTTTAAATATTGGTAATGTGCAAAATAAAAATGAGAAATCAGAATAGAGACTTTTAATTATCAAGGAGTGATCACAAAGCTGTAAGTCCTTCTTTATTTCATATAAGTTGCAACAGTTTTGCAGTCAACCCTCGTAATGGGTTTTATTATAGAAATGTATTAGGGCTGTGCATTGCCATTTTTTTCTGTCACGATACATATCACGATACTTGCACTTCCAAACGATGCGATTCACGATATGTATTGCATACTTTGAAAACAATGCGATGCATATTGCGATTCTTATGTTTCGATGCAATACGCATCACAGTAATGACTTTTAGACTTTATCTATATAAAAAACTTGGTCATTTGTTCACAGCATAATTACGAATGTAATATAAAACTATTACAATAACAAAACAATACACTCTTCAACTTGTTATAATAACTTATTTTCAAGTTTTGATCTTTCAACAATTTACATTACTTATTACTTAAGGACTTTTACTTAAGGATTAAAGGTATTTTTCATTATACCATAACTATTAGTGTATTGCCATACTTTCCCGCTATATCAATGCATCGGGTGATGAAATATGCATTGCATCCTGATATATTGGAATTTATAAATTCATTACGATGCATACATCGAGGACAGGGCAGATCGCGATGTATCGATGCATCGATGAATCGTTACACCTCTAAAATGTATCATCTTTATTTTTGCGACAGTCATTTCCACAAATGTGGCAGTATTTTCATCTGTTTTGTTTTGAAGTTAATGTTAATTTTAAAGCATATTTTGGATATGTGTTTTTTAAAACACAGTAACTGTAAAACTTTATCACCCACAAATTTTAGTGACTGTACAACAGTTGTCCTTAGGGCAGTTTATATGAGACTGCATCATTATTATGTTTGTATCTTTGTTGTGATCTGGAGATGGTCTAGTAACTGTCACGCTGTGTAGTTTAATTCACCAGAGCCCACTGTACCAGTCTGTGCTCTCTGTTTTACTTATATACTTATATGTTTTATATCTGCCTACCCTCGTTTAAACCTCGTTACACGGGTGTTTTAATGAATGTATAAGATATGGTTTGTGATGTGAAAAAAATATATATTGAAAAATATAAAATGTGGTATACCATACTATGAAAGACATTATGTAAAGTTAGTTTTGTAAATGTAGTAAATATCTTGTGAAATATGCATGAAATATAAGAAAAAATATTTTCATAGAATTCTATGAGCTGTAAAAGGAATATTGTGTTAAATCAAATGATGATCCACAGTATTAACATGGAGAATGGAATTATTCAGTTCAAATAGTTGATGAATTAATTTTAAATATTGGAATGAATCATTTGTATTGGGATATCAAGTAAGATATTGGATAAATCATTTGTTATATTGGTTTAATCAACCATTATATTGGATAAATCAATTGTTATATTGGGTAAATCATTTGTAGTATCAAATAAATCAATTGTCATATTAGATGAATCAGTTCTAATATTGGATTGATTAATTGAAGTAACCCCTGAGATGAATCACTTGGAGTATTGATTTAATTGAGTAGATGTTACAATTTTGATGGAAAAAGGTGGAATGATATATAAGTAATATTAGTCATGAAATGAGTAAAGAATTTGATAAGTAACATGCAATATGAGATAAATTGAATGTAAGGAAGGAAATGTGAAAAGGAAAGTTTTGCACATTATTATGATAAAATATGCAACACAATATGGTTATAATGATTTCCTGCCTGTGTTTGAATGTTTAAAGACAAAATTAATATGCTGCTAATCTTACAGGAAATATTGTAGCTATATATAATTTAAAATACAATATTGGCAAGGTTCAGGCACTAACTTAGCAGGGCTTCCATTTGTGGAAAATTTGGGATTCATTTACTCCTGATTATAGTCTAACTATTGTTTGACTCTAGTCAGTACACTGCACATGTCCAGTTTCCATGATCCCATCCTGAGTGAGACCGCACATACAGTTCGGGTTTGACTAGAGAAAAATTATGATATCACTGTAGTCTAACCATTGTAAGATTTCACATTGTCTAGTCAAAGTAATAGCAACCCCATTATAATCTCATGTCTGGCTGTAATTCTTTAAGATAAGATTTTAATTATTCTCTTTTCTGGCCTTATTCTGCCCGTTAAAGATTACTGGTATTCAAGAACCTGTGCTGGTTAAAAATACAAATCCCCTTCAGAATAAGTTATTTATTAACTATTATTATTATTATTATTATTTGTTAAAATTCTTACTGCACAGGTTTGGAAAAGACTGGGTTTAAATCCCTTAAAATTTCAAGTAATTGTGACGCTGTTTTACATTTTGGTCCTGACCTAATTTATTCATATGATCCGTATTTGTGGGTAAATTTTTTTTTAAATCTTTTACTAACCTACTTTAATTTCATTTTAAATCATTCTTACCACAGTTTTTTTCTCTGTTGAACTTTTAACCAAGATATATTTTTTATGTCATGCTGAGTGTGTTAAGGCGAATAAAATTTTAAGGCCATGAAATAAAACTTGTTAGTTTCTGATTTGGTTTGTGTCATTTAAGAAAAAAATAGTAGCATAAATGGTAAGAGAAAGAGATCTAAAAAGCTCATAAACAAATGTGAAGGACTGTAAAAGTGGATTGGTAACACAGAGAAAGAGAGATATATGTGATTATGTGAGACACAAATATAACCTCTTTTATGCCAGTTGTGGGAAAAAATCTTTCAGCATTGATTTGATGACAGAAATGTTTAGAATCTTTATTGATCTTTTCCTGTAACAGTTTGTAACAGTTTCTTTATTGTAGACTTTATCTTTATTACAAAACATTGTCTCCTCCTCTGATTAGGTATACAGAAAGATAAAAGATACTTGATTAAATATCAATGGTCTTTCTTTTGGTATTATTACAATTAAGACTGTGGTCTCTTTAAACTTGATCAAGTTATTTAACACAAAGATTGTTAAAATAGAGTATCAAAAATGTTGCACTCTAATTGACAGGTTCTTTTTTCTTCCAAGTGGAATCTGGTAGCAATGGTGGGTCTGTATTGATAAGAAATTCTTCCGTATTTGTCTGTTATTTATCATATTTAACCTCTCTATTTGTAAGATATATTTAAAGAAATATCAAACATTTTATCAGTTATCATTCATCATTTTGAGGTCAATTTTTAAACATTAAAAAAAAGGAGAAGAAATTGGCAAAAATTGTAAATTAAATGAAAAAGATGGATTGTGTGATATTTTTTTTTAGGCAGTTTGAAAATTTCAACAATTTACATACTTATACGACCATAAAACTGTTTAGTTTGTTCAAAACATTGTGATTGATAGATGAAGGATAAAGTCGTAAAAAAAGAATGAAAATAGAGAAGTCGACAAACAAGATGTATTCACAACTGTGACGAACATTATTCATTATGCAAATTATGTTAAAAGCTTAAATATAAATCAGGGAAAAAAAACCTGTTTTTACAATTTTGACAAGGATGGAAATTTAAATATGAGTCAAAACAAGGAAAGTGTTAATTCTAGTTCACCACTGACAAGAAAAATAGGTGTTGGATTAACGAGGACAAATTTAAGTCCTGGTTCAAGAGATGTCTCACAAAGATCACCGAGGGATAGACCACTTCTGACGCCAAGTCGATTGATAATTTCTGGGTCATCCCTAGGAACCAGTCGGACTAATTCTGATAGCTATGCAAGTGGATACAATAGACTTGGAGGACTGAAAAACATCAGTGCACCAAATGTTAGTTCTAACATTCTTGGAAGTTCTTCTTTGAATAGACCTTTAAGAAAGTTGGATATTGATAAAGTACAGGAACCATCGCTGAGGAAAAATTTATCAGCAACAAATACTGAGGAACTGTTAAAAAATGACCAAGTATTATCTGGAGTAAACGTTCAGAGGTCACAGTCTGCTAATAGAGGCTACTTTAGCCCCAGTAGGTTTTCACAAACAGATAGAACTGTTGGCTTAGCAGCATATAAGCCTACAAAACAGGATGAAATAATTCATGATGTATCTGAGACTACTTCAACAAAAATAGAAAATTATGACCTTGACCTTGAGCAAGATGAGGAAGATGCTATTGTAGAGGTCAAGGACAGTGTGGATGGTGCTGAAAAGCTCTGTGTGGAAGTAACCTCTCCAAGTTCACCTAGCAAAGATTCAGGCTACAATTCACCAAGAACTAACCCAAATATGGAATCATTTAATTCATCTGTTTTAGGGTCAAGGTCACCTATCAAATCTTATACAGTTGGGAGTGAATCACCATTTGATTTCCAGTCTAGCTTAAACAACTCTTCGTATAAACCAGAAAGGCCAGTAAGGTCAAAACATAGTGCTAAGAAAAAGAGTATAGATCAACCAGTTCTGAGTCCAAGAAATATTGACCAATCAGAGCATTTGTCTCAAAGTATTGACAAATCTGTAACATTGTCTCAAACATCTTCTACACAATCTCCATGGCAACATGGAAACAACACTATCCAGTATGATACCAATTTAACTGACATGGTTAAAAATAAAGAAATAAAGTCAGAATATAACCTTTCAAGGAAAAATCAACCAGAGGATTCTGTGTCAGAAGATATAGATCAAAGGTCAAGGTCACATTTTGTTGAAAAATCAGAGTCACAAGGTGAGGTGGATGAAGAAAACACACCAGTTGCTAAACCAAGAGTTCATAGAAGGCGTACAAGAAGGTCTATAAGCTTCAGACATTTGGTAAGAAATGTTCTATGATATCTTACACTGGGGGTCACATCTGGTGGAATAAGGATCTTAAATACATGTATACTTTTGTTGCAAGTTTTTTCCATTGATGAGAGTCACTATGTATTATTTCTTTTCTTTTTCCCCTTTAGTCAGAAAGAAAGATGCCATGGATGCCAACAAGATGGAAATAGACCAGTATGCACAGATTGTCATCTGAGTGCAGTAATGGGTTAACTTTTAGTAAATTTAATAGAAGTTGACCTGTTATTGCACTAAGGTGACAAATATTATAGGCAGTTTTTGAAATGTTGATATCAGAACCCCTCACATTAACAATTAATTAATAAACAGTTCCAAACTTAAACCAGGTCATGTTAAACAGTAAATTTAGCATGGTTTGAGTAACATAAAAGTCATATTGTTTTTAGATTATGTTAAACTAAATAGAATAAAATGCACAAGTGATATTTATTACACCAGCTTAACTATATCACATTACTGTCAAGTAATTATGATAAGATTTCCTTAACATGAAACATATTTCTCTATTGTTACACTGTTATCACATTACTACAGTAACACTGTGCAATATAATTAACTGTGCATTCTACAATGTATATTGTATTTGGTAAATACATAGTAGATGAAAAGAATGTAGGACAAAAGCCCTCCCGTCCAAAAATGGCAAAGAGGACAAAAGTCTGCCTGTGAAAAAGACAGGGCAGACAAAATACCTCCTGTGAAAATGACAGGGCAGTCAAAATCCCTCCTGTGAAAATGACAGTGGAGGGTAGTGGGGAACAAAAGCCCTGCCATTAAAATGACAAGGTGGACAAAAGCCCTCCTGTAAAAAATTGACAGGACGAAAACAAAATATATAGTTCCAGAACTAAAGCCTAGCTTTGAATTCACCTAAACACTATTGATTTCATCTTTGTTTGTTTTGTATGGTAGTAATCTCATCATATTCTCATGTAAAAATATGCACTGATATAAATAAATAAAGGACAATAAATTAAAGACACATATAAAAGAAAGTTGGTCATAAATGAAGTGTATGCTTGCCTATAAATTCTTGGTGCCAGACTAACTACACCAGTCCTGCAGACTTCCTTCACATTCATGGTGAAGAAAGAAGTACCTATTCAATCATTCACGACAAGAAAAACATATGACATAACATTTAAGATAAGACATGTAAGAAGATAAATATGTGATTTATAAAAATAAACAGAAACTCCTTGAAAAAGAGGGGTTCAACCCCTCCAAACGTTGGAGATAGAAAAGTTTGTGTAGTAGATAATTATATAAGAAAAAACTTGAAATAAAGGAATGTGGCATCTTCAATTGTTTTTAATACTGTTTCATTCTAAAAAGAAAAGAGCCATGGACTTAATTCATTGTTAAACTGTATGATATAGATCATCATTCTCATCATCAGATTTTTTGCTATCACTCAGTCTTGCCTGGAAGTCAAATGTCATAAATATGACAAGTATAGCCTGTGAATCATAAGAGGAAGATGTTAATCAGCCAACATATGAAAATACTATCACATGTTTACAAAACAGTAAGCCACACCTTCTTTGAACCAAATAAAATAAAATGTCAATTTCCCTTATATAAAAATTTCGCAAACTAAACATCAAATACGAATAAAAACTTCACCTGAGGCTTTGATACCTTTTAACAGTTATTCGTTACAGCTTCATTTTATTACCGGTTTACTGGACCGAATAGGGATGTTAATATTAACTTTCTATTTATATATACTTCAATAGTCAGTAATTGAAACTTCAGTCAACTTGAAAGCAATTTAACTCAACTAGAAAGTTTCATTATATTTCCTAGTTCATATGGTTATAAATACTTTATTAACCCTTTCCCCCATGAGCATATTGTGAAAAATGGCCTTTTTCACTGAAAAGCCTCCTGTTACAAGTTCAAACTGCTATGAAACTATGAAAAATGCTTCAATACTAATCAAACTTGGCACAAATGTTGACTGGACCATTGCCTTTGTAACGACATGCTCAGTCTTAAAATTCCTGTTACCATGGCAACGAGGGGACATCTCAAAATTGCCAAAAATCACTATTTTGCCTCGATTTTTTCCATCAAAATTTATTTCAAAGTGCTGCAACTTCTCAAGGGATTGAGATAGAGTCAAAGGCTTTTCAGCGTTGGTTACACGCTACATTATGATCGACCTGGGGTCATTTTTAGCCTCTCACAAGTCCAAAATTTCCTTGGCGATGAGGGGGACTCTGCCCCCCTTCAAACCCCCCTAACAGAAGGGGGCACATCCCCCTTCTGGCAACCCCCTGATGTATCTTTTGGATGGGGGGCAGCGCCGAAAAAGTGCTCATTTTTTTCAGCAACATTTCTCAAACGAAAACATGTGTTGGGGGCCCAAATAGGACATTTTTTCACTATTTGAGGCCTAAAAAAGGGGGGGGGGTCGAAAATGCGTTGTTTCGCGTATATATGTGGTAAAGGGTTAATGTATATTAAGTTATTCTTGGGACTGGAGATGAAATTATCATTACAAAATTTTAAATGTGTTTGTCATTAAATTGCCTTATATGGGAGATTCATAAGTACTTAGAGAGATACAAAGACAATAGAGTATATGAACAGAAAAAAGGTGAAGCTATTGTTATTACCCTTCTGTTGGTGTTGGTGTCATCATTGGTAAACCTTTCTGTAAAAGTCCATTTCCTCAGAAACAGTAAAAGCTATTCACTTCAAACTTGGTACACATGTTTATTGTCAAAAAAGTCACTGTTCCAAAAAGGCAGATAATCCTATTGTTATTTTGTGCAAAGTTGTGGCCCTTTTGTATATTGCTTTTATTTAACTATCAAAAAGCACTGAGAAAATTGAAGCATGCTGTCCATGGACAGATCATGTTTTGTTACTGATAGATAAAGTACAATGTATGTAAGAAAAACTGGATAGAGAAGAAGTATGGTTTATAGGGTAGTGAGTGAAGTTATGGGAAAGGAGAAGGTAATCTGTAAAAAGATTTAGGTCTAGAATTAAATATTGAATGCTAAAATATTGAAGGAATTTGGAAAATAGTCTAGAATTAAATAATGAATGCAGCAAGGTTCTAGAATTGGATACTGAATATTAAGCATTTAATATTGAATGCAAATGTCCTAGAAATAAATAGTGAATGCTAAGGTTGTAGAATAAATGCTCTAGAATTGAATAGTGATTGCTAAGGTATATCTAAGGTTCTAGAATTGATAAGTGAATGCTACAAGCTTCTATAATTGAGGTTCTAGAATTGAATTTTGATTTCCAGAGGTTTTAGAATTGAATTATAACTGGTAAGGTTCTAAAATTGGGATTCTAAAATTGAATTAGAGAATTTAGAGGTCTTACAACTAAATTGTTCTTTAATTTAGATTCTAGAATTGAATAGTAATTGTTTAGGTTCTAGAATTGAATAGTGAATGTTCCAATTCTAGAATATGATAGTGAATGTTTAGGTTCGACAATTGAATAGTTAATATTCAGGTTTTAGAATTGAGTAGTGAATGTTCAGGTTCTAGAATTGAATAAAGAATGTTCAGGTTCTAGAATTGAATAGACAATGTTTAGGTTCTAGAATTGAATAGAGAATGTTTAGGTTCTAGAATTGAATTAGAGAATGTCTAGATTCTAGAATTGAATAGTGAATGTTTAGGTTCTAGAATTGAATAGTGAATGCAAAGGGTCTAGAACTGAATAGTGTAAGCTAATGGTCTACAATTGAATAGTGTAAGCTAAGCGTCTAGAATTGAATTTTAAGTGTATGCTAAGGGTCTAGAATTGAATAGTGAATGCTAAGGGGTGAATTTTGAGATAGAGAAGGGGTTCAGAAGTGATGAAAGGTAATAAATCAAGGGGTTGGATTAAAACAAAATTATGAGATGAGATATTTAATTGATTAGTAATAGAAGTGCATTACCATAATTGTAGCAAAGTGCTCTAATTATGCATCATACCCTGATCATTTATTCATAGCTGTCAAATAATGCAAGTTCAGACTGACCAGAGGTAAACACATCCAATTTGTATTGACACTTTTGACAAGCTGTTGGGGGGTGGTTTAACATTAGTGTAATGATATATGACAGTTTTTGATGAATATTCCGACATGATTTTAATATCTTAACTAACCTTGTACAATGTTCATCAGCCTCATAGTAAGAAGGTCAGCGGGATGTTTCTTCATGCTTGAAAAGACAGTTTTATTAAATTATTCTGAAATGTGATTATTTTTTTCTTTACGTGAATCGTATCATGTAATGCTATTTGAGCCAGATTATTAAATTGAAATTGAAATAAGATATAGAAGACCTTGTTACATTAATGTATCAAAGTGTTAACCATTAATATGATATATATAGAATAGGAAGTTGTGAATTATGAAGAGTTTGCAAAATTTTGCAAAAATAGTCGATATATGAAAAACCGATTAGTATGGGATGTATAAGTAAAGGATATATAAGTTTAGGATATTAAATTAACAGTTTTGCATATTAATATTGTTGTCATCTGGACTAAGCTCTGAAGGAAAAGGAAACAAAAAATATTTATGTGCTTTGGAAATATTATATCCTGAAGGCTAAATGGTTTAATAGATATTTTATAAAATAATGTATACAAAAAAGTTTCAGGTAAGCTATTATATTTTTCTGTTTTAGAATTATGTATATTTCTCCCTTTTATGGATAGACAGAATTTATAACTTATATTGGTTTTGAAAAGTTCCGATTATAGGAGAACCAGGCTGTTGGAAAAATCACAGTCTTAAATCTCTTTTCAAAGATGTTATTAAAGGAACTCCACTTAGGTTCAAAAGCCTAAAAGCATTAAATTAGAACTACTTACATATATCAGCTTGGACATTGAATCAGAAAGATATTCAAAAGAAAATTAAGAAATATACTAAAGAAATGAATAAAAAAAATCATGTTTTTATGCTATTAGTATTGCAACGCTTTTCCATTTTGACTTGTTTTTCACGGCATAAAGTCATTTTGGGAGAATCTAGTACGCAAAATTTTAATGATCTAAAATTTTGCACACAAATTTTTGTTCTAGACCTCAATCAAATGCTTCCAAGGGATCACACTTTCAGTTTGTCCAGCTTTTAAGATATCTTTGCCAATATAATAGTGGCACAAAAGTGGCATCTAATTGGTATATCGCAGTGTACTATCTGCTGATATATGTACTATGGAATGGGACGATCATACTATGAGATTTTTTTTTAAATATTTGATAAAAATTGTACATGCCTATTTAGCAGACTGCAACCTTTATAAAGTAGCATTGTACAAACATCTTAATAAAAATATCTTGAAAATGGGTGATCTCTTGGAGTTGAAGAATATGAAAATTGCAGACTTGGTTTGATTGAGTCTGTTCATGAGACTTTTGAATGTAAAATTATAAACACCTTAATAAATAAATAAATTATTTTGTTTTACATGGCAATCAAAATATTGCTGATTGTTTCACAATGGATCACAATAAGGGTTTTATTGCTGCACACCTGTAATTTATTAAAGTTTGTATGCATGTAATTTGTCAATTAAGAAAATCTATTGAGTAAAATCTAAAAAAATATAAACATGTAAAAAATCTTTAAAAGCCAATAGATGTTGAAACTAATGAATTGCTGGTAAAAGAATAGAAAATAAGTATCATTGTCTGACACAATAGTAGGTTTAGAATTTTGCAGCAATTGATATATTTGTTTGTTTGTGTTTTATTGGTGATCAGGCGCAGTAATTGTTCCATATACAAACCGAAGTTAGTATCCTTACTGAATGTTAAAATATTATTACACAGGCTTTATTGACCTGCCCTTTAAATAGAACAGATAAAAAAAATATAGCATTATACATGTACAACAATAACTTAACAATAACTATATATTATGGCATTCAGTAATTCATTTTGAAAGAAATTGGAGTTAAGATGGTGTGTAATCATAATGTTAAGAAGACAATTTTAAACTATTTCAAATACAATTTACCAGTAGTGACTGCAATGGGAAATTTTCAAATTTTGTGTTTAATACTTCTGAGAAAAAAAAGTTAATGTCAAGAGGACTTTTATCAGAAAATTAACAATAGCAATCATTACAATTTCATATCCTAGCTTGTTTTTAAATCAATGTTTTGTCACCCATCTGGAAAGAGGTTGGGGCCTTTAACTCTTATTTGGATAATTTTTTGTGTAGTAAGAATTAATAAAATTGTTAGTTGTGAAATTAGGTAAATTGGGATAAAAACAAACCATGTCAACATCTAAAGTGAAAATTTTAACTCTTATTTGGGCAAAAATATTATTTTTTGATCTCTTTGGAAAAGGCTCTTTAACTGGCGACATTTAATGAAGGAAAAAAAGAGGACAACATGTTTAATCCAAGTTTGTATTTTCAGGAGGAGGATGATGAGTACATTGGGTTTGCGTCACTACCGGAGCAGGTACACAGGAAGGCCGTACGTAGAGGGTTTGAGTTTACACTGATGGTAGTTGGTGAAACCGGTCTTGGAAAATCAACACTGATAAACAGTCTGTTTCTGATGGACCTGTATAAAGACAGAAAAGTGGAGAATATTGAAGGTTTGAAACTCTTCTCTCAGCATAACCATGTGTGCTAATAGCTTGTTTTAACTAGAATAGAATAGAATAAGACGTACAGTGCTGAACTGGAAACTTAGTAACAGTTAAATCTGTGAGAAAAGGTCATCTGAAGCAAGGACTGAACATGGTCTTTATAGTCGAGTGGTCGTTATTTGGAGGTTGTTTTGTTCTATTTAATCAATGAAGGTTTGTTAGATAAAAGTCTTTATTCACTTAGTGATTTTTATTTGGGGTGTTCACATTTTTGACTGTACACAGCTTTTTCCCTCCAGAATATAATTATGCAAGCCTGCATCCACCCTAGCAGTCAGTCTACACTCTGTATACTGTTGGCCTACTTGCAGGTTTTTACAAATTTTTGATAATGTCACTAAATTAAGGGACTATTTTAAAATTGAAGTTGGTCAAGATCAGTCAGTTTTTCACGGGAAGCTTAACCTTCATCTGAATATTACGAATTTCAAAAGCCAATATTTGTATGGGTACAGTTCATCCACTTATTTGTTCTTTGCATAACAGTTACTGAGTTTATTAAAGAATATAAAAAAATCAAGGATAGAAACAAGCTGGACCTGGCTGTAGAAGTGTGTCTGTAATATAATGATTTTGTAATACATATCATCTAATTTTAGGACATCTGTTTTTATAAAGGTCAGCCTGAATTGGAAGCATTTAAATTTTTAACTGACTGCCATCTTCTATTCAATGTTAGTCTATGTTATGATTACTTCATGAAGTATACACTTGCCATTTATTTTGAAATATATTATATTTAGATGAGTATATATCAGAGGTCAGTTAAAAGCCATGTTGTGTAATTTTTCCTTCATTCATCTCTATAGTATTGCAAGTTGTTACAGTAGTGTTAGGACCATGTTTACTACATTCCTGTAGTTTAACAAGTTTGATAGGAATTTGTACTTCCCTTTGATGTTATTTCAAATGATAAATGCCATTAAAATAATATGAGGTTAAGTTAAAAGTTACACTGTAACTCAGTAAAGGTCATATGATGACCATTTTGCAGCTTTTCTGGTGAAGAAGACCTCAGATGCTCCTTGGTGCATTATATCACTCACATATTAGTTTCTTAGTAGAACTACTAACCTTCCATAAGCTATATGTAGCTAGATAGCTTGCCGAGTTCCTCACATGAAAGAATCCAAATTCTCTGATGGTATTTAAATCCACAACTTTGAAAAGAAAGAAATGTCAGGGACGTTAACCAGTCCACCATGGACGGGCTAGAATGTGAAAATTACTATGTTCCTATGGTATTGAATGTTTTTGTCCCTAGACCATATTGTAATATATCCTGTATTTATTTTTAGAAAGAATACAAAAAACTGTTGAACTAGAAAAGAAAGAACTTGAGATTGAAGAACGTGGAGTAAAGTTGAAACTGACTATAGTTGATACTCCTGGTTTTAATGATGCTGTCAATGCAGAAGAAAGGTGAGTGAAGTTATATGAAACTGACTATAGTGAGTAAAACATAAGTGACCTGAGCTTCAAATTTGTTGAATAAATTATTTCTGATATTATTCATGCTGACATTGCTATTGACTAAGGTCCATGCTGAATATATTTGAAAGGGTTTGGTAAACTCTGTAAACCCATAAACTACAGATCTTGTTTATTGGATTAGCCCAGATTTATATTTCAATGTTTAAGGCATTTCAATATCAATGCTTAAAAGTCAGTTAGCAACTGTATAGAGCCTGATCAGACGGCTGGCCGGACTCTATACTGGCTGCAGGAAATCAGTTAATACAGAGGAAGGTACCATTTACCTTGAAAAGTTATAGATGGACAATATTCATAGGGATACTGATGACCAAAATATTTTTTTGTGCATAAATATGTTTGTTATTTTATGGTATGTTTGAGGATGTAAAAGCAAGCAAAGCCCAGATATTGATATTGAACAGATATTGAATTTTGATTTTTCTTAGCCAAATTTAAGCTTATTTGTTTGGATGAGTTTTCATTGAGATATATCTTGAACTATAAAATGAAAATATTTACAAAGATGTTCATGATTAAATTAGTGATGCATCAGTAAATCTAAATATGGGTGATATGAGGTGTATTTGTGAATGTGCATATCTTATATAAAAAAAAGACATGATCATACATTTAATGTGTATCATGTATCTGTCTATATGTTTTATATATTACGTATATTTCAAGTCTGAGATGATAAACTTGTCATGATGATACAGCTCTATTTTAGGGGCATAATAATTATACAATTATAGTATTTTCACACTTTTTGTAAGAATTTACATTGTTGTATTTTTAGTCCCCTAATGGTTTAACCAGAGGGGACTTTTAGATTTTCTCATGCCGTATAAAATATTTCATTTGTATTAAATAACAGGGACACTTTGTTTCCTAAATACTCTCCATGTGTGTCAAAAATAATATGAAAAAAATATAATTCTTGAAATTTTTTACAGTAAATATTTCATAAGTTACAGTAGTCTATTATGAAACAATTAACTAGCTAATAATCTATACCTTGTAAAAAAATTTAATGTTCACATTAACATATTAACAGCATATCTAGCCTTCATCATGACTGATCAATATTTTTAGTTGGAAGCCAATAGGGAACTATATAGACAAACAGTTCGAGACCTACTTCACAGCAGAGAGTGGTCTAAATCGGAAAAATATCCAAGATACACGAGTACATTGCTGCCTCTACTTTATCTCACCGTATGGTCATGGGTATGTAATTTTTTTCCCTACTTATTATATATCAATTCTGTTTAAAAATATTTCATCCCCCTTGTGACTGAGTGGTTGTCTTTAAGGGTTGAGGAATCAACATTGAAGTCACCGTTTATCTCTGTGTGATCGTAAGAGGTGACAAAATGGGTTCAAATTGCTGGAGTCTATGCATCTCTTAGTTACAGCAGGTGAGTGTTTTGTCCCCTGGTGTTAGCCAAAATCATCTTTCCTGTTTCAGCGCCATATGACCTAAATTGTGTTGTTGCGCCATAAAACCAAACAATATTTCATGTTATTAAAGACTAACTTCCAATAATGTCAAACCTCTTGTTAGGACAAAAATATGTATATGCATAATAATTAGAAATGACTTTTGTTTCTGACTTAAAATACAAAGAACCGCACCTATTTGAAAATCAGCAAGCTATGAAGAATTTGGTGTGCAGGCTGAAGCTAGACTCTCTCTTTATATTTACAGTATTCCATCCACACTGATATTGCAGCAATCCAAACATGTGTTAATTTGCACATATATGTAGCATCATCTGTAAACATTGCAGATTAACCTAAATGTTATTTATCAATTTCTATATATGTTTCTCGTGTCACGATTCAGAACTGTTCACTATATATGGGAGAAGATGTGTCAGTGGCCAGATAGTTCAGTTGGTAGAGCCACAGTACGGTATTTCGGGTTTGAGTCCCGGTCAGGCTGCACATTTTCTCACCATGTGACATTTAGTGCCCTACGTGGGGCTGTGACTGACTATAGCTGAGAGTTCTGTATAACTCGAGAACGAATTTCAATATAGCAGGGGAGAATGTCATGGTTCAGAACTGTTCACTGTATAGGGGAGAAGATGTGTAAGCAGCTGGATAGCTTAGTCATTAGAGCCGCGGTAAGGTATTCCAAGGGTCCCTGGTTCGAGTCCTGGTCAGACTGCACATTTTCTCACCCTGTGACACTCTAAATAAAGTATGTCTTTCATATTTTCAGATTACGGCCTGTTGATATAATGGTCATGAAAAAACTACATCATAAAGTAAACATTATTCCACTGATTGCCAAATCAGACATGCTAACAAAACCAGAAGTAAAAAGATTAAAAGAACAGGTAAAGTATAACTTTTATTCACAGAAATTTACTAGTCATTGTTATTTCATAGTGGTGTCTTCGATCACCAAATCATGACAACAATAGCTAAAATATGTAACTGACAGAATATGCTAACTTACACATAAGTGCAATCTGACCACACTGTATATTGTTGACTGCTCTGTTTGTAGCATTTTAGTATAAACCCTCCTTTAACCTTTACCCTGCTGAATATAATTATGGTGGTGTTGGTACATTTCACTCTGGATCAGAGCAGTAAGCCACATTGAATTTACCAAAGCTCAGTTCAGTCCAGGGCAGACTGTCAAGCAGTTTACCAATACTAGTTGCCTTCACTTTGGCAAGGAACTGAAACTTCTGTACATGCAAGGGCAGAGGTACAGTGTGAATGACTGTAAAAAAATTTCATGATCAATCACAAGGAGAGTGACCTGCATGGTCTTGGAATCGAACCCATATTGCACGATTCACAGTCGAATGCTCTACCTACTGAGCTAACCAGACAGTTATACTGCTGAATATATACATATACAACCAAATTTAAACCAGTCATAAATAGCCTATTAGAAATGGATAGATTACACTTCCAAAATGGAAAATACATCACAAAAAATACATGTTTTGTAAGTAATTGCTTCCCTGTACAAGTTCTTAATTATTTGTTGTTATTGTTGTTTATTTATTAAGAATTCTGTTTTTATTACAGGTATTAAAAGAGATAGAGAAACACAGTATAGATATTTACCAGTACCCTGAGTGTGACAGTGATGAAGATGAAGAGTTTAAACAACAAGACAAACAACTTAAGGTATACAAATAGGTGATACAAATCTGTATACCTGTATATTATTTGTGACATGCCTTTATACAAGCAAGTTCTGTTTCGGACTCAGTTATTTTTACGAAACTACCAAATATGATATGGGGGGCTAAGTAACTGTAAACTGGACAAAAGTGAATGTTTTGTAGCAATAGAATAAGGGTCCAGTGGCCTCTATTAAACAAAAGAAAATAACAATGAAATGGTCCCCTTTTCTATTTCGGTTGTATGCCCTACCAAACCACGTAAAATACATATATATAATTAATTTTGTAAAGGTATACAAATAGGTGATCAAAATTAGTATATATTGTGACATGCCTATACAAATAAGGCCTGTTAGAATTACCACAACACAACACCCTATACAATAGGGGGCTATCTAATTGTACACAGAACAAAAAAGAGGAAAATAGTTGTTTTGTAATAACAGAATAAGGGTCCAATGGCCATCTATTAAACAAAAGAAAATAACAAATGAAATGGTCCCGTATTCCATTTGGGTTATATTCCTACCAAACCAAGCAAAATTCATATAGTATAATTTGTAAAAAAGAAAAATTATTGTCATTTGAATATGGGCATTATTTTATAAAGGAGTTATTGATTTATACCAGGAGTGTATGAAAAAAGAATTATTTGTGGATTTTGCAGACTTGTTATGTGTGAAATAGATTTTTTGACTACTGTTTATTTTGATCTAAAATCAAAATACACACCTTCCTTTATTGGGTTTGAATGTATTTTATGTTTGTAAAACTATTGCCTTTTGGAAGGAAAGTATAGTAAGGATAAAAGTATTAAAAGCTAGGAATATGAACTGTGTATAAAAATTAGATAATGGTTATGTGATTTATTTCAGAATTCCATTCCATTTGCAGTAGTCAGTAGTAACACTGTAGTTGAGGCTGGTGGTAAAAAAATACGAGGTAGAATGTATCCCTGGGGTATTGTTGAAGGTAGAGTATTTATACCATATATTGCTCACTGTATTCTCAACATGCAAGATGCTGACAGTTTTAACAGTATAAGACCCTATAATGACTTTCTGGCCTTTTCCTAAACCATATAATTATGTTAATTATTATTTGTAAAACAAGTTCTTGCAATTTTTCATTTCAAGTCTGCTTCCTGAAAGAAACTATTTCTAAGTCATATGAAGAAACATCTGAAGAAACATGGTCATGACTCTAGTGGGGATTGAACCTGCAACCCATGGGTTTAGAGGCAGACACCTTAACCACTTTGCCACTGCTCACTGTACTGAGCTTAACTTTCATAGGAAGACCTCGGGTGCCTCTATAAGCATTATTATTTTAGGTATTCAGGGGCACCTGGATAGATGGACCAGTCGCCTGTGAGGTGATTGGATAGCTTTATCATATGAATTATTTGGCATCCTGATTTAAAGATAATAGCTTTATCATATGAATTATTTGGCATCCTGATTTAAAGATAATAGCTTTATCATATGAATTATTTGGCATCCTGATTTAAAGATAATAGCTTTATCATATGAATTATTTGGAATCCTGATTTAAAGATAATAGCTTTATCATATGAATTATTTGGCATCCTGTTTTAAAGATAATAGCTTTATCATATGAATTATTTGGCATCCTGATTTAAAGATAGGTTACATTGCAATACAATAAAGTTCCATGCCTTTTGACTTTGAGATCATATGTTTAACCCCAATTAAGTTACTCATGAAATTAGTAATTATTTAATAGTTCAAATCCATTATGCTTGGCTTTTGAAGTTAGTGAATTTGATAACTTTGAACTATTATTTCAACTGCAAATTAGCATACCTTATTATTATATAATTTTCTATTTACAGTTGAAAATCCTGTACATTCAGATTTCATTAAATTGAGACAAATGTTAATAAGGTTAGTATTTTGCTCATTTTGTATTTTGCTCATTTTGAGACCATCTTTACAACAAAGTCCATTGTTTCATTCATCCAATTTGGCCTCTATAGTTCTTGCTAAACAATATACATGTATATAATATATTTAGACGCATTTTGTTGCCTGCTTCTAGTGAATATTTAAGAATTAAAAGAATTTATTCTTTTTAGCTCGTCTGTTTTGAAGAAAAAGTCAAGCTATTATGATTGCTATGGCATCATTGTTGCTGTTCTCCTGTAAAAACTTTAATGTAGCCCATTATTTAAAAATTTCAAAATTTATGCCCCTTTAAATGTAGAATTTTTAACAGATGAGCGTTATAACCGCAAGCGGTGGTCTTGTTTTTCATTATAATGTTACAAAATATACTTGTATGGAAAATAATGGCAGGTAAGATAAAATAAGATTTTTTTCCAATCTCAAATAAAGACTGTAATAATGCAAATAACAGAATAATCAGATTCCATGAATGGGTCAACCTGTCTTCTTGGTAAGTACATGTATATGTCATGGTACTGTGATAGGGATAGGTATGCCAATCTTACAGGCAAATACATGATACTTTGAGTGGGACCCAGGTATACCTGTCTTGTAGGCAGAAAAAAAAAAAAATAATGTATGTTACATATTTACAGCACACACATGCAGGATTTGAAGGATGTAACGTGTGATGTACATTATGAGAATTATCGTGCAGAACATATATCTGAACAGATGACTGGTACTCAACGTGAAAGAGGGTAACTATACCTTATTTTACTTTGTCTTTGAGATTATTTTTGACTATATTGGTCTATGAGTTTTTTTGCCTCAATTTGTCTTTTAGATTATTTTTGTCTTTGAGATAATTTTTTTAGTGGAATGTCTTTCATTAGGTGTAAATGTGCCCAATGTATTCTTAATGTAATATAATTGTATTATATTGTTCTATGTATTGTATCACCGTGATTGAATGATTTATTTCAGAAAGTTGAAGAGAGATTCTGCAGCTAATTTGGAGTCTTCCCTTGCTACAGAGAAATTGTTACAGGAAAAAGAAGCAGAGGTATGTATTTATAACACATGGTGAGCTTGCTACAAACTATAATATAAACTACAAACTGCACTGGCCACCAGTACAGACACATAATATCAGAGTAGCTAGAGGATAACTGTTTACTGTAAACAGTTATCTAAGGACTAGAATTCCTGTCTGTTAGCAAGAAATTACAACTAATATTTTCTTTTTAGCACCTTCTTATAGTAGTGTATGAATATACAACTTGATTCAAAAAGTTAAATTTACATCATCCTAAGCACACATTCGGCTTGCCCCTCACCACTGTAGGTTTGAATCCCCCGAGGACTTTGGATTATTTCATGTCAGGGAATTTATCCAGCTAGCTTACCTGTATGGAATGTCAATGGTTCTACTCAGATGCCTGAAATATTGTGAGAGTTCTTTATCTCCTTTATTCTATGTTAATAAAAACCATTTCATACCAGGACTTCTGTATAAAATTATCCTCATTTCATTGAAAGTATTGAAAACTCCTTGATTGAAATGCATTGATGGCGGAATGGTTAAGGTTGTTGACTGCAAACCACTTGACTGTGATTTATGGAGGTTTGAGTCCAGGGACTAAAGTATTCCTCCACCAGTTAAAGCTATAAAGTTGCCATATGACTTTGAACATTTCAATTTGTTTTGATCACACAAGGTCGCAATTTATATATTAATATGATTGATAACCATGTTTCTTAGCTCATTGTGCAATCTTAAGGTGTCAAAAAATTTCTTGTTTATGTTTTACAGATTAAAAGAATGCAAGAGATGCTGGCAAAAATGCAAGCACAGTTACAGACAACAAGTCCTAGAGCTAATGGCAGGGTGGGGCATGTGTAGCAATATATTTATATATATAAATGATAAATATAGAATAAGAATACTGGACCAGTTTCATTTTGTACAAGACTTTATTTCCACACAAAGGGAAATGAAAAAAAAAACTTTAAAGTCATAGTCTTACAAAACAGGGAAAACAAAATTATCTTTCCTCCTGCATTGACGTTTGTAACTGGAGTCTGTTGTGCACAACCTTGGTGCATTGCATGACCTTGGTGCACGACCTTGGTGCATGACCTTGGACTGTCTTCAAATCATTGTCACAATGCAAGAATTGTATATTCTATATATCTTTTACTGTATTACTAGTATTTAGAATGGTCTTAAATTTTTGCATCAAATTGTTAAAAATTAGCTTTAAAATTTGTCCATTTAGGAAAAATACAGAATTACAAAATTGAGCATGAAAATTTGTTAATTTGAGGAAAGGTAAAAAAAATAAAAATTAATATATGTTAATGTGAAAGATATGTAATTCTAGCTGCTATATAGATTTATACTATAAAATATAATGAGACTTTTATTTTAAAACATTGATGAAAAAATCTATTTGTTTGGTATTAGTTGATCAAGATGAAATTAGGTCATTGTTCTTGCAGAACACTGTAACATGTATAAAACTTTGCATTACAAAGGTTAGAGTTTGGTGCTTATCTCAGTAGCATGTCAGAAATAGGTTGTGTTAAAAATTTCTTTAAACTTTAGTTTAGGAATATAAAAAAGAAATCATAATAAAGATTTCAACAGGGTGTGTGCCGAAAATGTTAAAAGATATTAATATATTCATTATTGTTTTTATATTATTTCCTGTAAGCTGTATATTGTAAGTTTTTTTCTTATTGTGGAGTTTTAGCTGTTATAGAGATTTTACATGTGGTTTATGTATAAACTGCACTGTACATTTTTATCTAGTATCAAACTAAAATTTTATTATGAAAATTTTATCGAGATGCTGTGACTTCAACTTATTTTAGGCTTTCTTATAATAAACTCTTTTCTGAAACCTGATGAAAAAGTTAAGATCATTTTTTTTTGTGTGATTAATTTTTGTGGATTTTGTGTTAGCAACAGTGTATATTCTGAAATTAGTTTTTTTCTTATATGACATGTTATATTAACATAATTAATTATAAGAATTAAGGGATTGTACAATTGACAATTGACATTTTTTTTCCTAAATTAAACCAACAGCTTTTGTATTCATTAGGACTAAATATGGAATACAGTTTTATCATATCTTGATTTGTAAAACTACTGAAAGTTGCCAACCAGACAACATTTTAGTATACAGAATATATACCGTAGTTCTTAAATTTGCCAAAACAACAAAAATAATAATGAGTGAATGTTTCAGTGGTTTAATGGCATTTACATGTATTTATTTTGTTTATTTATACTTTTAAATGTATACCATTAGTTAAACATGTTAATTTTAACTTTTACACAATACTGATAATCATAAATGGTATAAAGCATTCTTTACCATAATAAGTTTTGTTAATTTGATAGTTTGTACTGCAAACTAAAGCAACTTTCTGCTCTGAATAGACTTCAGTCAGTTTTGTTTTGTTATACACAGAGGTAAATTCTTAACTTTTTATATGTGAAATCTGAAATCTTTTTGGTTTGATCTGCATGATTTATTTTAAAAGCTAGTTATTTACAAGATAGATCTTTCTGGTTTTATTGTTACACAGTGTAATGTACGAGTATTTATTAAAATTATCTTGTGTTCATGAATATTCAAATGTTTTTCTTTGTTTATAATCAAGTTTTCAATGTGTCACATGTACAAACCATAAAGGGACAGAGAAGTTGTGCTTGCAGAAGCGAGAACATTAAAACTCTCGACATTGGGGTCTCAAGATGATGAACAATGGGGACAACTATTTTTCTAGAACAGTTTTGTTGACATTACTCATCAATAATGAGTAATATCTCCGGTAGTGACCAACTGCTAATCCCACTCGACTTCTGAATCACCCGAGGATTGCACCAGCTACTCCTGGATTACTAATCCAGCTCTCCTGACTGAGCTAGGCTTGCGTACCTTGCTCTGCTTACCCATAAATCTTGTTCATACATAACAATACTATTGGATACCTCTTAACTTAAAATAGCCGGGAAATATTATTGTAGCTGATGACCTGAACTACTTGGCAAGCTAGTATATAAAGTTTGACAATGTTTTAATTATATAATCACATAAAGGTCATGAGAGTACTTGTATCAAACAAGATATAGGGCGTTGTTATACTGATGTCAGTTTAAATCTCTAAATTTAGGTTAATAACCTAGCCTATTCCAAAGAGCATACTGAACTGATTAATAGCTAAAATTGCATGGGCAAAGCAAAATTAAAGCTACAGCACTGTTTCATCTTTAAAGAGAGCTTTGAAAGGAAGATGCAATATATCAGGTAAAGCAAGCACTTAGTAGAACCACCAACCTTAGTCTATCATGACAGCTTTCTTACATAAAAGAATTTCAATGACCTCTTACTTCAATGTAAACACAGCTGATTTTGTGTCATCTGCTAGAGTAGCTGCTACATATAGGAATCACTTCTCTGTCATCTGTCTGTCCAAGCTTACATTTGAATACTTATGTGGCTAGAGGAACAATAGGTAACTGTACTTCCTCTTCGACGTGATTCATTCCAGAAGGCTTTTATGTGGCTATTTTCCCTACATATTAAGTACTGTCTCATTAGAATGTCCGTCCGCTCCACAAACTTGTTCAGACTACTCAAAAACTACTGGTGCAATTTTGTTCAAACTTTATATAGATGATCAGTACCAAGTCTGGTTGTGCATATCATCAGCATTTTCCAGTTCAAAGATTTTTGTCAGAGTAACGGCCCTTTAATGATTTTTATTTTTAAAGTTTGTATGGACCACTTCTCTTATACAAATGTACTACTAATGCAATTTGTATGAAACTTTACACGATTGATCAATACCTCAAGTACTGGTGCATATTTAATGGATGTCTGGGCCCTCGATTAAAAAAAAAAAGCGTTTTGGCCAGCAAATGTTTAATGACATTTAAGGAACAAACTGTCCAATCACCTTTCAATGCATCTGCTTAATTGGCTTTAATCGGGCGTCACTGATTGCTATTGTGTTATTTGATTGCACAACAAGGACTTAAATGGACTAGACAATGGAGGTTTAAAGTCGCTCAAGTTCTATTAAGATCATAATAGTAACTTAATCAGCTTTATTGGTTGAGCGAGACTTAACTTGCCTTGTACTTGTGCATTATTTCAGGCCAAGTCTTATTTTATATAGAACCAACAACATTAAATTAGCATGATAGCTATCATTGTATGATTGAATAGCTTTCATCACATGATTGAATTCACAATCTCTTTCCATAAACCAAAAGCAGCAAGAAATTATTGCGTCAAGAGTAACTTTGCTATACAAACCATCAATCATATCGTTTTCTTTTTTCTTATTCTAATGCAATTTTAAACACATTATTTGGTCTTGGAGGTAAATCAACCTACCCGAGTTTCCTGGATAACGAACCAGTTATTACCAATCTTTTAACAAGTGACTGACTACTTATCCCACATGATTTCTGAATCGCCAGTGAGATTCCAATGACCACTAGACACACTGTTTGTTAGAGGACAAATTTCACCTCACCTGAGGATTGAACCAAAGACCCCTGGATAACTACCCTGATGCTCTGCCTACTGAGCTAAATGAGCAGATATGATGTAAGTATTGACAAAACATCTCAGTTGGGTGACATGGTTTTTATTTTGCTTAAAAGACAAAAAACAATCAATCTACACATATGAAGACTGTAAGATACCAATATGGGACAATTGATAATTACCAAAAAATTTACAAAATCTAATAAAATAAAACTTTTTCAAAAATAAACTAACTCCTATTCATTAACATCTTTTACACTCATTTCACTCAGCACTAAAAATAACTATCACATCACTAACAAAACTAGTAAGCACTGCATATACACTGATGTACTTCTATTTCTGTATAAATATTCACATTTACAATTTCTGAGCTTCTTTGCTGTATATAACTATTTCTTGCTTATTTACACTGTGAAACAATTTTCTAAGTATGCTCAGGAATATTTCCAGTTTATTGTGTAGACAGAAGAAATAATCTGATTTGACAATCCATTTTTCAGTTACAATTACATGTCTAAGAAAATTACAAAAGAGAAAATAACAAAAGAAAATAAATCTAACAGATTTAAATAGGTTTCATTTTTTCAAATATTATTCGTTGACAAATTTTAAGGCTTAGTCCATGATACCAGAAGATAACAATAAGTAAATCTATCACTAACTTTCCACCTTTTTCTGTAATACTTCACTAAAACAACCTCTATAACTATAGTACGAAGCAATAATGTAGTAAATATTATTCTACAAAACAAGTATATATTGTGGTTTATTAACAATATTCCATTTTTTTTCTTAAATGTTTTCAGTACATAATTACAATACATAAATTACTATTAGGATCGATTTGAAAGCTTATAGCTTATATTAAAATCTATGTTGACAAACTCTGTATACTTTCTATAATATGTCATGTAAAAATTTGCTTTATAGAAATAAATTCACAATTTTCATGTGCTCATATAATTTTTATCAAGTTAAAAATTAAGGGACTACCTGGTACATGTTTAAAAATTTGTTCTATTGTCTGCAAGACTTTATTTATTGTCTCTCAAAAATCTAGTCAGAATTTTCATGACAGAAATGGTACATTCATGTTGTATAGACAGGGATGTTGCCCAAATATAACACACTATCTAAATTCATAGAACAGTTTGTCACAACTTTAATATCATATCACTTTATTTAAATATGACCAGAGTTTAGATGAGACAACAACCAAAGTGAACAAATGATGCATCTGAAAAAAACAAGCCCGTATTTAAATCCCTGATAAAATTCAAATTAATGATTTCAATTTTAACAAGGACGATATGCTTAAGGCATTACAAGGGAGGCAATATATGTCACAAACTTTACCTAAACAAGCATATATAAATTACTCTGCAACTGTTCATTTAAACTATACCAACTATTTCTCACTGAGACATGATTAAACTTCAGCAAGAAATTTGAAGCATTCAGGAAGATTATGGAGCAAGCCATATTGTTCTATGGACAGCACCATTTTGATATCAGGAAGTATTACTTTTAGTTTAGAGGTAAACACAGTTACTAGCAGCAGACGACAAAAAACAGTATAATTGTAATCATTGAACAAAAGCAAACTTCTGAAAAAACTAGAACTGCCACTATCATGGCGTGAATACCCCCGCATACCACTTTGTCAGAATCCACAGTGGCCATTTAGAGCTCAAGGACAACCTCCCTGCCAAATCTGAGGGTACTAAGCCAGTGCATTGCTAAGTTATGTATTCTACATGCTTCAAATGTGAAAATGTCAAAATCAATACATTGCAGACAGGACATTCTTTAACAATTGAGAAGAAAAGCTTTTTTTGTCAAGGTCCCTGTGACCTTTGACCTCAAAATCAATAGGGGTCACCTTATAGTCATGATCAACATCCATGCCAAATATGAAGACTGTGGGTCAAAGGAATCTTAAGTTAATGGGTGGACAAACTTTTTGAAGTCAAAGTCCCTATGACCTTGACCTTTGACCCCAAAATCAAAAGGGGTCATCTACTAATCATGATCAACATCCATGCCAAATATGAAGACTGTGGGTCAAAGGAATCTAAAGTATTGACCTGGTGACCTCAAAATCAATACGGGTCATCTACTAATCATGACTAACCTCCATTCCAAATATGAAGACTGTGGGTCAAAGGTATCTTAAGTTATTGGGCAGACAAGCTTTTTGAAGTCAAGGCCCCTGTGACCTTGACCTTTGACCTGGTGACCTCAAAATCAATAGGGGTCATCTACTAATCATGACTAACCTCCATGCCAAATATGAAGACTGTGGGTCAAAGGAATCTTAAGTTATTGGGCGGACAAGCTTTTTGAAGTCAAGGCCCCTGTGACCTTGACCTTTGACCTCAAAATCAATAGGGGTCATCTACTAATCATGACTAACCTCCATGCCAAATATGAAGACTAAGGGTCAAAAGAATCTTAAGTTATTGGGCGGACAAGAAAAAACCGACGGACAGCCTGACGGACGGCCAAGCTGATTCCAGTATACCCCCCTTACAACTTTGTTGTGCGGGGGTATAAATATGTAAAAATGTTTTTACTCATCACACAGTGTATCTGATCATATAAATGTCATTGTGTGCATTTAAATTATTTTTTTTTTCTTTCTGTAAATACATAGTACTCCCCTTTCAAATTGGACAAGTCTACATTTGTACTTGTTTATTGCATAGGGTCTATTTCAAGGTTAAATTGTCCGGTCAGTTACAGCCCACTTCAAGTCAAAGACAACTACATCTGCTTGATACAGCTTAACAGTCGTTATAGAGTATGACTAGCATGCAACGGACCATAAATTGATAGAACAAAGAAAGCAAGCGTAAGTGAACAAGCACGAGTTCTTCTTTCTTGCACGTTTTACCAACACAACTTTTTGGCCCTTTCCGTCAGTCTTTGAATAAGGATTATGAATAATAGCCAAAGATGTTCAGATTGACATTTTCCACTATTTATCGGTTACCACAATTAATCTCTCCCAAGTCAGCATTATGTATATACAAGTCTTTCAATTTATCATCATCAGCATTTTTTCCTATGATTTTGTTTCTGAGAACTATTAAGCCATTATAAATATATATCATGTAAATCTTTTTTTTTATTCCCCAGCTTCTATACCTCGACTATTTATACCTCCTATTTACAACCATATTAATAAATTTAGTGTTGCCCCAGAAGGAATTTTGGCAAGCTAAAGTTGATTACTGATTTTTTATCAATTCCATCATTCTTCTACTAGAAGCGTAATTTGTACAGATGACTACCGTGTCTTAAGTCAACAGTCAGAATTATTATATGCACTTTTATTTAAAAAAAATTCAAAGTGTCATAAGCTTAAACATAGAACAAGTCCAAGATTTTCAAATGGTGGCGCCCAGCTAAGGATTTTTCTCAAACATGTCAAGACTTAGGATATTGTTTTTATACAAGTTATACATGTTATCTAAGAGCAATTCAGCCCTAGAGAGGTCTGTGACCCTGCTCTGACTTTCCACGCTCTGCTTGTTCTATCATTGTCATTTTACTTTGATCCTGCTAGCAGCAGCTGCTTCTAACTATACCACCAGTGCAATCACACATCTGTGCCATCATGGTCTGTTTAATTTGTTTGTTTTTTTCAGTCAGTACATATTATTTTGAAATTTCCCCTAAATATTAGGGATGTCATTCGGAGTCCGGATATCCGAACGTTCGGATAACGATTCGGTGTCCGGAGCCGATTTTCTGATCCGGATGTTCGTATAAAGTATTTTAAAATATTGAGAAAATGTGATAATTACATGCGTTGAGATAATCGTAGACATGGCGTTGACACCATATTGTATATTGTACCTTAGTTTGACAATACACATCATAACCTCTGCAGTCCACAAAAAAATCAATAATAACTATAATAATTACGAGTCAATTATGACACATGTTGTTAATCAAATTTAAGTTTTGTAAGATTCTAAGTCCCGTGCGACTGTCATCGGCAACGATGTTACATTTTTTATGTCCAAATTTAAATATTTAATTAGGTTATTATTTTTATATATATTTCGGCTTACCGACCCGTCGACTCCTTATTTTCAGACATTGAAAAATCTGCAGAAATAAAATAATCAAATAAAGAAATTCACTTACGAATTATATGTTAATTATCAAAGCTTTTATTGAAATTGATACGAAAATTATCCGACAAAATAACTTTCTCCTTTAGTATTAATCAAACATGTGCATTTTTTTTTCACATTTCTTTTTTCACTTATGAACACTTAAATGTGTGTAATTCATGTAAGTTTCGGCACTTTCTTTGATGATTCGATTCAAACAGCCAGGGCTACATGATGGTAAACATCAAAGATTGGCAGATTCTTTTGAAAAGCCGGCTACACGCGTGTCAAAGGTCATCATGTGTTAATTGTATGCGTGTATTGAACAATGGAAACATTATGTTTAATTTTTACGGGTATTATTTTGTTTTCACAAATGTGAGCGAATTTTATTGCGTACTATAGCGCTTATTGAGGAATTCAGACAATCGGCGGCGATTTTCGTTTCCATTTCATTTGAAATCGTAAGTACCACACGCACTAAATTTATAAATAAAAGCTAGTCGTATTCTATATAGAAGAAATAAAATCAATAACGGAAGATTTTCGATATGTAACATTCAATTAAAAAGGAAGAAAAACGAAATACTACACTTTGAAAAAGGTCGCGAAGAAATGGTTACGTCATATCAGACATCTAAGAATATAACAACGATCCGAACGTCCGGATGTATCCGGATGTTTGATTCGGATATCCGGATTGCCGTTTCGGCTCCAGATGACATCCCTACTAAATATGATGAAATGATTGTGTCCAGATTGAAAGATGGACAAGTCCATTTGAGATATACTGCATGGTTGGGGTTAAACTAGAAAACCTTATCAACATGTCGAGAAAATATGTAAACCACAGTCAAAATGTCAATATCATATAATATCATTAAGCTTTTCTGTTATCAAATAAAATAACAAATTGTTAATCTATATATTTTAAAACTACAACCTATGGTTTTTGCACTTTGACAAACATTAGTTCAACTTGACATAATTATGGTTTTTGACTTTGACATAAATTTTTAACTTCTAACAAGATGGTTTTTATCTCTTTACATACAATTTTTAGCCTATAACAGGTTTTAGTTCAACCATACACTCACTGCCTTATCTAACTAATCCATGTAAAACAATGCTTTATATCACACTGTTAAAATACATCTATATATTTCATAAACACTTGTATTATAAACACCCGTCTAGAAGCATGCATGTTACACTCAAACTTTTATCACACACTGTCACATGTACAAATTATAAAACATTCTTTCAAGGGAATGGAAATCAAACAAATAATTACTCAAAACAACAAGTTTCTAACTCAATGACAAAAAAATCACTTAACATAATTTTCTGAATTGATAAAACATAAATTGACACCCCTGAAACTCATTCTTGTTGGGCAATTTTTGCCACTTTTACAAATTAATCACCATCAATATAAAAACAAAACAAAACACAACTTTTCAAATGTGAACAGCTGGTCAATACAGGACATCTTAACATTTTGAGGGGGAAGATTTTGCTTGTTTTTTTAAAACTAAAAACTAAAATGCAATCCCTCTTAAAGTTTTGTTGACTGATTTAGCCTATTGTACAACCATATGCAATGCAGAAAAGATTCCATCATGAGATCTTACGAATAAAAAAATACGTAGTTATAAAGGTTGAGATTTGTCTGACAACTTTGGACAATTATGACATTGTTTGTCATGATTTGCCAACATATGCTTGAACTGAGGAACTAACATTAAAAACATTGATATAACAGTAAGGGGGTTTATAGGTAAAAAGTTAAAGGTATGGTTTGTATTGTTCAGAAATTGTTCAAAATTTCTCTAAAATTCCTCAGTAAAAAAACCAAAAACATACAATATAAGACTTCTAAAGAAAATATAATTAAAAGGACATAACTTTCAGCAAAAACAGAAATATATTTTTCATGACTCGATGAACAATGAAAGTTAAGATGACATTACTGTCCATAAATGAGAACATATGCACAAACAGATCAGCGATTCATTTACAAATATCAAAGTTTCATCCTTCAGGGTGTGTAACAAATGCACAACACAATTCCAATAATAATATATTAAATGGTTAACTCTTTACAAAAAGAGATGAAAGCGTTCCTGGTCCATGATTGGTGAATGAAAAGATGACTATTTTGACACTGTAAACCAATTTCTTGCTCCATGATTTATCCCAGATGTAATTAAGTTTCCCAGAAAGATTCCATCCTCTTGAAGTAATGTTGCCATTGTGAATTTATTCCATCAATTCAGCCCACCTGACCACACCTCTATTTACTATTTCTCTGTTCACTAACAATGCCTGTAAGAAAGCACATTGTAATTATAATATGCGTGAACCACACTGAACATTTATTTTAACAATTACAATTCAATAAAATTACACATTTTGGTTTGGTTCGTAACATTGTTTGTTTGTTTCATTTTACGCCTTTTTCCAACAGTATTTCAGTCATATAGGCGGGTAGTTTCTTAACCATCATTCCTGGAGAGTTACACCAGTACAAGACTACCTTCCTCTGCGCTAAACTACCAAAGCATCTCCCGGGGATCGAACCCACACCAGAGAGGTAACTGGATTACATGGTTCGTAACATAAAATGACAAAAAAAAACCCTGTTTACATAGCTATTTTTGTATCTCGGCCATGATATGGCAAGGGGGCATATAGTGTTACCCCTATCCATCTGTTTGAGCATGTTCAAAAGTCATGTTTGGCCCATAACTTTGTAGTCCTGTAAATAATATGATGACACAGTGTTTTTGTTTCTGTTATTTCTGTAATTTATTAAATAGACTTTCCAGCTTCACTCATTGAGATAACCAATTATTAATCAATTTCTAAACAATAACCATTAATCATTAATTTAATCAATAAGTAAAGTATGCCTTAAAATCAATAAGTTAATCAATTACTTTTTCAAGTCATCAACTCTTTGTCTAAGCACTGTTTCAGGAACTGGCATGTGAAAGAATTAGCCAGGTGTATAGCTAACTCAAATGAAATACAATGTTTATCAAAATCCAAACTCAAAATAAATGTCAAGTGATCCAACAAATTTAGTCACATGATCCCCACTTGTCATTGATGTAACAGGGGAGTTTTTTTCACCAATCTTTTCCTTAACAATGTCAAGCCTTCAAAAATTCAATTCAAGAAATATATGAATTTCAGAAAATTTGAGCAAGGGCTAAAGTATGTGGGTTTCTTTTCCCATCATTTTTGAAAACAGGAAATTTAAGTACAGTTTAACTTCGTTCGCTCGAACTCGGATCGCTCGAATACCTCACTTCGCTCGAACTCATTGCCCAGTCCCGGCAAAATTCCTATATAATATATATTGTTCTACCTCGGATCGCTCGAACACCCATCACTCGAACTCTCGAACCTGATCTCTGGTCCCGTCGGCAGAAATATAGTGTAAATCACACCTTTTCGGTCGAACACAAACAGACAACAGAAGTTGCGGTCGACATGTTCTAAATAATTGACAGTCGGTGACACATGTTTTAACACCTCGTGATCGTGACAAAGGCAATTAAGGTTAAATGAAACCAAATAAAAGGTGTTGTAACCGATTTGTTTGTTATGATACAATTGTTTATTTGCCGTCTTTAGAAACGATAAAAGGAAAATGACTCCTAAAATGCGCAAAAGTCAATAAATAAATGGTTCATGTAACGTGATTTGTAACAGTGTAATCGAATGATACTTGTATGTGTGTTTTTTTTTAGTAAATGACTACTAATAGATGCTGCTGTTAAATGTTTTTTTTTTTAAATATTTCATTAATTCATTGTTTAAAGTAAAATTCACAGTTTGGATAATGATCGCCCGATCGAACTCAATATGCATGAATATAGATAAACACAGTGTACCGTTAATACTGTTTTTAATAGGATAATCATTCTGAATATGACGTATTCGACAAACGGATGTACTAACAAACAATTATATTGACGTATTTATCACTTGACCGATGTAAGCTGGACAACCTTTAGGCCTATGTTCTATATGTAATAATAATTTAACCTCGGTTGGCTCGAACTACCGATCTCTCGAACAAATTTGCACAGGCCCTCCGAGTTCGAGCGAACGAAGTTCGACTGTAAATGGTAATAGGTCTGTTTATCCCAGCAGTCTAAAAGAATGGAATAAACACCAAACAATGGTAGACAACTTACAGAATTAGCTCCAGTAATCTGGTAAACATGTACATAAGGTATTCCATCTTCAGCTCGACCAACAACCTGTCCCTGGAGTAATTTTCCTTGTGTAAGTTCCTCTAATACAACAGCAGCCTCAGCACTGAAATACTGCTCATCTGAAAACAGGTCAAATATTTTAACTTATATACATGTATATGTTGTCCTGTTAGCGTATTCAGTATAACCATCATGTTATTTTCTCCAAATTGTTGGCATATTACTCACTATTAATTACTTCTTCTATTTCAAATACACAACTGTTTTATTCATATAATGAAAATCAAAAACATACATCTCAGTAACACTTTCTTTTTGGCATTAAATGGTATAGGGACATCAACATTTGACCTGACATCAATAGGGGTCATAAAATAGTTATGACCTCTGAACTGTAGACTAAAGTTTCTCTAGTTATTGGTCCGACAACTGTTAGTGGTCAAGGCCAAAATGACCTTTAATCTACTGATCTCAAATTCAAAGGTGGTCATCTTCTAGTCATGAACAACTTCCACACAAAATCTTAGGACTGTACGCCTTGGGATTCCCTTGTTTTTTGTCGGAAAAGCTTCTTTAGGCAAGTATTTCATGCATTAATGTGACCTTGACCCTCTGACCTCAAATCAATTGAGGTTATCTACTGGACATAGCAATGTCCCTACACAAACCACAGCACTTTTTCAAGCAACTGATCAGTCAAGAAAGTGCATACAAGTTTAGGGCTGCACAAAATCAGGCAAAGCAAAATATTGCAACACATCTTTACAATGCTGGTGAAACAGCAAGCTGTTTTTCATCCGCTTTTTTTTGTTTTGTTTATAAATGAGGCTGTTAATGAGATGATGCATTTTTTCATAATAATATTGCAGGTGCTCTCGTCTGACAGTGGCTTTATATACCATAACCAAATCATACTTACAATCCTGACAATTGGTCCAAAGTGCATTCGGATATATTGGAACTCTGGTGCAATGTTGCATCCCTATACAATTCATACATCATATAATCTCCACACAACTGCAATCTACAGCATTATTGGACATATGTTTTAAATTGAGAGACTTAAAATTACTATTGATTATTTCATGTTATCAGATCAAATTATTTAAATATATGAAAATAACAGTTGGTGATCATGATCAGTGGTAAAAACTTACTATCCAATGGCGTAATATTTGCAAGATAGCATTCTATGGCCTCGAAAGGAAGTGTCATAAAGTCACTTCGGATCTGTTTCAATAATAAGCTTGATACACGACTATATCCTCCATAGTCAACATACTTGATGTCGCACTCATCGACACCCTCCGCCTCATGAGATGCCATTATCTGGGCGCGATACCAGCCATTCAACATTGGTGCTGCACAAATTACTCCCGCTGAAAAGGAATACAATCACATATTTCATTATCATATCAACTGAAGAAGCTTTATGAAACTCCACTGGTTTTTCAGCCGACAGCATGATTGGACTAGAAATATTTTTCCAATATTTGTGTAAGGTTTGATGTAGGTTTGGACCAATAAATGTTCATATCATTCCTTCAACCCCTTTTTCCCTGAATTATCATTTATATAGTGCAAAATAAAATATCAATGAAAAATGTTTCAATGTTTTTCAATGAACTTAAAACTTGTTCAAATATATCAAGGAATAAATACAATAAGATTGTTAAATACAATACCTTCTATGGGGCGAGGAATATCTGGAACGCTGCCCTCTTGCATGTAGCATTGACTCATGAACGTATTAAGTCTATCTAGAGATGGGTAAGATGGATGAGTTGGCTGTTGTACAAATATGCGACCTGCATCCACTATACTGGACACAACAACGTCCACTGACACGCCCTCTGGCAAACTTAGCTGCAAAAATTGAGAAAACAATATAATGTTACTTCTACTTCAAAATTTGAAGTTTGTTAGATAATTCACCTGAGCATTGGAGAGAATTAAAAGCTGGACAAATACATATTTCTCTATTAGACAAATCTTTTTTTTTTTACTAAGTCTATTACACCTTAAACTTACACAGCACTGGGGAATCTCTAGTGTCTTTATCATTGTCAGCCTGAAGAAATGGCTACGTAAAAGATAATGGTATTACATCTATTTGCAGTAGAATAACAAAATATTGCCAACATAGCTAGGTGGTTAATGCTTCAGACTAGTAATATAAGAATCTCTGGCTGCATTTGCATTCTGGTTCCAGGAATGGATTCGAGTGTGTCTATAAGCCTACAGCTTCCTACACAATCAAACTAAAAGAAAATCTGTGTAAGCCAAGATATTATATCAAGATATTAGATACCTTAATAGGAATTAATAATTCATAGATAACACAAAATGTAACAGCAGTTTTATTTGAGGCTAAACAAATATTGTTAAAGCAACAGCTGTTCATATGTCATCTAAAGTTACACTTAAAGTCAATGACATGGAACTATACACGGCAAAACAGAAATCTGCTTCAGATAGCATTGTGTGAATTGTTCATAAGGAAATTTGGATTGAGAATAAAACATTCATTCCATTGTTTTTTCTATTAAATTTGCAAAATCTGTAGGCATCCTGCTTTTAATGCCCCTTAAATTAGAACATGTCGCATTGTTACTGTTATAAACTATACAGAGAGGTAGAGTGTTGGACTGTGAATAGGGCCGAACTGGGCTTGATTCCCAGACAGCACAGGCTGCTTTCGCAGTGATCCTTTCTACAGTCATTTGCATGGTACCTCTGCTCTGGTATGCACAGAAGTTATCAGTTCTCTGCTGTACTGAAGGCAACTAGTACTAGTAAACTGCTTGATAGCCTGTTGAGGGAAAAAATGCAGTGGCTGAACTGAGCTCTAGTAAATTCAATGTGGCTTATTGCCGTGATCCTGAGTAAACACTACCACTACCAGCACTTAACTATACAGTGGTGATGAACATACCTGCATGATTTCTGGCATGATGACTGGGTTGACAGCTGGTTGCATGTCCATACCAGGGTACTTGATGGTAGGAAATTTTCTTTTTATAATACTACATGCTGTGTCAATGGAACTCTGGGGACCTGTAGTATTTTATATTGATATGATAGTTTAATACAACAGAAATGCAAAGTTTTCCTTGAGTTCTTCACACAGTTTTATCCATGTAAAATGAAACGCCTATGAGTGGTTTCTGAGTTTTGAGGCTACTGTATAAAATTGTTCTAAAAATGCAATCCCCGATTTCTGTTAAGATAAATTAAGAGGAAAATTCAAATGATAAATTTACTGAAAATTCCAAATATCTTAGTAGAGAGATTTTTAAAAACTGACTTTACTTATCCTTTTGACATACCAATGAGTTATGCATGATTTCCTATATACTCCCTGCCATCATTCAAGTTTTTGTGTACATGGATTAAAACAGAAATACTTATCAAATGTAAAATAAGAAAATACCTTCAATAACACAAATCTGGAAGTCTCGGGTATAAGGATTGTTCTGTAAACGTATCTTTGTCCCAGATTGTTGACTGATCATTTTAATAGTCTTCCCTCGTGTACCAATAAACAACCCGCACATATCTGATGGTATGTTAAACTCAAACAACCTATCATCATTCGGTGGTGACGTTCCTGTATTCTCCTGGACTGATCCACCTTTACCGCTGTCGTTAGAGGCCTGTAATATCGAAATACATTCATATCTCCAAGTTTAGCCCTTGACATACTGCATTTCTTCCATGGACTTGCCAAGCTTCCATTTATGGAACAGTCCATTATCAATTCTATCAATACAAGGCACGAACGGGCGCCTGAATAGAACCATCGATGTTCCGTAAGCTAGCTGGATAGCTTCCTCACATGTAAGAATCCATAGTTTGTGTCGGGATTCGAACCCACAGTCGAGACGTGCATGTATATAATATATAATAATGAAGGACTAACATAACTTAAAGATGATCAATCTATACAAATAACTTTAAAAATGTTTATAAGGTTCATTTCTAATGGACTCATATCAAATGATATTCAAAGCCCTGATTGTACACAGTCTTGCTCCTGGTATGAACTTGAAATTTAGTTTCACGCCAAGATAACTAAAGGACAAACTGCCTCTTCAAGACAAGCATAAAATTTGCTTAGAATGCACTGTTCGACTAAGTATAAACTGAATGCAATATATTACAAAACCTATTAAGTAATTCTTACAAATTTGTATATATAAATTAATATGCATGCAGCACACAGTAATTTTCATGAGGAATACAAATATGAACTAATAGTTTACTTTGTATCTATACTTTCCCTCCTGATGCCTAAGATTTACTCCCTAAGGCATCTGCTATTACATGTTGTGGCTTAACTGCAAAAACCTGCATCATTTTAATATTTAAAACAATGAATATTATACCTACCTCACTTAGATTATCACAGTTTGATGAAGAATCTGATTGATTATTTTCAGTAGTTTTGTCAATTTGTAAACCAGTATTTGAAATTTGATCCAATGGCAATTTACCAGACTGGTTATTTTGTTTCGAGTCTAAAACTGAGTTCTGATTATTTGAGTCTTGAACTTCATCAGAACTTTTTGAACTTTCAGTTTTATTCAACTTTGTACTGGTGTTTTCTAAATTTGTTTTTTGTACACTATGGCCATTTTCTGGTGATAAATCTATTGACAGGTTATTCTCGAGATCATCCATATTTTCTGGTATGTCTTCATGCCATGATCGTGATAATGATGAACATTCTCCGATATTTTGATCTTCAGTGTTTAAACTTGTTAACACATTTTCTTTAGAGTTCAAATCATTATCTACTTCTTTCAACATACTATTTTCTGTTTTGTTATAATTCACATTACAATTATTAGAGACATTTTTTGTAGCATCTTGAGACAAACTAGATATGTCATTTTTATCTGTTACTTTTGGAGACATTTCAGCTGTATTGGCATGTTCTGGATTTGGACTAGAAGAATCAGGGGCACCATGAACATTTTCAATTTTACTTGGTGAAATAATGGATTCTTCAACAAGCTGTAGAGGGGTTTTAGCAGTCTCTGAAACCTTTGATTCATCATTAATGTTTACATCAACTTGGAATTTTTTAGTAGAACTGCGTACTTCTGCCAAAGATGGTTTGATGACGGACTCCTGAATAAAATTCTCTACAGGAAACTCCAGGATATTCCTAGCATCTCCACAACCACTTACAGTAGATTCTGCATTTATGTCTGATGCAGCTGTGTTTGATGGTTTATTATCACCTTTAATATTTAAATGATGATCTGTCTTTTCTAGACTGTTACTTGATGATGGATTTTCACGAGTATTTGAGCTTCCCTTTCCAGCCTGGCCATTCGAAACATCAAATTTTGAAAGGTTATTTGTAACTTTGCTCTTATCTGAAGTAGATTTGTCATTCTCTGGCGACACTTTCTTTTTATCTGGTGGGTCGACATATCTTCTAGCAGCTGGAGGCTTTCTTCTGAAGTACCACAGTAGACCAAGCAAAGCTGTCACAGCTGGTACAGCAAATGTTATGATGGTTTTAATGTTGGACATTCTTCTTGGTCAGTGGTCACCATACACAACTCCAAGGGTGATAACCACTGCTTTCTGTATAAATTTAGTCACACTGCACCTGAAACAAGAAATTAGCATAACATGCTGAATTATTTGAAATACAAATTTTATTATGGCCTTTTAAAATTACTTGCATTCATACAATTACTAAGTAAGTTGTTTAAACTGCACCATTAAAGATAATTAGAGACTAAAACTGTATAATTCTTATGCTCTGTTATTCAAAACACATGACTATTGTATGTTAACAATAGAATGCTCCGAGACAAAAATTACAATGGATATTAATTTCATGTATGTGCTATCACTCTTTAGCAAATATATTTCTTGTACACAAGTAGTATGAAGTCTGCAATCATTTATAATGTTTTTGAGACATGATGGTAAATTGGATTTTTTTTATCATTGTGGAAATGGTTTCAAAATAAGTTTAAAGATTATAAAAGATGCCCCTTGGTATTAAAAGTTTTTATTGACAGTTTAAAATTTCAAACTTGGCCTTCTTATTCCTAAGATGTATCTATATGTCAAATTTGAGTTGAAAATGTATAACTGTTGGGGAAAAAATAAAACAGAAACTAAAAATTTCTCTTTTTTTTTCAAATTCAAGAGGGATAACTCTGTCACAAATCATCAAACGATGACAAAATTCGTATTCCTATGACATATCCACACAATTAATTTGAGTTGAATATGTACAACTATTGGGGAGATAATTTTCAGAAACTGAAAATTTCCCCTTTTTTTTCAAAGGTAAAGGGGCATAACTCTGCTAAAAATCATCAAACCATGACAAAATTGGAACTTGACCTGCACATTCCTTTGACATATCCATATATGTCAAATTTGAGTTGAATGTGTAGAGAGATAATGAACGGAAACTGAAACTTTCTTATTTTTCTCAAAGTGAAAGGGGTTATAACTCCAGGGTTTTTTTTGCGGTGTTTTGTTAAAAATTGGGGAAAAATGCATTACTGAAATTTTACAGTGATAAAATTGGATGCAAACAATTACTGTCAAGGATGGCATCTTTAAACAGTTAAGCACTATTACAGTGAAGAAGCCCTTATTTTCAAAGACTTTAGAATTTTTATTCAAATTTTTTTTTTTTTTTTTTGTAATTTTCAATTGGGAATTTTTTCCTGTGAATTGGGAAAATAATATACTATTTCAAATTGGGAATATGACCCAATAACGGCTAAAAAATAAGCCAAAAAAAAATCCCTGAACTCTCAAATTAGAGTTTAATGTGTGCAATCATTACCATTACCAAGATAATGAATGGAAACTGATGATGACAGATGACGGAAGGCAGACTTCCCAAAATACGTCGGTGCGACGGACATGTCCAATAAATTTTAATTAGGTCAGACGATTTTTTATTCTGGATCGGTCGACTGTCCGGCTTTTATTCAAGTAGCATGTATTCAAAATGGTGTCGCTAAATAATCTACATCAGAGGAGCGTGCAGAACAGCAGTAAAAGGATGAAAAGAAAAGACCCCAGTCAAAATTTAATGAAAAATGGAAGCAGGACCATGAATCGTTGGTGTACTACAGGGAGGAGGTGAAAATGAACTGCCAATTTTTACGGCAAAAAAGTTATAGAAATACAAAGTTTTCCTTAGTAATCCTATAATTTTGGTTAATTTCATTTGGTCTGACAGATTTCGTTTCAGTCATTGTTTGTCAGACCAAACTGAGACTTTTTTTTAACTTTCTGGAAGTCTGAGGGAAGGACAGAGGGACAGAATAACAGAAACGGGGTAACACTATATGCCCAAGCCATTTTATGGTGGGGGCATAAAAATATTTATACAATGTGTTTACATAATATTTAAAACTAATATATTAAAGTAGGCAAAACATATGAACATAGAAGTCAGACTTTAATTCATTTTTCAGCTTACATTATTCATTTTTAAGGTGTTGGTCAATATTTCATGCAATGCTTACATTTTCACTTGGAAGATCTCAATGCTTATTCTTACGCCAAAAGGTTCGGATTTTTCTGATTATCAATGAGATATTTCTAAAATGGTAGCGCCAAACTAGAGATGGCACTCACTGAAATTTTCACTGAAATCTCTATTTTAATAATTTTTTTTTTTTAAAAATACATGTGTAGTCTATTACCGTCTTTAGCCTGCAAGCCAAAGCTTTTCACTCCAATGTACAAAATATTAGTGTAGATAATGAATAAAATTATTGTTTAAATCTTCAAAGGTCTTAGCTTTTAATATGTGATAAATTACAAATCAACACCTACGATAGCAGTCCAACTAATTATACTGTGCAACGAAATATTGTGCTGTTTTCGTGTCTGGGCAATATCTCCCCTCTAAAAAAAAAGCCAGATTCTACCCCGGAACGAAAAAAAATCTCAGAATCAAGCTTTGGCACGTCAATATCCCCGTACTGCCTCTTTCCGATCAGCTAACAGATTTTTCTACAATAACTGACAGTGAAATTATATTAAAAGAAATTCTCTTTCAATTCTGCGAATATTATCATTTTAGCTAATAAATGCACCAACTTTTTAAAATTTTACCTGAATTATTATTATGAATCGAGGACAAATCATTACTGACCCATTTTCCTGTTCTTCAAAATTTCACAACCACTTTTCAATCAGTTAACAAAATATAAACTGTACCACATAAAAATTGTCATACAATGTTAAAATATAATCAGTTATGTATTATGGAGAAATTTTGACAAACTCAACTTCAGATAAATGGTAATAAACAATTTTAACCTAATCATAATGCCATTTTTTAATCTTGATATCTATTTGCAGTGGTAAAGCTGTCACAATTGGGGTATGGATGTACATTTTAATTTGCATAACAGAAAAAGCATGTTCTCGAGAATTTTTTAGGATCTTAAGGTCTATATGACACCATTCTAGTGAATGCTTACTGAAAAGTTTTTTAAAGATAATGCTTTTCCTTGTTTAAGTGACTGTTACTTTATTGATGTATTACCTTTCAATTAAGAATTGTATGGTAAAATATGTACATATTAAAATTATAGCTTTTGAAGTGCAGTATATATTATGACTTCAAGATATTGAAACAGTTGTCCAACTTAATATCCATTTCAGCAGACTGACAAAAAACTGAGTCTGTAAATCAATTATTTTTAGAAAAGTATTGCGATTTGTAACTGGCTAAATAAAGGATTAGTGGAAAACACACATTTCACATATTTTGAACTAAAATGCTAGCATTTTCTTTTTTATCGCCATAATTGACATTGCTGCTAATAAATGTAGTCAAGGTGAATGCAAGATGTGCTTACAGTTGGGTTACATGACAAATAAGGTCAAAAATAAAAAAATTATAGGGATGATTGAAAAGTGGTTGTGATTGAAAACTGGCAGTATGTGGATATATTTTGACTACTACCATAATCGATGTGCCAAGTTAATATACAATAAAATTTTTATAACACTCAGAGCAACAGATAAGGTGCGTATTTGCATATTTACGCAATTAATTTTAGAAAATACGCAATTGATTTTTTAAGAATGCGTATCAAAACCCATTAAAAAAAATAAAATACGCAATTGTCTTAAAAACCCGTGCGTATTGTCATTTTCATCATCGCAAAATTTATCTGTCGTACGCTCGTTGTTTTGGACAAATTGTATCGATATGCATGCTATCCGAATATTTCCGAATCAATGCTAAATCAACGGTCTCCGGTCTTCGACGGTCCCCGGTCTCCAATGACCGACTAAGCCATGTCAATAAAGCACGAGACCGTTGATTTTACGGAGACCGTCAATAAGTAGGTCCCAGCTGTATCAATAGACGCTTTGAAAGCAATATGGCGTCGTGCAAAAGGGAAAATGATTTGAAACAAAACGGTCGTAAATAATCAAAAATCAGTCAGAAAACGAATTTGTTAATAATAATATGAAAAAGCAAAGCCTCAAAGCGAGCTCGATGTACTTTTAACGTGAAATAGTATGAAATAATCGCTCAATTTTATTTTAAATTTTCCGTTTTAAAATTGTCATTGGGTATTTTATGCACTGCTTCCGTTTATTCTGGTTCCCTCCTATTAAATGAATAAAATTAATGTATTTTATTATTTGTGCTACGTGAATTATTTACAGGAAGAAAGAAGGAATCGGCTCGAATGTTGTTTCATAATGCAGTGACGAGTGCGTGTGACGTCACACGTACTGTGTTAAATATGGCTCCGCCCTTTATTTTTTTCTGTTGTTGTTATTGTTGTTTTTTTTTTGTTTTTTTTTTGGAAAAAGATATCAATTCTGAGTGCATTGTTGTAGAATAATGCACGGTTTGAGTTCAAATGCGTAGTATCAAATGCGTAATAATATAATCACGAAGGCCCATAGGCCTGAGTGATTAATAACAAAGCATTTGAACGAAAAACGTGCATTATTATGCACAAAGAATTAATATCAATTTCCATTTTAACACGTCAAGAAAAAATATAATTATTATTATAATGTTGGACTTTATGTTTGGATGGTTAAATTTGTTTTCGCCTCAGAGTTTCCAATAGAAACGTTCTTTAAAGGCTGTCGTTAAATCTTACGTGTGTAGATAACGAAATTTGAAACTTTGTTTGTTTATTTTATTTCACTATATAATTTTTCAACGAAATAAAGATTATTAAAAGTAAAATAAATGTAAAACTTAACACGTTTGCGACATTTAAATAGCGTACTTGATTTGATTGTTTTGCACGTGCTGTTTGGCGCTACATTGTGACGTCACGTAAACAATACTTTAAACGTCTGTACAGCGTTAACGACTGAATAAAAGATATTGGTGTTCGGATTTATTTTCTTAGTTAGACCATTTTCTTTCATTCTAGATAGATTTCACATCAAAATTCGACAAAAAAAATTGTTTTAATTTATCAGATTTTTCAAACAAAATGGCGCCCTCAATGTGAAAATACACAGGGAGATAATAAGAACGGCGAGTGCATTGTTGTCGGGCCTTCTTTGTTTATATAGAAGAATTTCCAATAGTGTTAGAAAGTTTTGTTTGTTGAAAAAAGAGGAATGTACATTTTATGAAATCCGGCAAAACCTTTGTACGGGAAAAGTCGGTTAAAATAATCGTTCAATTTTCATTTTACATTTTCCCTTTTAAAACCGTCATTCGATATTTTATACACAGCTTCCGTTATTCTGGTTCCCTGTCCAATTATGGTTCTCATAGAAGTGCGCAGGTGACCAATCTACACATCCGTTTTCAGTCAGAATTCCTCAGTTTTTATCATTATCTTGTAATTCGAAAAGTTGCGATGTGTCCAATTCGGTACTTCGGACGAAAGTTTTCAAAACCATCACTTAGCAGGTACTCGCGTTACCGTAAAGCTCGCTTTGCTTCGGGCCAGCTCGTCGAGCTCGCTATTATGAAATAAACCATGAGCATTTTATATAAAAATAAAACAATTGTGAAAAGTTCTAGTAAATGGTTAATCCTATTTTCTTTTTAAAACCGTTTAAATTTTATTGATACAGTATAATTTGAAACCATAAAATTCATATCTTCATAATTGAATACCCAATTGATCTTGAAATCATAGGGTATCGAGTTTTTGAATACCCAATTAAATGGAGCAAATACCCAATTCCAAAGGAAATGATGGAGTAATACCCAATTCACTTTTAAAGCTTATCTGTTGCTCTGACACTATAAATTAAGTTTGATGAAACCACAATGTGTTTTATCATATAAGATAAATTCGCTGAACTGGTAGATCGACAAAACAACTTTTGCCCAGATCACGACCTGGGACAGGCTCTAGGTAACCGAACATGCTCTACGCTCTAGGTAACCGAACATGCTCTACACGGACTGTAAAAACTTTTGGTAATTAACTTGACACAAAGGGACGTAAATACTTTCATTCAAATCACAATGTAAAAAAATTTTCTATCAATTTTTGACTAGACAATAGTTCTGCTTTGTCAATCAAAGTAAGTTTTCCTGCCGACCTTGTTTTATTTTCAGAAAATAAACATTACCCCACCCGCTGGATTAAGCACGTTTTACGGCGCACATATTGTTGAACATGGTGAAACGGTAGAACAACTTACAGTATTTAATGCAAATTGAGATTCAACTAAATATGGTGCTTCTTTTGGGGATGTCAATACCTGAGATTGGCATGCAAGAGTATGTTTTAATCGATCTTTTTCCACACGTGGTGTAAATTTCGACTATCTCCAATGTCGAATTTCACGAGATTTCACGAGAGTTATGGAACTAACTTATTGATGACCTTAAATTCATCCGCGTCGTTCCTCGACCTCGAAAGGTCAGAAAAAGAATATTATCAAACCTCCATAAAATTCCGGAATGATGTTTGACTTTTATATCTTTGTGATAAATTATAAGAATAGTGAAAATAGTGACACAGCATTATCTCAATTTTGCATTATCAATAATGGAATTACTTTATTCGCTTTGACAGGTGAACTTATGTAATGAGTACTTTGCCCATAACCAAAACATAATCAGATGTGAAGTTGTATTGATTAGTAAGAATAAATTATGCAGTTCTAAATGACGTAAATGTAGAAAAAAGACTTTATGTGATTTCTATTTTTACTAATACACATGTTGATGAGTTAAAAGTCACTTTAGAAAATGGAATATTTTCAAGAAGTAGCATTGTTTTAAAGAATGGAAGGTGATTCCAATTTGGCATTTTGTCCTACATTCTGTAGCCACAAAAGAAATACTACATCTTTGTTAAGCTGTACGTTTTGATCAACGGAAATGATGGAGGTGGTTGGTGACTATGAATACAGCAAGAAGGATCTGATAGGGCATGGAGCCTTTGCTGTTGTGTTCAAGGGTCGACTCAGAAAGGTATCAATTTCAGAAACAATATTTAACAAAAGAAAAATTTTCCATATATGTAGAACATGTTTTACAATTGGCTTACATTATTAATTGGGCATCTGTCCATGTTTGGTGGTTTTGATAAATTGCAGATGGCATATTTTATATTCAACATGTCATTAATATCCATTATTGTTTTTAATTTCCGATAATCAGTGATTTTAATAGATCAGATGCAAATCATCAGGACTATAATTTGAGTATGAAAAAACAACAGAGGTATATTTGAATGACCCTGCAACAAGTAATTGATTTGAAGTCATGTGTAGTAGATATATGACATCAATTTTTATGAATTGCTTTTATAATTTAATGAACTTCATTTGATTTAATTATTTTAATGCAATGAACATTTTAATTATTAGGACAGAAAGTGATTTATCAGTATACTTAAAACTATATTTGTTCCTGTCAGTGATCAACCATGTAGTTAAAATGTGCACCTGGGTGTATATATATATATATATATTCAGTCTTCTGCTAATTTTATTTAGTCTTTTGTTTTGGGTTAATGAAATTTACCTTAACACTCATTATTATAATTATTATAAAGTGGTTCAGTGAGAAAATAATTTTTGTCAGGCTTTTCATATAGATGTTTTCTTATGTCCACTCTTTCATTCTTACATAATATTTAGTAAGTTTACAAGTTACAATTACCAGATGGTACTATTGATCACACCTTTCTGTCTGATGCAACTATGACTTGAACAATGGTTTACATATATGTATACCTTTCTGAGAGCATAGAAGTCATATGTATAGTCTATATTTCGTAATGTTAACTTATTTTCCCTAGCACTTAAATACCATGTAGTATATAATATCCATTGTTACTTTTTTTAAATCTTCCTGTCAATGACTTACGTTTTCCACTATGTTTTTCTTGTGGTATAATTCTCCCAACATATTCACTAGTCAATGAAATACCTTACTTGTTCATGCTTTCCACGTGATCCAGTTCTCCTAACATTTTGTTTTCTCACCATGCTTTACCCGTGCTGACCCCAATTCTCCCAATGTGCCTATTTAAATTATGAATAATGAAGTTAACAAGCTCTACAAAGTTTTAATAAATATTGTGTTAAATTGATAGACATGTTACTTACTTATTAACTATGTATATATCTGTCCCCATCTATTTACCCATATTTCAATAGAAAATAAAAATGAGTCATGTTATTACATGTTTGTAATCTGATATTAATAAAAGTAATTGTTGTTGTTGTTACATGCATTTTTCTATACAGATTCATAAATGATACAGCTTAGTTACAAAAAGTTATTATCAGTTTCTGATTGACTGCATTTATATGGGTTTTCTTCTGTTAAAGAAAATACTTAAATTAATTATGGTACAATTGTAAGGTTGCATTTATAAATAGAAGAGATTCTAAACTTCAGACAGTTGTATATGTAGATTAAATAATGAGCTTAAGGTACTTCTCAGTCTGACTCATTATGAATTTATTAAACATAGTTTTCTTTTGCAGTATTTATTCTGTTTAATCTGTTTATAAAGTTTTACCTGGAACTTTATCTTTACCCCGCCAGAACTAACAGTGATAGCCTTTGCCACAAATAAAATAATAAAGCCAGGTTAGCCAGCACATACATGGTAAATGTGTTGCTTTAAATATTGTTAATGTTACTTAACTAAGGATAGTTTTTATCTTGATATCCCGAAAAGCTATGATAATGACTAGTGCATTTTTGAAATTTGTCAGATTAATAAGGGTATTAAGATCAGACAGAGAATTTTTATTCCATACCAAATTAAAATATTTAAGTGTAACATTAGCTATAGGGGATGCAAATTCAATTGAATTTATCAATACATAATAAACCATTTAAAACTTTTAAGAAAAAAACAAATGTATGACTTTTTGTAAGGTAATAAATTAATAAAGAAATTTGTAATCAATTTGTAGGTCATTCAACATAATGTCCTCATTTAGATATAGGTCAGATAATAATGTATGTCCATATATAAATGTTTTACTTCATTACATTGTGTCATTGTCCCATAAATTAACTACTGTACTACATTGGCTAGCCAATTTTAATTGAAAATTATTTTAAACAAGTATAATATCATGGTGTATTTCTTGGCTGATGCAATATTGCATTTATTTTCCTTTGTTCAAATATTATTATATAAATTTTAGCGCCAATGTTACACTTGGTTGAACAAGAAAAAACAGCTGTTTCTATTTACACATAAAGTCATGTGACTTTAGTATTATTGTTAATATATGTATAAATAGCTAAATTGTATTACGAATCTGTGGTAAGAAATGCGGTTAACCTTTGTTTATCTATAGATATATATCTTAAAATGCGTTGAAAAAGTGACTTGTTAAAATTGATTTGCATATATTATATCACATGACACAACATCTGTTGTTTTCAATATGAAATGATTAAATTCATAATAAATATTTATGTATTTGATTTAAAGGAAGAAATCAAACTCATCCTGATTATTTTTAAGCTTAATATTATTTATTTATTATTATTTACTGATAGGGTGTTCACTAGCAATGAAATCCTGAGGGTCATTTTGACTAGGTTTACAGACTACAAATTTACAGACTACAAGGCCAAATCCCCATGATTTTAACAAAATTTGACTCTCCAGTTAAAATCCTGTCAGGGTCAAATCAGGCCTTTTGGAAATTTGAAGGGTCAGAGTCATTTCAAGGGTCAAACGGACACCCTGCAGCAATGCAAAAGATCTTAGTGCATGTACATACACTGTGTACATACCAATTTAAATATTAAAAAAAAAACAAGCCTGAAAATGAAAAGTATATAATATATTAAACAAACAGTAAAGAATGTTTCTATGATGATTATGTATTTTAGATTCATCACAAACTTTCTGACATCAATCTAGTGGCATGAAAATAAATATGTTTTGTCTTTTATGAGTTGAAGTAGTAGTAACTTACTGCTCATAGTACTATTAACTTTTGTTATTTTGTAATTGGAAGTAGCACTTGGTGCTTGTGTACACATGAAATTGTATAGACTTCATAACATAGGATGTGAACTTACTAAATTTACTTACTGTAAACTTTGTACATGTATATATAATCTATTAGTACTGTTTCGATCTTCAGCTACTGAGCTACATAATCTGTTTTTCACATTTAAATAATGTGGTAATAGCATTTTTCATTATAATTGTTATTATTATTGCTTGTTTTTATTATTTCAGTACCCAGAGAAAACTGTTGCTATCAAAAGTATTACTAAGAAGAATATCGCAAAATCACAGAACCTGCTCAGCAAAGAAATAAAAATATTGAAGGTAAAATCAATTTTTTTTTAAAGAAGACCTGTAACTGTTTGGGTTTTGAAGGGGATATTAGTTGTCCTTCTAAAAAGTACAACATCTGTGTATATCTAACAATATAATTATGTACTTTTATGCCTAGCTTTAAAGTTAGTCAAAAATTAAAAATATGCATAAATTAATCTATTTCTCTAATTCCATTTCATAGAAATGTTAAAAGACAAATTTGTGGGCATCTCTTGGTGTAAATACTGAAATGTTTGTTGTAATTATTTCAAATGCATAAAAGTGTTTGTCTACTGAGAATAAAGTCATGTTCCCAAGTACAGCAGTAAAACGTGGATCAAGAAATTTTAGCAAATTTCCTTTGACTTAAGTACTTTGATTTAATTTTGAAAATAAATGTTTCTATTATATAAGGTCTTTTTGGTACCTATTCCAAAATTTTTTTTAATATATTGTCTAAGAATATTGTATTTATTTTCATTTTTTTGAAAATATATGAATTAGACCAAATACATAATCATTTGTCTGTTGAAAACTGATAACTGTTTGTTTTTGGGTTTTTTTCTCTGCAGGAATTATCGGGACTCCATCATGAAAATGTTGTACAGCTTATGGAATGTAAAGTAAGTTTGTTTAAAACTTTTGCAAAAATGTAGGCTAGAGTGAGGCTACAATATTACATAATTGATAAAAAAAAAAAAAAGTGAAATGAAGTAGTGTCATGACTAAATATGGTAACAGTAATAGTCATAACTTAAAAAAGGTGCAAAAAAAAAACTTAACAAAATAATATTTTTTTTTATGATTATTGACAACAATTTTCAACTTCTGTCATGTAATTTCATCACCAGAAAATGTATGTTATGTTGTAAGTTTCATTATTGAAATTTTCTGCAGATAAAATGTGATGTTAAGCTTAGTAATTTGGTTCATGCATTTTTTATAAGCTTCAACATCAAAAGCTTGAACATACAACTAGCCATCATTCCCTTTGTTGTTATGTTTTATAGGGAAATTACTGTCAGCATTATTCCTACATAAAAAAAAAAACCCACATCATCCGTTCAAATGTCGGTCATGATTGGTCTTTAAGTAGAAATTTGACCTTTGCTATGCACGTAACTCCTACAATGTATATAAAATACCTGTGTGACCGACATATTTATTTTTCATTCTATATTTATATACATCATGTTTGGCATACATTATTTACCTGTTCTATTTATAGATCGTTGTTCTTTGTTTTAATAATAGGAGAAAGCTTGACGTCAGGACTAAATGTTATTGTTTATTATTTATATACTCAATGTTTATTTAAACCCAGTTGTAACACAAGATAAGAGTCAATAATAACACACCTAGGAACGTAAACAAACATTTGTAACATCGCAAAAAGAAGGTTTAGTGCCTTTGTACTATTTATTGAAAAGGTTAATTTCTTTTGCGTCTTAAAAATATCTTACGGGAACATAATAATTTTGTACTGTCTTGTTATTTTGTTTCTTGTTTGTTTTGTTTGACTTATAAGAATTTAAGATTTGAATGGCCTATTTGCATGTGTCATATTGACTTTAAAGTCTTGACTTATATAAACATATACTGTATGTAAGGTCAGCTCTAGCATTTATTTAAGGTAGTCGGTCAGACTGGACTGGTGACAGGTGTTAAATTTGTGCTACTTTTATAAAATTGTCATTCTGTACTCAAAACCCTTTTTACTCTCTGTTAAAAGTATGTTGAATGATAAGAATAGTAATATAATAATATAACATTTTTCTAAAGTATTCAAACAAAAAAATCCTGCTGACTAGGTATAATTCTTTACAAGCAGTGTGACATTTATTTGACCTATTAAATTATGTACTGGACTTTCTTCTTTAAGTTTGCATGTACTCAACATGTGATTTGGCGAGGTCTTATACATGTTAGAGCAGTGGTTGCCCATGAGTGCGGTACATGATATCTTTTTTGAAACATTTTCATACAATAAACTTTTGCGACAGGTAAAGATGCTAATCTTTTACTGATTTGTTGTTGCATAACAGTAAACTGTTAAGTTTTGATCTTATTGTTAAACAAGTTAAGAGTGGGTTTAAGGCTATTCAGTTATATTAAATATGCATACCTGTTGTCCAGGTGGGACTTAATGAGATGGTTAAACAATTTAAACCACTCTTACAGATAAATGTATTAGAAAAGAGGATTATATGAAATTTGATTATGTAAGAAATATGTTATATACAATGCAGCAGTACTTAAATAGCTTTTAATCTTTTATTATCTAAGGAAGATACAACTTAACAGCATTTGAGCATACATTGATTTAACCTTCACCTTGCTAATTTATGTAATTTCCATTGATCAATTAAAATAAATAAAAATAATAATACAATTACCTTAGTCTAAATTGACATGGCTATTGTTACCCTTTTATATATAAGATTCTGAGAGTAGCCTACTGAATTGATGTAATGGATTTGCCCTGCTTTTAATTTGGAATATTCCATTCAAAGTGTAAGGGATTTCAACAGGATGAATATCAAAATACAATGATAAATAAAAACCTGGTTGTAGGGTGCGCTTGCTCTTTACTGGTGGCAATTTAGCTAAAATCACTATCAGTTCCAGCAAATTAAGGGTTAAATACTCTAAAATAAATTGTGATGGATTACCTGGCTTGAAAAATTTCTGTAGTATATTGGCCCATCTTATAATTTATATGAACAAAATTTATATTTTAACAAATGATTATTGCTCAGTATCTGAAATGGCAGATAACAGATACATGTCACAACAGTTATTGCAATAGATCATGAAAATATATGTTAATGATATACAAGGCAAGACCAACATTATTTCTCTTGTTTTCAAAAAATAGATACAGTCATATAGAATGAATATATTATATTTATGCATATGACCTGCATTACCTTGTTGTATGTTATTTTTTGTTATGAAAGAATCTAGAGAAAATAGGTTATGTTGGTTCATGACTTTATAAATGTAGGTTTATATGCCAAGACGTAAAAAGAAAGTTTAACACTGTGCTATTTATAATGCTGATATAGTAATAGGTTTTTGAATTATAGAAATGAATACATGCTTTGTCAAAATTTAAATTCAACCAAACAAAAATATATTTAGTTTAAGTATAGCTATGAAGTCATGGTTAGAAAGTAATGTAAACATAATCATAGTTATAAATAGTTATAAATTAAAAAAATATATATGTAAGCTTATAATATGAAAAAGTAATTGTTGGGGGACAACTTTAAAATTTGGTTTTGATTTGAAATAATGCAAATTATATTTTAATATAAATGGTTGCAGGTTTAACCGAAATAAATTGCTTACAGACACATAGCTAGCTATTATTCACCATTCTGCAGTGTTTTTCTTCACAAAAGTAATCAAATAAAAATATACATGTATGATTCTTATTATATGCATGATTGTATATTAAACTACTGGTAGATACATTAACACATGATAAGTTATGGCACTTGTTTAAATATGACAGTTTGAACAATTCAATATGTAATGCTTTTATTAGTCTATTATATGATGTTAATAACAAAATTGTTAATATCAGTAATTCTGATAAGATATCGTCATGGCAACATATTGATTCCTGTTTCAAAAGTATTGTCTTATTGATTTGGTGGTCATTGTGTTTACACCAAATATGGCACATCATTTGCAATATTGACAAAACAACCCCCCTACATTGATGTGATGGTTTTAGATAATCACTGCTAATTGCCTGTGGGTAAAATTACAAAGGGGTGATGATGAAAAAGATTGTTTATGTACAAATAAACAGACACAAGACAAAATTTCAAATTGCCTTAAGGAATTATACAGTTATGAAAGACATATGTATAATATTTTGATTTTTTTCTCGTAACTGTGATTATGTTTTACCCTTTCACTTAGCCGATTCACTTCCTTTATTCTTTAAATAGGCTGATTTATGTAAAAGTCATGTCTTGTCTAGAAATAACAGCACATTGTAGGATACTGAGCCAGCCTAAAATAACGTACTGTTATTTCTAGGCTGACCTGACTCTATATTGGTAAGCATAGGTCATTCAATTTATTTCTGTTTCTCATTCAAAAGTTAGAGGTCAATCAAATATTTTAGTCTGAAGACCTTATGTAGGAATTACTGAGTTACGGGACGTAGGTTGTTCAAATCTATACCCAACAGCCTGTTTAAATGGTGCACAGATATTACAATTCTCATTTCTTTGTTTTAGAGATAGTGTAATTAATGTGATTATCATTTATTTTGTTGTTTTAGATATCATTTAATCCATACAGTCAAACCTGTTCACAAAGGCCATCCAAAAGGAGAAGCTAAACATGTCCTTTATAAACAAGTGGTCTTTATTTGGAGGTTAACTTTGTTCTTTATGTTAATCAAATCTATCAATTAATGGTTGTCTCAGAGTGGTCTTTATTCACATGATGATCTTTATTTAGAGGTGGTCTTTATATAGAGGTTAATTTGGTTTTTATAATCAAATCTATCAATTAATGGTTGTCTCAGAGTGGCCTTTATTCACATGGTTATCTTTATTCAGAGGTGGTCGTTAACACAAGTTTGTCTGTATTATATATTACTTTTTATTTGTTATATTAATTATTTATATGCAATCATTATATTTACAGGAAACGACCAATCATGTATATCTTGTCATGGAATATTGTAATGGAGGTGATTTGGCTGATTATTTACAAGGTAAATATTATATTACAATGAACCATAAATGAGATTTTATTATTTCCTACTATTTCAACAAAAAACACAAATGCCTTTGTCCCAAAAATTGTTAATGATTAACAAATATTGCATAAAAATTTCCAGAATTGTATTCTTATGTTATTAAGGTGTTCATATTTCTAAACATTAAAGGAAGTAAGTAAGCAAGTAGTGCCTTTATTGAACAAAGGTTACACACTAGGTTTCCCAACACAACATAATTATAATCTTTGAACAGTTTACATTACACAACATATACACAACAAATGTCATATTGAAACAAATCAGGTAAATTGAAACAAAGGGTGTGTCCAGATAATAGTATTCAAGTATTAAGGGTTATTAAGTCCAATGATAAAGATGTTTGCAGAGACAGACTGACAAACAAACAGATATGACAACATCATGTCATGTGACCTGTGTCAATAGAATAAGTTGAAATATAAAAATATGTTTGTTTTTTATGTAGGGCATTTTGATACAGACTGTGCCAGTAGATAGTTACATAGATAAAGTTGTACGGTACTTAAATCATGCAATTTGAGTTTGACATAATTTGAACACATAATGATATCTATACAAAATAAAGTCTCCTTTTATTATTTTTCCCAAAAGAAAATTTATATATTCAAAATGTGGAAATGCTGCTTTAGGAAAGATGCTCTATGATAAAACCTTCAGCATTTAGAAATCCAATGTGAATAAAAGGCTTATCTTCAGTTAATGTTTATTTACATATTTTATTTTTTAAACCCAATAAAACCAAATTTTTTCCCCCTGATTTATTTTTCAAAATAAGTCTAAATACCATATTGTTATTGAGTAAGAGCATAATAAAATATGATAAGAAATTGTTTAGCCTGAAATAAACACTGTCTGAAAATAAATACATGAACATGATTTTTCTGGTATTTTCATTGGTCATAAAGTAGGTTACAAATAGATACCTTGTCAGTTTTACTTGGTTAACTTTGACCGTATTTTCCACCATAGGCAACTGGTGTTTACAGTAATTTGTAACATTTTATTGACAAGTTATTTAATGAGATTCTCTTGTCATTTTATTTATAACCTGACTCAATTTAAACATTTTGAGATAAAATTAGAACATGTCAATCATGCAAATTAAAAGGTTGAAAGGTGACATTAATTAAATGATCAAACATAGATACTGTATGAGGAATTTGACAATTATGACACTGGGGATAAACATTTTAAGGGTATGAATACAAGGAAATATGAAGTATAAGATACTGATTCATGAGAATTAATAATTATTGGGAAGTATTAATTGATAGAGGTAGTAAATAGGTCACAGGAAGTTTAGAGGAAATGTATTTACATCAACATATTGGGACCTTTTCTCAAAGAAAATAGAAAATTTGATAACAAGATTTGATTGAAGTACTTATGTGAGAAAAAAATTAGGATGAAAGAAATTGACAATGAAAAAAAATTCTGAGAATTGACATTGTTGATAACAAATTTGTCAGATTTAAAAGTGAGATTATATTTGTCAGAATACAGTTGGATATAGATTTGTCAGAATTAATTGTTTTATCTTTATTGAATTGACCATATTCCAACAAATAGTCTAGCCCTGGCTTACTGATAAATATAACCAATGAATTATTAACTGTACTTGAAAAAAAAGCAAAAATGTAATGTTTTGATGTGAAGTATAATTTAACCTTACTGCCATTGTTTGAGTTAATAGCCGCTTAAAATGATATTGGTACAATTATAAGCAGCAATTATGTAACAAGTGTTTTTACTAAATTTGTAATGCCACAAATATGTATGTACTTATGTATATTATATAGATCAAATAAATTAGTGGGGGAGACAGATTGACAAACATATTCTCTCTCTCTTAACACATTGTTGCGGAATGGCATAATGCTTCACAAAAATTGATTGAATATATATATTATATTTTGATATATGACTGAATGATGTTTATAAAACATGTAATACATGAGGGGGATGATAGAAACCCTCTCATATCTATAATGGGATAAATAAACAGTGTTACGAGTGCGTCTGGCCAAGTGGTTAAGGTTGTTGACTTCAAGTTCAAACCATTTGCTCCTCAGTGCTTTGGTTTTGAATCCTGCCAGGGATTTTTGTATGTGAGGAAACTATAAAGCTAGCTTATGAAACATTGGTACTTATATGGTGCTTCTTCATGCCTGAAATAAAGCACTAAAGCACTTGAGGTCTTACTCCACCAGTAAATCAGGAAAATTGCCATATGACCTCTACTGTAAAGGTGCAACATTTAACCCAACCAAAAAAATAAGATAGAAATAAAGGGTGTTAACCAGTTGATGCCTAAAATATAAAAAATTGCATAATTCTTTGTAAAGGACTTTTGCAAATCTGAAGTGTGTATTCTCATAATACCCCAATACTGACCTATCTCTGGAAACTGTACTGAACTTATCACCTTAGGTATTAGGTGATCTTTTAGTATGTTTGTCTCCTTATGTTAAAGACATATAGTGATGTTATACTTTTATAAATTACAGCTAAAGGTACACTCAGTGAGGATACAATCTCAAACTTCCTACGACAGATAGGTAAGCTTAATATTCCCAGTCCTTCAAGACCAGTATAATATAAACTATGTGTGATCAAATTTCAGTTAATTACTTAACACCACAATGTATATTTTCTGAGTCTTGTAATCAAATATATTACAACTTTCATCAACTTCTTTCAAGTGTCTATCAATAAATTAAACCTTATTGGTTCCCCATGGACAGCCTTTAGAAACTTTCCAAGTAATTGTAAATAAGTATGTGGGAGGCTGTTACAATAAAAGAAAATTAATTGTTTGTCCTTTTAAGACGCCATATGACTTTTACAGTATTGTTTTGACTTTAATACAACATAATAAATAGATAGAAATAGATATTATGCCAGACTGCTAGCACCTGATATCAATTATATTTTTCATTTCAATTCTTGATGACAGATATGAAACTGACTGAGATATTACATGTACAATATATAATGTCATATAATGATATATATTTTCAGCGGGTGCTATGACAGCATTAAATGGTAAAGGTATTGATGTATAATGTTATATAATGATATATATTTTCAGCGGGTGCTATGAGAGCATTAAATGGTAAAGGTATTGATGTATAATGTTATATAATGATATATATTTTCAGCGGGTGCTATGACAGCATTAAATGGTAAAGGTATTGATGTATAATGTTATATAATGATATATATTTTCAGCCGGTGCCATGAGAGCATTAAATGGTAAAGGTATTGTTCATCGTGATATGAAACCACAGAACATCTTATTGTGCTTCCCCCCTGGTTCAAAAAATCCACCAGCTTCTGAAATTAACCTGAAAATAGGTACGTTTTCTAGATAATGAGAAATTGTTTTGTTTTAATATTCCTTTTTCTTTAAAATGTATACCAGACACTTCAGGTAGTTCGAACGGTTTAAAAATTTCAGATTAATCTTATTATTTGATTTCATTGGTATGTTTTTATAATATGAATAATGGATTACATCATGAAATACTTATATTAATCAGACTGTAGGACTGCATGGTTACTATAGGCATAGAGGTTATAAAACTTTTATCTGAGTTATGTCTCAAATCTCAGGATTTCCATTGGTTAGTATACATTCTATTGCAGTTTCTAATCAATCAAATCTCAGAATTTAAATTGACCTTTGAAAATTTATTTATGACCTTGACTCCTGGCTCTAGGCATACTGCGACCATTATGTTACTAGAGAAAAATTCAAGATTAAGTTAAGTAAAACAGACTATTGGAATTCTGGTTAGAATAGTGAACATTTTAAAATATTTGTTGATTTTTAAGCCCATTTAAAGTATGTCTGCCCTGAAATAACATGAAATGAAATTAAAAAGTAAAATCATAATTTTATTACTTAGTCGTTTTTTATCACTTTTTGCAGATTTTCCAGATTTAGATGTCTAGCTTTTTTAGCATTTAAGTACTCACTACTATATTCTTATTTCAGCTGATTTTGGGTTTGCGAGATTCCTGCAAGATGGAGTTATGGCAGCTACTTTGTGTGGATCACCCATGTATATGGTATGTTACTTTATGTGTTTAAATCATGTATTTATGTTTTATATACATAGTTATTCTAACACAAGAATAACTTTGTGTAAACACCTTATCCTTCCTGCAAATAATTTTACTCATGCAACCAGTGCAGACCAAAATCAGCTGACATGCGGATTTCCAATGTTATCTGATCATGGTTCGACTTGTTGGCTATTCAATCAGTGTATTTTACGAAATTTACCCTAATTGGTTTTGTCCAGAATAAAAGATGGAAAAAGTCCTTAAAGATATTTAGGGTGGGGTATATTTACAAGAAAAACTGTACAAAACTTATTGAATCCACCAATAGAAATTTTGTGACAGTATATACTTTAGTATTAAAATTCTTGGTGTATTGCTCATTCATTTATTTACGATTTATATATACATTGTACATGTAATATGGCTTGGAATGCATAAAACGTAGAATTAAGAGACATATTTATGCAAATTAAGTTATTTTTGGTACACGGTGGGGTAATGATGGAATATTATTAATGTAAATCAATTATGATTAATTACAACATTTTGTATACTAATATAGCATTTGTATTTCATTTATTTTCCTCTTACTATGGTATATTTGCCGCATAAACTTTCCTGCTTTGCATACAATGAATAGAACTATCATTTATTAATGTGTGTGGGTTTTGATATTAAAAAGACAATCTGAAAGTAAGCAGATATTGATACCTTAATGCAGTAATGGGTTAACTCGTAATAAATTATATGAGTTAGCCCATTACTGCACTAAAGGTGATGATATTAGTATAAAATCTGACTATGTATTTATGCTGGCTGGTCTGGCTATATACTGGTGGCTTACACAAGTCACTCTATCTGCTGGTAATATTGGATAGAATTGAATTAAATCCACTTACTCCTAATTTAACTATAACATTTTGTAACATATTCTGAATCATGTGACAGAAAATGTAAAAAAAGCAAAGAAACTCCAGTGAATTCATTGATAATAATTGCTTGGAATTGGTAAGCTAAAAAACAATTGGTCTCAAAAGTATTGTGTACAAATCATTCTCTTTTCAATTATACTAGTTGTATTTGTTCTAAAATGTAATATATCAGTTGATTCCTCTATTGCTTACATTGTTAGCCTGACTTTTGGAAGAATAGAGAGAGGTTTTGTACTACTCCCTGGGTCAGTGTGGGTGAAACACTTTGGTTCAGTTATATGTAAAAAAAAGCGCTGATTGCATGTATATTTGTGACATTTAGAATTTGTTTGTTTTGGTCCTATGTTGCCAAACAAACCTCTTATCATTGTCAGTATATTGAACTAATTTCTGTTGTGATTTTCAGGCCCCTGAGGTGATAATGTCTCTACAGTATGATGCTAAGGCAGATTTGTGGAGTATAGGCACTATAGTATTCCAGTGTCTCACAGGCAAGGCACCATTCCAGGCCACTACCCCACAACAACTGAAACAATACTATGAGAAAACTCTAGAACTTAGGCCTAAGTAAGTGTTCGATTGTTTACATAACGTAGGTCTTCAATAATATCTAATGAGTTCAAATGAGTGTTACAATGAGTGTTGCACTGTGAAGTCGGGCTGTTAAATAGAATGGAATAGTTTTAAAGTTAGTCTTTGAAGAATATGTTTGTTCACAGTTTAATATTTGATATAGTACATGTATTATACTGTAAGATAAGGCTTTCTTTTAGGTATTGATATAATTTGGTTTAAAGTTGAAATATTTACACTAAAACTATTTTTATCATTTTCAGCATTCCCTCAGGAACGTCCCCAGAGCTCAAAGACCTGCTGCTGAAACTTCTCAAGCGTAATGCTAAGGATAGAATAGAATTTGGTATGCTTTTTATTTCATGATGCAATCAATTTTCTTATTCATTTATCATAATAATCTTATACCAGCTTGTTGTCATTTTTAATTGAAATAAAGCTTTAAGGCCAGTCCAAAAAAAGGAAATTTAAACCAGAGTAAAATAGAAATTTAGACCAGTCTGAAAATGGAATTAAAGACCAGTGTAAAATTAGAAATTTAGACCAGTCTGAAAATGGAATTAAAGACCAGTGTAAAATTAGAAATTTAGTCCAGTCTGAAAATGGAATTAAAGACCAGTGTAAAATTAGAAATTTAGTCCAGTCTGAAAATGGAATTAAAGACCAGTGTAAAATTAGAAATTTAGTCCAGTCTGAAAATGGAATTAAAGACCAGTGTAAAATTAGAAATTTAGTCCAGTCTGAAAATGGAATTAAAGACCAGTGTAAAATTAGAAATTTAGACCAGTCTGAAAATGGAATTAAAGACCAGTGTAAAATTAGAAATTTAGTCCAGTCTGAAAATGGAATTAAAGACCAGTGTAAAATTAGAAATTTAGTCCAGTCTGAAAATGGAATTAAAGACCAGTGTAAAATTAGAAATTTAGACCAGTCTGAAAATGGAATTAAAGACCAGTGTAAAATTAGAAATTTAGTCCAGTCTGAAAATGGAATTAAAGACCAGTGTAAAATTAGAAATTTAGTCCAGTCTGAAAATGGAATTAAAGACCAGTGTTAAATTAGAAATTTAGTCCAGTCTGAAAATGGAATTAAAGACCAGTGTAAAATTAGAAATTTAGACCAGTCTGAAAATGGAATTAAAGACCAGTGTAAAATTAGAAATTTAGTCCAGTCTGAAAATGGAATTAAAGACGAGTGTAAAATTAGAAATTTAGTCCAGTCTGAAAATGGAATTAAAGACGAGTGTAAAATTAGAAATTTAGTCCAGTCTGAAAATGGAATTAAAGACCAGTGTAAAATTAGAAAAAGACCAGTGTAAAATTAGAAATTTAGACCAGTCTGAAAATGGAATTAAAGACCAGTGTAAAATTAGAAATTTAGTCCAGCCTTATACATGTATTGGAAATTTAGACCAATTTGAAATTAGAAATTTTAACTTGTGTAAAATAAGAACTTTAGACCAGTCTGATATTAGAAATTTAAACCAGTCTGACATTGGAAATAAAGACCTGCATTTTGAAATTGGAAAGTTAGACCTTAGATCATTCAGCAATAGATTTATGTAATTCTTTGCTTTCATTTAATAGATATTTTTATGTCATTTATAATGAGTAACAGTCATTTATGTACAACTATATGTATTTACTTTTTCAGAGGACTTTTTTATCCATCCATTTGTGCGACCATTATCACCCGCTGCATCATGTAAGTATATTATTTTTCAATAATGGCTGTATGTTAGGATGCCAAGAATGTTGATACTTTGCATCAAAACATTACTAAACCGTTGATGTACAGTCCCTGACATACATATATAAATATAAATTCAAATCTTGGCAGTTTTATTTTACTCATGAGACCTAATTTGCACATAGTAGTGACAAGAATTATACAGACTTTTTAGTCTGGTTTCCTCAACTGACCATTTACACAGAGTTTGACTGTATTTGGCAACTGATCAGATCATGTGACCGTCTTAATTTTTTTAAACTAAACATTCTGAAAATCAATATTGCTCTGAAAAGCGTTTCTTGTATTTACATCATTTTATTCTATCTGATCAATTCCAAGGGATAAATCCAGATTAAAAATATATTTTTCTATTTTTGTCAATTTACTTGCTTTTCAACTTGATCTCACAAAATATGACCAGAAAATAGCCGATTTTATTATACATTATTTCTTTGATATCACAATTTTACCAATTTCTTGGATATGACAATTCTACCAGTTCTGTCAGATGTTGTGCTTTTATATGATAAATATATGATTGTTGTAATTGGTATATTTTTTTGTGTAATTTCAGCATCCCCAGTGCCTGTACCAGGCAGAAGTCCGAGTTTCTCTTCAGACAGTCCAGCTTCCCTTAAGGCCAATTCTGCGTCTCCGCTTTCTGGTAAAATGGAATATTCCCCCTCACCTCCTCCAGTACATGTACAAAAGGTATGTGTAGTTAGTGTATAATACAACAATTTACTGTTGGCAAGAATAAATATTTCTTTATGCTAAAGATATTCTCATATATTTCTGACTTTATGTCAAAAGTGCCTCAAAAAAATTTTTTTCAGCACTTCAGTATTTTTAGAAAATGTTTTATAAAAAATTTAAACAATTCAGAGTCACTGCGAAATTTTAATGGTGAAAAATAATTGTACCATATCAATATATAACTTAATTATCTTCATTAAACTTTACACCCATGTAGCTGTACTCTTGTAATCAGGTTAGACATGAAAATTATTAATTCTTTTTTGTATATTGAAAAAATATGAAAATTTTATTGAATGTATCTTATTTTCTGTTTTAGTCAAAAAGTCCAATGAAGTCTGAAAGAATGCAGGAACCACCTGTTCACATCACTGGTTCCCCTCGTGAGGTTGCTGGTTTCCTCAAGATTGCAAAAGAAACTGAAACTGGTTCCCGGTGTAGTACACCAACAGAGGTAAACAAATTTATTTTTTGAAATTTAAGTTAAAGGGACATGCCTCCATGTAACCATTAACCTCATTGAAGTGTTCAGTTTAAAGTGCTTTAATTTTTTATGGGGAATGCTGCATTTTCTTTAGTGAAATGCATTGAGGGTATTTAAGGCTGTATATTACTTTCTTATATAAACTATTCAACTATATATATCTTGTATGGGTATTTGGAGGTATTTTCCCTTTGAAAAAGCTTTTAGTCTGTATCAACTGTGTATAAAACTGTGTTTTGTAATTTGTCATGCATTTGTGTTGTAAATATGTATTTATTTTTTCTTGTAATGAAAAGAATGCAGCTGTTGCTCAAACTGCTTGCCATAATAGTCTCGAATTTTGGTTGAAGGTCAATGTCACAGTATTGACTTTTAAAGGTCAATACAGCTGGCTGGTAAAATGCCCATCAAATGTAGTGGTGATGCACGTTCATTCCCCCAATGTTTTATACCAAAGAAAAAAGACATAATATTTGTCTCCCCCTTTACTTGGAACACAGAATTTCTCTTCATTCAAAACTAAGAATTGTTCTCCACATTCAATCTTAGATGAAAATTCTTGAAGCCAGAACAATCGGAATTAATCTGTTATTTTGATTAAAGAAATTAATTAAGTACATCAGCAACAAATAGTTGAGTAAGTAATTGGTTTTCGACTTGTATTTTTTTTCCGTCAGGATTCATTTTCAAGAAGAAAATTTTGGATCACAGTGAATAATTTTGGAAGTTGGTGTATCACATGACAATGTAAATGTAGAATCTGTCTCTAAAAATAGATTGATGTTCACTGAGTGTCAGAAAATGTCTTGAAAATAGGCCAGAAATTTTACATTATGCATATAAATTATGTTAATACAAAGTCACAGCTTAGACATGGTGCCAACAGATTTACTAGTAACTTACATATTCTTGCATGATCACTGTTACCTACTCATGACAATGATGGGCATTATTTAAAGTTTGTAGATATTTTCTTACAGAATTATCTCAGGAAAAAGTTTGTGCATGTTTGGAAAATTGATATGCCGTCAGTTTTGGAAAGAAAGCTTTTATGTAGTAAATCAAAGGTAGACATTTTAAATAACCCAGAGTGATTTGGAGAAAAAAATCATCCTTAACGAGGGAATTTTTTTTTTAAAGAATTTCTTATATACATTCCAATACCCGATTTATTATTTAAATGATTTTAATTCTTCAAAGTAGATATTTTTTGTAGTTTATTATAACCTTCCTTCTTATTTTATTCTTTACAAACTTGTTTAACGACCCTCACACAAATTGAACTTTTTTTTGTAACAACCCTTCCCAAACTTCCTTGATTTATTTATGCATGAGGTTTATGAATAATTTAATTTTTGCATGAATTCCTTATTTCCTAGTTTTACACTGTGCTAGATATGTTTAAAATATCATGATAATTAAATCGCAATTATCTTTCTTAGGAAACTATATCTTGTATACATGCATTCCAGTTAATTTATTAAGCTTATAATTGATATGATGGTAAATTTACTTTGTAATTTAAGTTCAGAATTTTGACAAAAAGAAACTACAAGAAAAGGACAGGGCATTGTTTACAGACAGGGAAAAGTGTAGCTGATTTTTTGGGTTGGATGGGATGTTTTTAAAAAGAATGGGTGGGGGGAAGGTCGTTAGTAATTTCCTTATATAGGGATTTTATTGTGTTCCGGGGGAAGATCAGTTTATTGTTGTTGTTGTTGTTTTTTGTGGGAGTGTATGGAATTGTCTTAAGGAATATAGGCTGATATAACTTTGTTTCTGGAGATGATTTTGTGGGGTGTAAGATGTAAGGTTATGATGATACAGGGATGGATTGGAAGGGTGAGGACAGTCACCAAAAGCTGTTGTAATATATAAAGGAGGGTTACAACAAATATTATTTCTATTATACCATAAAAATCAGACTTACTGGTAAATTTGTTAAATCGTAAATTTATTACATAAGAGGCCAACAAGAAAATATATTGCAATTTATCAATAATATGGAAATGGTATTGAGATGAATTTGTTCTCTTAATTGTTCTGCTGTATAGTGATCAATATCTACTTGAGACTGAATTATATCGGCAACAATGATATCACGTTGTGTACGGAATAATGTAACCGACGGATGACTCACTAGTCTGGGTGCTGCAGATTTTTCACTTTTTTACCCAATATGCAGTTTTCTGCGTCTACAGATTTTGATATGTTTGTCAATAGTGTAGAAACATGCATGCATATATACCAATACAGCCAATGATGGAAAAGTTTATTTAAGAAATGGATTGATATTTGATAATTTTGAATGGTCATATTATATATTAAGATAGGAAATTATTATTTATGTTAAATGGACAAAATAGGTGAATGATTTAAAAAAAAATTAAAAACCAGAAAGACTGGATATTAAAATATTGGATTCATATATGAAAAGTTACCATTGGAATTATGTAAATGAGTTTGGATCTGCGCATGTTGCTAAATAACGATTGCACAATACTGTTGGATGTAAAACAAGAATGGAATGAACATTTATGACTGACTTGTTATTCTTAGGTATTTCACTAAAAGACATTGCAGAGATAGAAGTAAAAAGATAACAGTATTAAATTAGTGACTTTTTATACTTTTTAAGGAGATTTTCCATGAGATACAGGGGAATAACAGAATTGTCGGATGTTTGATTTAATTAATTTTTTTCTCTAAACAAAGTTAGATCTTTATAAGGTTTACTTGTGTAAATGTGAAAATGTATGCGGAAATTTTATACAGAAAAACAAAATCAACTGTAAATGAAAATGATGGAGGAAATATGGGGATTTGAATGAGAAATGACGTTTAAACAAGGATGGGATGTATTATTCTGGTAATTTGTCCAAAATGGACATTTTGCTTGCGTCATCAAAATGAAAGTATTATAGAATCAAGCATTAGTGTAGGTTTCCAGTGCTATTGTCATCTTAATGTGTCTGTCTCCTAGGATGTTAATTTATTCATTTTAAATATTCATGAGCACTAATTTGCATAAATTATTTTTAGTAACATTTAAATTTTTTACTGATTTCAATCGAAGTTATACAATAAGATAGTGGTTGAATCCTTCCTGAAAATGATGGAAAAGTGTTGTTGTGAAATATGTAGGAATTTGATTATTTAGTATTTCGCTGTAGAAAATCTGCTGCAGTATTACATTATAAGGAGCGGTGTCTAAGATGGAACAGGCTAGCTCAAATTTGCTGACTTGTCATTTTCCGAATGTTAGTCAGCATTCAACGCATGTTAAATTATTGATTTTATAACAAATTTTCAAAATATTGGTTTTTTCTTTATGGCAGGACTTTGTGATGGTCCCTGAAGGCTTGAGCCCCGAGCATTCAGATGCGGATGGCAAGGCTATCAAAATGTCAACTGAAGATGGGTGAGTGTTATGATTTTAAAATGTTTTTTTCCTATTGAAATTATTTTACATACAACATAGTTACAAAGGCATGCAATATGGCCAATAATGCAGTATAATTATTAAGTCTAGCCAGGGGGCAGAAATTGGTCTTTTCTGACAGATTGTATCTCCAGACACTTAATGTAAGTGATTTTAGATTTTGGTTGTTTTATAATGTACATATTTTTACTTTGATCATTTTGTCTTTTCAATACAGCATTGGTACAGATAAAAGCAACACTGTTACTGTAACACCCAACTCTGGTGCTGCCCTCTACAGGAAAGATTCAAACCCGAGTTTCAATGTGAACCGCCCATCCACTCTACAAGTGGCCTCACCAAGTGGCACACCACCATCATCAGAGCCAATCCCTGTGCCCAGCCAAGTGGCAGCCTATCAACGAATGCAGAGTAACTCACCTCTTAGTCCACAAGTTTCAAATAAGACCTTTGAAAGTGGAAGCCCACTGAAGACGGTATGTAGATTTCCTTATAACTAATGTTGTATCAAATATAAAAACTTTACAGATAACAAAAACAGAATAAAGTGCTGTATTTTATGTGAATTAAAAATATGAATTAACCCTTAGACTGACAAACTTATCCATTTTTGAATTTACAACGGTCAATTAAAAGTGTTAGGAATTTCAATATCAAAATACTTGAATTGGACAGCCAACATTATAGAATCTGATCAAGACTACTCAGTTGTTGAAAGTGGCTTGGCATGATACTGATGACACAGGTAATTTACATAAATCATGAAATAAATACTAAAAATGAATTAATTAATGTTTGAAATTACAGATAGTGGAGAAGAAGGAGTCTGGGTTATCAATACAAGGTTCAGAACTTAAACCAAATATAACGGACATTTCCCCACCGGTGCAGTTCAGTATAGGTACTCCACCAGGAAATACAAACACCCCGGGGTCATGGAGGAGAAGTAGTATTTCTAACTCACCAAACAAATATGGTACCACTCCACCATCCCCACTGAAAAAATCAGGTAAATATTGCTCACACTTCAAAGTACACACGTAATTTGTAAAGGTCAACTTTGATAAAAAAATCTTATAAAAGTTGGGTGTAAATAGATCTTAGGTTTTGACAATATTTTCCCCCTTTAACAAGAAGAACAGCCATTTTCTTTTGATATAAGTATGAGAGGTAGAATGATGATTGACGAATTAGATTTTGCATAAAGGATTTTAGATCAGTTGTTAAATTCCCTGACAAACTATTGTTAAGAAGGGGTAACCTATAGCAACTGTATTGAAAAATGTTCTTATTTTTAATTTCAAATCGTAATTTAATAAATCATTGACTCATTTAATGATATTGAAACATAAAAAAAATTGGTGACACTTTAGTTGAGTTTATCTCACTCTTTGGATTAGTGGTTGGAGATCACTATATCTTTAGCAAAGGTCATAGAAAATTACACAATGTCATAGTTCAGAGAAGACATTGATTTACATCAACAGTTCATGTATATCATACCTTTACAGGCTGACTCGGAGATAGTAATATTTTATTTAAAGCAGGACTTAAAGATTAAAGAATTGCGGCCATTGAATATAGTTGTTGCTTGTATATAAAAAGGTTTCTCTATATTCTTCATACAAAGCTTTCATCTATGCCTTTTATCCAATGTCAAAATCTTGTCTCGATATAGATAAATAATGTGGAAAACTACATCAATAGTTAAATTTGAAAGAGCATGTGTCAGTTATTGATGGGCGATGTTAGTGGTTTAAAGTGGGGAGAATTAATAGTGTTGGCTGCGTTTATAATTATATTATGTATATTAGTATGATATTGAAATCGAGGAAATAAATACTTGTTTTGTTATATAATTATTGGAAACCTATTCAGACTAGAGCATATTACATTATTGACAAAAAATTATCATAGTGCGTAGGGTTAAAAGAAATACAAAAATTTATTTTTCTGTTAAAGATAATTTTGTATATCTTTTAGCAGATGATAATTGTAAAAGTGATACCAGTTCTAGCAAAGCTTATGACATTACTGCTAAAACTGATAATTATATTCCTAAAAAAGGTAATAATTTCATGAAAATTGTTTATTGCATAGAATTTTTTTCCATTTTATATATTCTCTCCTGAAGATATTCACACAGCTTTGTACTTCTCACGATTTTATTTACTCATGGTTTTATTTAATTTGGACAGGATCAGTACCGGCACATCTTTCACCAGTTCAGTTTACAGGACCCAGTTCCCTACCCACAATAATGGACTCCCCCACGAAGGTTCCTTCCACCCTGCACTTCCCTACAAATATAAATGAGATGCGACCTGGACTGGTCAGTAACGCAGCTTACCAGCGCCACCATCCCTACACTGTACCGGAAAACCTCCAGGCATTGGAGTTAAATGGAAACTGTAAGTTTCAAATTTAAGTATTTACCTGCTAAATTTCAGGAACATTTTAAACAACTTTTTCTAGCTTCCAGCTTGCTATTTTACTTTAACAGGCTTTTCTAGCTTTCGGTTTTGATATTGTCCATTATTAAGTTTTTCGATAAAAAATGTTAAGCTTGGTCAGCAAACAGTATAGAGCCTGGTTAGACTGCAAAGATGTGCAGTCTGGCAGGTTACGCCATACTGTTGGCAAAGAATAATCATTTCTAGTTTCAGCAGGGTAATATTAAAAAGTATGAAAATCCATCAAATTAAATAATGGACACTTCTAAATTTAAAGCTAGACAAGTCCATTATATATATGCAGTGGGGTAAAGGTTAACAGTTGTCTTAGTTATTGATTATCATTATTAACAGAATTATTTATTTATATTCAGCTTTGTGAATTATTAAGAAAGTTTGCTTGAGGCTGAAATGTTTCATTAATGTATCAGAATTGAACAGCTATCCTTGCAGATTAATGTGATAACAGTGGTATTAAGATTCTCAATATTTCATCAGTGATAATGACAAGATGTTATAATGATTGTGTTCTTGTACAATCTTATACAGTTGAAGTACTTGTGATATGATATATCAATATACAGAATTATAATTCAAAATGAAGTAAGCTAAAAATTAAATTAAAAGTTATAGCTAAGTAATGTTAGAATCACATCGTTTTGTTTTCATAATAAAACTTTTCCAGTGTTAGGAAAGCCAGGCTCAAGTTCTAGACCATCAGAGGGAACCAGCATGTTGTCACAGCAACTGTTCAAGGCAGCATTTGGTGAAAGTCCACAGCAAGGTAAATATGGATAGATGATGTAAATATGGAAAGATGTGATTGACTAGTTTTATAAACTATGCTTTTTATTTGTTGAAAATATGTAGATGAAAGGTTAGTGTTATTTGGGATGTAAGTTTGTTGCATAGCAACGTTACCCTGTCCTGTTAATATAAATCCTGTCAATATTATAATATAATGATGCGTTCATGTCAAGCATTTGTTATGGTACAAGTATATAAATTTTACAGATTCACGGACAATGATTCCATTTGCTGGGTTTGGCAGTCGAGAGAGAATTAATTCTGGAAATAGTGATAAATCAGAGCGATCTGTGACGTATGTAAGACGAGGTACGTCTGTGGAAGCGTCACCTCCACCGGCACTCATGTACGCTCAGTCTCCCTCTAACATGGAAGGTCCTATTGCATTTGTAGCACCAGAATTGTCAGAAGAAACATTAATGGATGTAAGTTTTGTGTTCATATGTTGCATCAAAATTTTTATTCTTGAATATTTTTTAACATGAGATAATCTATCTCTGGATACTGCCAACCCCTCTTACGAGTGTTAAAGGCAGGAATTTAGTGCACGTCGGATTGTTAGTAAAAGGTGAAAAGAAAAGCTAAAAAAGAAAAGTCCAAACATTGACATGCTTGGAAGGTGAGACTGAAAATGTATTCTAGTCATGGTTAAAATGTTAATAGTGAAACAAGATGATAAGAGATAAAATAGTTTAAAAACACTGGGAGTAAGACTAGTACTGCAAACCCACCACTGCCTGTTTGAACTGACTCAGGTTGGGCAGGGTGGCAATGTTACTAGGAAGTTTATTCCATAGTATAATGCTATGAGGGAAGAAAGAGTACTTATGGTAGTCGGAGGAAACCTGTATTTGGCGTAGGGATAAGGGATGCATATGTCTGGTTAATCTATGTGGGGTTTGAACATAAGTTGGGAGATTAATTGCAACTAGGTTATGGTATATCTTATAAAACATTATTATTATATAACTTTATTTTGTTCATTGATATTTTTGTTCTGATTTTCCATTTAGGTATTAATAAGTTATATAATAAAAAAACTAATTATGTTTATCAGCCAAAATTTATATAAAGGTAAAAGCACAAATAAAGTGATTTTCATTAATCATAAAATGAAAAAGACAAAGGATTTTTACTAGGTATAGTATCATGATAGTGTGTTGACATTATTAATTTATATGTTTTAGGATAACCATAATGCAACATTGGCCAAGTTGAACTTTGCCCTTGATTTGGTTGAATGCATCCTGGAGGTTTCTAAATCAAGAGGAGCACCTCTGAACTCTTTTTCCGAAAGTGTGAATTGTAACAAGGGAGAGAATCTGCCGGAACAAGTGCCAAAATTTACAGAGTCTCAGCGACGACTTGAACAACTTATACTCCATGTACGAGCTCTTCATTTATTGTCGTCTGCTTTACAGTTAGCGAGGGATGAAATAAAAGCGGGAAAATTGACCATTTCAAACTCTGTCAAAACTGGTAAGGTTTTTCTTTATATCTTTTTCAGACATATTTGAACAGTTGAAAAATGCAGTATGTGATTATATTTATATATGAATTCTTAAATGTTCATGAAAAGTTTAATCTTTTGGTGTTCTTTTTTCTTGTTACAGTTGTGAAACAAATGAATGAGCATTATCACATATGTGTACGAGTCAGTCGTGAGCTACAACAACGACTAGGAAGTTCCGTACAGACAGCATTGAGTCCACAGATCGTCATAGCAACCGCAGATAAACTAATATATAATTATGCTATTGAAATAGTAAGTACATTCATACAGTCTGACCAGACTCTACTGTTAACAACTTTCTTATATTAATATCCCTTAGAATTACAATATACAGGTTTGATATTAAAAAACATTGTAAAGGTTATTTATGTAATGTTGATACCAATGGTTTGTATTAACACCTGTTACAGTTTAATTAATACCACATCATGTGTTGTTATAAATATAAAAGGCAAATAAAGTACAAAATGTTTTGAAAAGGTCGGCAAAAAAATGAAATACATGTATGTCAGTTGTGTTATTAATAGAAAAATTACAAGAAAAAAGTGTCAGAAATTTTTACCAGTTATTCTTGTATTATCAATACGAGTTGAATTTTTACCATTTATGATGCCATGTACTGCTAAGTAGAAAATATACTTATTTACGTCATGAGGAACATCGAGAATTGCATAATAATTTCTTCAATTTTATGGTTATATGCAGTCTACACAAATTTAATAAATCAGGTATTTCTTTATAATTATGATGAAATACTGCTTCGTGCATACAAAATACCAATTAGTAAATTTTTATTTCATATTTACAACAGTGTTATAATTTAATTTTAGTGTCAAACGGCAGCATTAGACGAGTTGTTCGGAAATCCTCACGAGTGTTTCCGTAGATACCAGACAGCACAAATATTGTTACACAGTCTAGCCCAGCAGTCACGAAACACTAGAGATAAAGAATCATTGAATAAATGTAAGTGAAGACAGTTTCTTGTTTATAGATTTTCTTACAGTGTTGATCTTTTTTTACAATGTCTTTTACTTTTTGTTTTGAGTATTGCTATCAACTATTGTGAGGCTTATCTTACATAATACATGTTTGTTAAACAAAAATATTTTGTTTAATGAATGAAAAGAAGCAATAGTTTTGTTTGATTGGTTAAAACTGTTGAATATAGATCACTCATCCTAGTTTATGAAACAAAACAAAGCTTTCTAGATCGCTTATAGGTTACCATGTCACCTGTTTTATCCAGCGCTCCTTGTTTGTGTCTATATATGTTGATACAATTTTATTGATATTTTTTTCTTCAGATAAAGCTGCAGTTGAAAGGAGACTAGCAAATTTACAAGGAAATGCATATTACCAACAAACATTTGCTGCCAGCTGATTGTGATTCTAAACCGTACACATTCATCAATACACACATCTGTAATATATATTACACAGCATATAACTTGTACACACAGCATATATAAATATGTGAGTGATCGGGAAAACATGTAAATAGAACAGTTTCAAAGTATTATTAAAGTGGCAAAATATATTTCCACAAAAAAATGCAAAAGGAAAGACGGAAAGATAAGATAAAAAAAGTACATTTTAATGGGGTATGGTATAAATATGGGGATGTCATGTATCAGTGAACATTACATGGCACATATAGATGAACACCACATGGCATGTATAGGTTGAACAACACATGGCATGTTTAGGTGGACACCACATGGCATGCTACAGTGAATTTTTCGTTCTGTGCATCAGTTAACAAGGCATGAGTGACATGCATCAATGCAGATGAACTTATTTGACTAATGGGGCATGAAGTCCCGAATTTCACGACAGAGAAGCTGAAGTTGAGAACTAAAGTAGACATACTGAATGATGTGTCATGATGCCACTATATAGGAAAGAAAAAGAGGGTAGATAGACAAATGTAAATAGATTATGCTGCCATGATGTAAATACAAATATATAGGAAAAAATGTTTGGACACAGTGTATATAGGACAGAATGTGTAAATAATGTATGCCTTTGGAACTCTTATGTACATAGATAAAAGTGAAAACAAGTTTTTAAGACATTTTTATTATTTATGCTTTTATGATGAATGGGAATGATGCAATTAGATATTGTAAAGAAAGTAAGGAATTTTAGTTGGACCATGTTAAGAAGACATGACAAAAAAAAGTCTTGGGCAATATTGAGTTGGAGACAAGAAGACGATGACATTTTGCATGGCACCAATACAGATGTGTTGTAGACAAGAACTATTGCTGAAAAAAGATTTGTGATGAAATTAAGAAGTTAAAATGTTGGAGACAAAAAGATATTGTGCTGCTTAGAAGATCGTTACATGAAAAAGAGCCGAGTTATGAAAGTACTATATTATATTATTGAAAAGTTAAATACCCAGAATAGCTCTGTTCTGAAATAAGAAAAGTTTGTACTTTGGGAAGACATGCTTGATATAAAAGCTCAATTATAAAAATACTAAATAATTGGAGAGGTGAAAATTCCAAATAGAGCTGTAAGAAGTGCTGTTCTGAAAACATGAAAAAAGTTTGTGCTGTGAAAATGTTACAAATGCTTGAAAAACAAGCTTAGATTTAATTGATTGAAATAAACAGATTTTGGGGAGAAACCAACTTGAACTTGAATGAAGTGTCAGTATACTAGAGTTTTTGAAAAATATTTGATATACATGTGTTGTGCTAACAAAAACATAATGTTGGTTAGGTAAGGAAGGGAATAAAAAACTGTGATTCAAGCATAAACTTACAGATTGAATATTGAAAGGCACAAGAACCACCTTTACAGTAAGACCTGTAAAAAAGAGTTATATTTAATTTAAAATGATATTTAATTATATAGTGGAGTAATATAATAACATGGACAGAGAGTGCTAAATATTGAAAGTGTGATGATTACATATAGAGAATATTATATAGTATAAACTTTTATTACAAAAAATTGCTGTGCTGTAATTTAAAAAAAATATGTGCTGATAATTTCTCTAGCTGATTGTTCCAGAACCTTAAGATTTCACAACTTAGTTGTTCTAAAATAGTTGATAGTTTCTTAATCAGATTGTTCCAGAGGCTAATGGTTTGAAAGGCAGACAGTTTCATGATTTTGTGGCTCCTAAAAGTAATAGTTCCATAAACTGTTCAGGGTGTTTTAGTTTGAGAGGTTTACAGTTTTACCATATCGGTTAAACTATAGAGTGGGAGTATCACAAACTGATTGTTCGATAGAGCCTGTTGTTGCTGAGGCTGATTATACAAGATGCTGTCAGATCATTCTAATTCGGGCTTTGTTCTATAGATCATTATGCAAGACTACAAGTTTGTGTTATATGAAATGGACAAAAAGGTCATGACTTCAATAATTCCATATTAGGAGTTTATTGTGTAGACAGTGATACCTTATATTCATGTGTAACTTTGAATATTTTGTTTAATGGATGGACATCATTACTATGTTGTTGTCAAATGAATGGCAGACTTATTTTGGAGTAATGGTCTCATTGAAGTGGAGGTGAATGTCTTTCATTACAGAGTCTGATAAACCTGTGATTATTGTTGCAAGTATTAGAGAACTTGCACTTGACTGTATCAGAAATTCCATTGTTTACCCATGTAAAATAAAGTGATTGAACTAAAATTGATTGGAGACCAGTCTGACATTCAAACTTCTGATTGGCTGATTTGAAATTTTGAATTTGAAATTAAGAAAATAAGCCAATGGTAGCATTGTGTTGATCAGACTGGTTACAAATTTGGTTTCATGACTTTTGAAACAGATTGCTTGTTGATATTATGATAAATTTGTTTTTGTCTCACTTTTCTATGTGTGAAATATATATATTTATGTTCAGTGTATTTAAGGGGTATTTATGTACTTTGATGAAAAGGAGGGTGAAACTATGAATTACCTCATTTATTTATTTATAGACATTGATGAGAAATTCAGATAATTTATGGGGAATAAATAAGTTTGTTCTGATGAACGTTAATGACTTCCTCCTTTATAGCTTTGACGTTTTTATAGCATTTTGGTTTAAGTCTTGCCATTTTGTATGACACATTTTTTGAGTTTTTGTATGAAATAAGCTTTTGTATGACAAGATCTCATTTAAATGCTTTGTTTTTGTATTTTGTTTGCTTTTATTTCCATTATGATTATTGTCAAATGATTTTAATTTGTTTTTAATGCCTCTTATGATATAATTCTGTTTATAGGCAAGTTAAAAAATGTTTGTTTCTGATATACTGGGTAATGTACACACACTGATGTGGATTTTGTAGATAAGGATGGAATATTACATGGTGAAGAAGTATTTTTCATTGGGTTTTAAGTCACACCAACACTTAAATGGACATTTTGCAGCTTTCTAAGGTTACTAGTAGAGGAAAACCTCATGTGCCCTTCCATGCATTATATCAGGCCTGAATGGGCCACCTTAGAAAAACCACCAATGTTCATAAGATACCTGTATAGTTTCCTTGCATGAAAACAATCTGTATACAGAATTATGAAGTATTTTAGAAAAAAAAAAGATGGGGTTAAGAATATATACCGGTTCATATGGTAATATTTCTAGTAACAAGGGTAAACATACACAAACACAGACAGGGTTACAGTAGACAAGTTTTGTTAGTCATAGAAATTTAATATATCTGGCCAGGATGTTTAAATAGTAAACCTAAATAGGATATAAGAAAAAGGTGAAAGAAATATTAGACTTTAAGGAGACGCATCATAAATGATAAATGATGGAAGGGGGTCTGTTTGCATGGTTTATAAAATAAAATTTAAAATGTTTTACAGAATAAGGTCATGCCTTGAAATAAATCATTTTTACCTCCATGAATATACCGGTAAATTTTTTAATCATATATTTCATTGGTAAGGTACTGATCATTTAAATTTTTTAGATATTACCGAAGCATTTTTCATGTTATAATGACATTTAAACTTGCTTATATATTTGATACATGTATGTGTATTATATAAACCTAATTCTCTATTACATATTTTGATAATTTGATTTGGCTTTGACTTTATTTTTAACTGATATTTATTTGTTTATGTAAATAAGAGGCATTAGTAATGTTGTTCCCATGGTTAGTTGAGGTAGATTTATTTGATAGATACACGAATTTTACATTGCATACAGCAGATATTTCAAGGGTTTACAGCAAAACTGTTGTAAGTCCTTCTTTATTTCATATAGGTTACTGCAGTTTTGCAGTCAACCCTAGTAGATTTGCGCAATTTCTTTATTGCAGGTAATATACTCGCTCGTATTTAAAAAAAATATTTTTCATTTGAACTAGTGTTTATGATAACTCATTAATATTCATAAAGTACTGGTGTATGAATATTCAAATCCATGAATAATGAATGCATAATTTGTCAATATACATCATGTTTATGCATTGACATATTGCAGTTTTTATTTCGTCTGTGTTTTTTGCTTGCTTTCTTGGCACCCTTCGTGCTATTATTGTAATAATGGATCATGCAACATGCATTTAGCTTTTTGGTTATAATTTATATATAGAAGATTTAAATGCTAAAGAATTCAATGAGATAGAAAAACAAACACTTTATGAGGACTCCAACATTTGCTTATTTTTTCGTATGAATATTACATTACATGCACATTGTCTCTGCAGAACTTGTCAGACTTTTCCAAGTTTTGTTTATCTTGACATATACTTCTGTACTAAGTTGTTTCCATTGAATTTAGAATATTGTCTTTGTTTAATGTGAAGGGAGGTAATTTATTTTAGATTTTGATACATAGTTTTGTCTGAGTTGTTTCCCTTGAATTTAGAATTTTCTTACTTTCTTTAATGTGAAGGGAGGTTATTTATTTTTGATTTTGATACATAGTTTTGTGTGAGTGGTTTCTCTTGAATTCTGAAAAATACAAATTATTCAAGTGCAATATAAGAAGTGCTTTCATAGATAAAATTTTAGTCATAATAAAATATTCTATTAAATGTTTGATTTATATCTTTATTTATATAGAAAAATAAAATAATTGTTATGTCTTGAGTAAGAAATTACTAAATATTATTGCTGAACTTAATAAAAATCCAATTGACAAACTTACACATGTTTAAAAAATTTAATACATAGGTAATGTAAGTGCATTAAAAACTTGAAGATATTGTTTAGAAGTTTGAAGTTTATCTGTGAAAGTGTTGAAGATCTCATGCTGTTGAGATTCGTATATTTTAGAGATGTGAAAACATGCTGTTGTGTGTAGTGTTTAGATAGTTGAAAAAGAAGCTCTGTGTATAGATAGTAGTAGAGAAAATGAATATTGATTAGTTATTTTGTATAGATAGTAGTAGATAAAATGACCATCTAAAGCGATATATGTATAGGTAGTCAAAGATAATATGAGCAGTTATAAGTACTTTGTATAGATAATTAAATTAATTGTAGGCTAATTGTATGGACAGTGAAAGAGAGAAATAACATTTACAAGCTTGTATGTATAGATAGTTATAGAGGAAGTGAGCATTACAAACTTGTATAGATAGTTAAAGAGAAAGTGAGCATTATTTTCAGACAGTTAAAGAGAAAGTTAGCATTAAAAACTTATATAGATAGATAGTTAAAGAGACTTTGAACTTAAACAACATGTTTTTTTTTTAAGATAATACAGGAATATAAATAAAAAGTGAAATTTAATTTAGTCAAATATGTGTTGAAATTATTGGTACTTACAAATCTTTACTTTTAGCTGAAATATTTCTTTGTGACACAGTCGTATATGTATGAAAATTTGTTTGTTTTTGAATGCATGTTTTGAAATTTCCTACAAATGACATTGCAAGAGATTCAATGTTTGAAACATTGACACATGTATTTAATGTGTATTACTGCCATATTACTTATTGTTCATTAGCGCAATTCAAGGCATTTTTTATTGCTGTGACATTATTATTTTTTGAATGTATTTGTGCTTTTATTTCTCAATATGAAACATTGAGCATTTTGCAATGCAGGCATAAATGTTTATATAAAAATGTTGAATGTGTTTATTCTATCTTTAAGGCTATTTGTGGAAAAAAATGAGTATTGCTGGAATATCATACATCTTAAACATTAAGGTGATATGTTGAATTTTTGAAAATCGAATCTTAACACTTCATTGAAGTCAATTACTTTACAATTTGATAAATTAATTTTCATGTTAATTTGAATATCTGTTGATGCAATGTTTATAGTACATTTAACATGTATTAAATATTTTTAAACAAAAATGTTAAGTTCAGCATTATGACGCCAATTTATGATGTTGAGATAGCATCATGACATCCGATCAATAAATCTGAATGTGGTACAAGGTGTTTTATTCCGAAAATAATTTAATGAAATGGTATTGAAAATTTCAAAGACCCATGTTTATTATTTAAGATAGGAAAACCCAGAAGTCAGTTTCTTCTTATACTATTGCACAATTGGTTTTATTTTTATCATTTTAGAGTGTTAGTGGACTTGTTGTTGGGGTATATATGGTTTTATTATGATATATGTCATTAAGCAAGTTTGTTGGGGTATATATGGTTTTATTATGATATATGTCATTAAGCAAGTTTGTAAGCAATAATTTTATTTGTTTTGTCCTTCTTTGTGAATTATATATTTGTGATGCGAGTTTAAACATTATTATATTTTTTCTGGTTATACATTACAAATACACTAAATAACGGTCATGAATTTCATTTTTGTTGTGACGATGTTTCTTATTCATGGTAAAAAAATAATAAAGATACTGCAAAAAATGTATGGTATTGTTTTTCTTTTTAGCTAACCTGAGATATAGCATGGCCTTGTTGTCCTCATCAAAAGTTATATAAACTTCCATGGAAATAAATTTCCATGCCCTTAGGGATATATTTGTAATGCAGGCTTATGTTATAAACAAAAGCTTTTATTCTGCATGTCCAGTGTACTTTTGCATTTACAACCTATGACTGTCAAATTTAAATCACATATGACATAATCTTTCATTTCAAATTTCTTTTGAAATTTGTGTCACCTCTATAGAGTAGGGGCAACATATTCCGTTAGGGATCACTTCTCTGTCATCTGTTCGTCCGTCAAAAAATCTGACTACTCCTCAAAAACTACTGGTGCAATTACATCCAAACTTTTTACAGGAATGATAATTACAAAATGTACCTAGTGTAGTTGTACATATCATCAACATTTTGTGTGAGTTAGTGTTTTTTATCAGAGTTATGGCCCTTTAATAATAATTTTTATTTTTAAAGTTTGTCGGACTACTCCTCTTATACCGCTAATGCAATTTATTTGAAACTTTACAGGATTGATCTGTAGCTCAAGTTCTGATGCATATTATACGGGCTTTCTGGTTGAATAAGTTTTGGTTGAATTATTGCCTTCGAATAAAAAACGCGTTTTGCCCTGTTCATTCTTGCTAAACAGTAGCTGCAATATGCAAATGGCTGTCATGAGACAACACATGTGATCACTGTTCTCTCTTGTTTTTAGTAACGGTCTTCAAGTTTTGATCTAGATAAATGTATTGAACTTTTGACATTAAAGGATCAAAATGATAATAAAGTACACTTGTACACTTGCTATACCTTAGTGTGTGGTATCTCCATCTACTGTCAGTTTGTCCTTCAGTAATAGCGAGTTTGAGAAGGAAGAAATGAACTGTATTGTTTTACTGTATGGTTATGTAACAGCTACTGTATCTCTGGTCACTAAGGTGATATCCTAGGGCTGTGATTCAAACAGTAGTTGTTTTATAGCTCCACTATTACTGTCTATCATTTTAATTGATTCATTTAAGTAATCTGCTGCAAATATTTCGTTTGGAGGAGTAACAGCCATACCAGTAATATAATAATTGCTTTCATCAAAAGATGATTTAACATTGATGTTTCTAGGGGCAGACATTTTCATTGGCATTACATTCTTTGACTTTTCATAGCAACCACTGACCTCCCATAGCAACCAGTGTCTCACATAGCAAGCCGCGGCTTTTGATTGCCACCATAGACTTCTCTAGCACCGAGTGACATCCAGTGACTTCCCCGTAGCAACCATTGACTTTTTATCAGAACCATTGACTTTCCATAACAACCATTGACTTTCCCTAGCAAGCAGTGACTTTCATTGCAACCATTCATTTTTCTTAGCAACTACTGACTTCCACAGCAACCATTGACTTTCCCTAGCAACCATTGACTTTTCATGACAACCAATGACTTCCATACCAACAATTGACTTCCCTTAGCAACCAGTGTTTCACAAAGCAAGCCGAGACTTTCGTTTGCCACCATAGACTTCTCTAGCAACCATTGACTTTCCCTAGCAAGCAGTGACTTTCATTGCAACCATTCATTTTTCTTAGCAACTACTGACTTCCCCATAGCAACCATTGATTTTTTTAAGAACCAACGATTTCTATTGCAATCATTCAATTTCTTTAGCAACCAGTGACTATCATAGCAACTTTTCCTTTTCCTTAGCAACTATTGACTTCCATAGCAACTATTGACTTTCCCTAGCAGCAATTGCCTTCCATAGCAACCGGTGATTTTTTATAGCAACCACTGACTTCACATATCAACCAGTGTCTCACATAGCAAGACGTGACTTACAATTGCCACAAAAGACTTCTCTTGCACCCTGTGACATCCAGTGACTTCCCCGTAGCAACCATTGATTTTCCATAAGAACCATCGAATTTCCATAGCAACTATTTACTTTCCATAGCAACCATTGACTTTCTATCAGAACAATCAACTTTCCCTAGCAAGCAGTGACTTTCATAGCAACCATTCATTTCCATAGCAACCAGTGACTTTTCATGTCAACCAGTGACTTCCATAGCAACAACTGACTTCCGATAGCAACCAGTGTCTCTTAAAGCAAGCCATGATTTTTGATTGCTAACATAGACTTCTCTAGCACCAAGTGACTCGGTGAGACCCAGTGACTTCCACATAGCAACCATTGATTTTCTATAAGAACAATCTATTTCCATAGCAACTTTTCAATTTCTGTTGTTACCAGTGACTTTCATAGCAACCATTCATTTTCTTAGCAACTATTGACTACCATAGCAACCATTGACTTTCCCTTACAACAATTGACTTCCATAGCAACCAGTGACTTTTCATAGCAACCACTGACTTCCCATAACAACGATTGACTTTCCCTAGCAACCATTGACTTCCATAGCAACCAGTGACTTTTCCTAAAAACCACTAACCTACCATAGCAACTAATGTCTCACATAGCAAGCTGCAACTTTCGATTGCCACCATAGACTTCTCTAGCACCCAGTGACTTTCGTGACATCCAGTGACTACCCCATAGCAACTATTGACTTTCCATAAGAACCAATGACTTTCCATAGCAACCAGTGACTTTCATAGCAACCATTTATTTTCCTTAGCAATTATTGACTTCCATAGCAACCATTGACTTTCCCTAGCAATCATTGACTTCCATAGCAAGCAGTGACTTTTCATAGGAACCAGTGACTTCCCAGTATTCACTGACTTCATATAGCAACCAGTGTCACAAAGCAAGCCCAAACTTTCAATTGCCATCATAGACCTCTGTAGCATCTAATGACTTTCTCTGATATCTAATGACTTCCCCATAGCCACCATTGACTTCTCATAAGAACCACTGACTTCCACAGCAACCATTGACTTTCCCTAGCAACCATTGATTTCCATAGCAACCATTGACTTTCCCTAGCAACCAATGACTTCCATAGCAAACAGTGACTTTCCATAGCAACCACTGACTTCCATAGCAACCTCTATCTTACCATAGCAACCAGTTTCTAACATAGCAGGCCGCAACTTTCAATTACCACCATAGACTTCTATAGCTGCAAGTGACTTTCCATGACAGCTAGGGACTTCCCTGTAGCCACCATTGACTTTCCATAAGAACCACTGACATTTCATAGAACCAATGACTTCCATAGCAACCATTGATTTCCCTGAAAAACCATTGACTTCTATAACAACCAGTGACTTTTCATAGTAACCACTGACTTCCATAGCAACCACTGACTTCCAATAGCAACCAGTGTCTCAGATAGCAATCCGTTCCATAGATTTCTCTATCACCCAGTGACTTTCCATGACATCCAGTGACTTCCTGGTAGATACAATTGACTTTCTATAACATGGACTTTCCATAGCAACCATTGACTTTCCAAAGCAACCAGTGACTTTCATAGCAACCATTCATTTTCTTTAGCAACAGTTGACTTCCATAGCAACCATTGACTTCCAATAGCAACCAGTGTCTCACAAAGCAAGTCGCAAGTAGTGATTACTACCACAGACTTTTCTAGCAACCATTGACTTTCTGTGACATCTAGTGACTTACACATACCCACCATTGACTTTCCATAGCAATCATTGCTTTCCCATAGTAACCAGTGACTTTCATAGCACCCATTCATTTTCTTTAGCAACTATTGAATTCCATAACAACCATTGACTTTCCCTAGCACCCATTGACTTCCATAGGAACCAGTGACTTTTCATAGCAAACACAGACTTCTAAAGCAACCACTGGCTTTCCTTAGCAACCAGTGTATCAAAAAGCAAGCCATGACTGTCTATTGCCACCATAGACTTCTCTAGCACCCAGTGACTTTCCTTGACATTTAGTGACTACCTTGTACCAACCATTGAATTTCTATAAGAACCATCAAATTTCCATGGCAACCATTGAATTTCCATAGCAACCAGTCAATGTTGCGATTATGATTACTTGTTGATTCAGAAAATCATTGGTTGTCATGAAAAGACACTTGATTTTAAGGAAAATCAATGGTTACTTTGGGACACTGGTTGCTATGGAAGTCAATGGCTGCTTTCGAAAGTCACTTGTTGCTATGGAAAGTCAATGGTTACTATGGTAGTCATCGGTTCCTCTTGAAAGTGAGCGGTTGTTATGGAAGTCAATGATTGCTATGGAAAGTCAAGGTCTCCAATATTGGTCACTGGTTGCTCTGGAAGTCAAAGGTTGCCATAGATGGTTGCTATGAAATTCACTTGTTGCTATGGAAAGTCATTGGTAGCTATAGATTCCAATGATTCCTATGGAAAGTAAGATGTTGCTATTGAAGTCAATACTTGCTTGGGGGAGTAAATACATGTATTTACAATATTGCAATATTGGTCCCTGGTTGCCATGGAAAGGCACTGGTTTCATTGGTTGCCATAAAAAGTGAATGATTGCTATGGAAGTCAATGGTCAAGGAATCTAATATTGGTCACTGGTTGGTCTGGAAGTCAATGGTTGCTATAAAAATTCCAATGGTTGCATGGGGAAGGTACTGGTTACATTGAAAATAATATGGATGCTATGGAAAGTCATTGGTTGCAATGGCAAGTCTATGGATGCTTTGGATAGTCACTTGTTGCCATGGAAAGTCACTGGTAACTATAAATGTCAATGGCTGCTATTGAAAGTTATATGTTGCTATGAAAGTAAAAGTCACTTAGAAAGTCAATGGTTGCAATATTGGTCACTGGTTGCTATGGAAAGTCAATGGTTGCCATGAAAATGCATGTTTCTTTGGAAAGTCAGCGGTTGCTTTGGCAAGTCACTGGTTGCTATGGGAAGTCGAAGGTTATTAAGGAAGTCATTGGTTGCTATGAAAAGTTAGTGGTTTCTAAAAAAGTCAATGCCTGCAATGGAAGATGCTATGGAAGCCAATAGTTGCTTGGGGAGGTCAATGGTTGCAATGTTAGTCACTGGTTGCTATGGAAAGACACTTGTTATATGGAAGTTGCTATGGAAATTTAATAGTTGCTATGAATGTCAATAGTTACTATGGAAAATTACTGGTTGCTTTAAGAAGTCACATAAATGGAAAACTCTATGATCCTGGATAGAGTGGCGTGGCCAAATTCCAGGGCTATAATTTGAATACCTGGAAACTTTTGTTGAAGCCCATGAGACTATGAGCAAAAATTGGTTGAATTTCTGCGCTTGTTGGTGAAATTATTTTATATCAATGTTCATCAATGTTGATACTGTTTTGACCATGTCACACATCATCTTCTCTTGATAATATATCAATTCCACATAAGATAACATTACACTTGTCCTATTTTTGTTTGAACTGTGTGTTATTATATATCTCGTATAATGTGACAGCTACACTTTATAAGTTTTAAGTTGACACACAGAAGTAAAGCAGCAATTAGACAAGATTTGTCATTTATGAACCAAAATATTAGATGTGATTGTGTTGGTTCTAAAATAGGTTTAAATTTCACCATATTTCATGTTTAAATGTTGGGGGCTTCTAGAAATAAACAAACACTGACATATTCAAAGTATCAACTTTTATTTATCGTATACATAAAAAACTCTTCTAAAAACTGAACTCTTACAATTAACACAACACTGTGCACTATGTCACATGACTTTGCAACTATGTCACATGACTTTGCAACTATGTCATATGACTTTGCAACTATGTCACATGACTTTGAAATTATGTCACAATGTCATGATCTTTTAGAATTAAATATCTTCATAAATGTATATAATAAATGTGCGTGGAAGAGAGCTGTTATTTCTATAAACTGAATTCAAAATATTAATAACTTTATATATAAGGCCACTTCTTTTTTATTTCTTGGTTTACAAAATTTTTTTTCAAAAATGTCCACTGGGTGGTCGAAAAAAAAAAAAAAAAAAAAAAACCTCAAAAAGGTCCATCGGGTATATTGTAAAAAAAAAAAAATCTTGTATGGTGCACATAAAACACTATTTTGTCAAAAAAAGTGTCATTCTTCTATTGACATAAGCAAAAACAGTAATTTAAACATCTTTTTATTGTTGTTTTTCCTTAGAATAGTATAGCTTTCATGTTAACGTTTGCTTGTTATAAAGCAGCACTTCTCCCGGTTTATACTGATCGGATGTGTGTCCGAACCGGTCCCGGCTGAGCATTTCGACGAAAAGAAAAATACAATTTAACAATATACTAGCAAATATATCGTAAATCAAACCATTAAATCTTCTCGAGGAAGGATACGGCTTATAGCCGTGCCGATGTACTCATCAACGGCAGCCTTTAAAAAAGCCCGTCTGGTTGGCAAATCTTTAATTCCAACAAAATCAACTTGGAAATAAACAGTGCCGCTCAAGGGCGCCGCCATTGTTGTTTTACCATGAACTGTGGTAGTTATCCGAGGTAGTCCGAATGTTGTGTTATATAGATTCGTACTCAAAAATATTCGAATTTTCGTACTCATATTTATCGCGCTTATCGGATAATTTTTTTTGCATCGGGGGAAAAAAAAGTGGAAATTTCAGTTTTATTTTTTTTCCAATTTACAAATATTTCGGGTCGCCGGTTTTGTAAACCAAGAAATATAAAAGAAGTGGCCTAAAGATACATAATATACAGGTTAAAAGCATATACAAAGGGTGGAAAAAAAGAGCGAGAAAAAGAAAAGAAAATTATGTAAATTAAAATGAGGTATTAACATGTTACATAATACATTACCGCAGGGTTTAGGTAGAGAAAAAAAATAAACCTAAAGAAGTAAAATTGTATTAAAGATTATATTGAATACTAAAATATAATTCCACTATAAAAATAATAAAAACAACAAAGTTTTATTAAAATTCATTAAAGATACATAAAAAAAATGTTTGCATATAATTATGTGCATGTTTTAATATTATAGTAAAAAAAGGTAGGTAAAAAATGTTAAATGCAAGATAGATAAATTATCATTAAAATCTTTAATTGCTGGATATAAAATTATATTTGTTTAGTTTTAAAACTTTGTACCATATCAATTATGCTTTAAATAAAAAAATGAATAAATATCATAATTATAATGTACAAAAAGTATTTCTTGTACATAACCGTACTTATTCTTATTAGTGCACCATCTCTCAAAAAATCAGCTACCATAACTATCGAGGTTAAGGGCTGAAGTTTCAGGCTTAATAACTTACAAGTTCAGTTGGGTTTTTATAAAATGCCAGAAAGTTAAGACAAAGGCACACAAGGGTGGTTCTATAAGCACAAACCCCAGTGGAAATCTGTAAATGACCTTAGGGCATTTATTGGGGCCTATAGAACTATTGTATAATTGTAAGAAATAGACAGCAAATAAAATAAGTTTTCAACATTTTCATATATATATATTATAAAAAAACACCTTTTTTCTACAAATAAATATACATAACAATATTCTACTATAACAATATCCTAATATTAACAAATCAACATGCGATGGCAGAAAAAAAAATAACTCGAAAATAATCTCTTTTTTATCTATACAGCTTTAACATATACATGTACATACATTGCATCACACAAAAATTTTTAAAATAAAAATAATTTTTGAAGAATAAATGCAAAAGCATAGTGCAACATTTCTTTTCCACAGAACAACTCAACATAATACATCAAATTTATATCGGATATTTTGGTTTGGTTTGGAATTATTTTGTTTAATGTTTTGTATTAAGGCGGGCTCACTAAACATTCTTGGTTACGTCCTACTTTTTCTGCTCTTCCTATCAGAGGTCATAATAGTTTATGGAACAAAAAGTTCTGCTTAAAGATTGAACAATAGTTTTGCATTTAGACTTCAATTTGGCATCATGAGATAATATAGTAAAAAACAAGCAAGTCAAATGGAGAGTCTTTCCTTATAAAATATGGAAGCTTTTAAGATCCTGAGGGCGGAGCAAACAGACAAATCCCGCCCATGTCACCACCTCTTATCTCCGCCCACTGTAACACAGCCTTGTTTTCTTGCAACAGCAAAGATAATTGCAGAAAACGAGGGATGGACAAGAAGAAATTGCAGATAATATTTATTGCAGTAAACACCATTTACTTAATTAAGTGTAATAATCAAGAAAAAAATGTTGTCACACATCTTATTTTCTATCCCAATTATTTTCCATATACATGTATTTACATAATTATCAGATACGATAAAAGTAAATGCATAGTTTATAAGAGTAAAGGCAGTCAAGTTTAAGAACCGAAGTAAACAAAATATTTAAGAACACAATCTCCTTATACTGGTTTTCAACAAAAATATACTTTAAATAACACAATAATTTTTATAGAGTTCCATCACTGCTAATGATACCGTATTTGGGAAAATATGAAAAGAATAAAATGCATACATATATTGCATAGATGGTTTTCTATTTAAAACTTTACCTGAATATTTCTAAAATTATAGCACAATTTATTGAATACATAATACAAAAAGCAATAAAACTTTCCGTTCCCAAAATTACCAAACACAAGGGAGTTATCTCGATGTCTAAAATGCCACAGTTAACTTTAAACTTTCAGTTAAAAATTTACTACATGTGTATGTAAATGGCACAATACATATCTATGATGTTTAAAACAAATACTCATCTTAAAATATGTCCACTTTCAAATAATAATAAAAAATGTTAATTTGAATCTTTTTTCAACCTATTCTTGATAGGGCATCTATGCTTTTTTGGCATTAACAAATTTGGGTACAATAATGATTGCAAACAGCTTTTCCATGAAAAAAAAAATGATAACAGCTTTGTAAACTAAAAACAATTATTGGATTTAAAAAACTTCAAATTTGATTGGTTGATTCCAGACACAATTTTGACATCGACCAATGGGAGAGTACAATTCAATCATTGGTTTTCAAATTCAAATAACTAAGAAACAAGGAACCTGATACATCATTTCTTATACAGAAAACACATGTATCTAGAACAACTTTATCAGTATAGAATGAACTTTATCATTATATTATTGTCATATTTCCCCTGAAATTTACTAAACAGCACCATTGTTTTGAACAAGATTTATTTTGTTAAGTATATTCCACTGAGAAACTTTGAACTATGAAACATCAAAGCTGGCAGCTGAAGTCCTGTCTAACTCACTTTTGTTCATAAAGTACAAGAAGGCATAGCACAAATATTGTCCTAGAATGAATGTGACTGGATCTAACACGCAGTATAAATGCAGGATTCGCAGACTTTTAGGAGATAAAATTTAATACAGATATTTGAAGGGATTGTTCAGAAAGACTTCCCCAAATACTTAACTTTCCCCCAATCGTTACTCCATACTTCTAATGTCTTAGGCTACAGCCTTATTTCTCTCATGTGAATTTAATTTTCTATAAAAACTCTGAACATATGTGAACACACATTTCCAGTCTGGTTTCTGCATGCGTACCATGTCTTCAACATCCAATAATGGTGCAATATCAGCCAGTTTCCTGCAAAAAGTAAAAAAACGTTTTCAATATTTCATTTCTGATTTTAATTATATAGGTTAAATACAACATTTTAGAGCATTTGTTTTTGTATGCCAAAAACAGACTTATCCTGCTTTGAACTCTGAAAAGTACATTGTTCATACTAAGTTAAACTGAATATTGTCTACTGTCGTCAACCGATTCTACCAATGCGACCAGTGCAAACCAAGATTAGCCAGAACATCAAGGTCGTATGATCATGGTCTGCACTGTTCTCTATTCAGTAAGTACATATTTTAATAGTTCTCTAAAAATGATGAATAGTTTTTTTAAGATTGAAAGAAGGAAAAAGAACAAGTCCATTTAAGATATTTAGCGTGGCATCTTATTACAGACATGCAGCAAGACAAATATTATCAACTATCTCAATCGTCCTCAATTTAAACTTAGATAGTCTTTAAACAGTCCATATATTGTAATTTAACATTATTCAATTAATTTAATAAGGTTTTAAGTCACATCAATATTGCAAAGGTGACATAGCAAATCCTAAGGGCCATAACTGATGAAAATAGACCTCCAGTGCTCATCTCCACATTATTTCAGGTGAAAGTCACTTTGATAAAGACACTGTTGCAATGAATGTAAAAGTAAACTTTAACTTAAGAGAAAACACTCACTCAGCTGTGTCAAAGGCAAGTTCAAAATTCTTTCGTCTTTGTTTTGGATCCAGAGAATGAATATCGAAGGCATCTGGGTAGAAATGGTGGATTAGCGCACAGAAAGCAATACCATTGTTCCATGATGTCGAGAAATTTGTAATCTCAATAATCTAAAATATGACAGAAAAAAAAGCATTCATAATTATGCCACATGCTAAATTAATATTCTTTTGAGTTTTCCTCTCATCAGATTTTTATGGAAATTTTAAGGATCAAATTATGCAAAAAAAATGTTTTAATTGAAAGGAAAAATGTATATGCTATAAAACATAAAAATTTCTTTAATTACAGCTCAATGGATTTTCAAATGTTAACAAATTAATAAATGTTTTATAAAAGATCTCTCTGCATTATACTTTTTAAAGTAACATACTTAATACATAATTATTATACAGTGATATAGTAAACTGAAATTCAAAAATCAACATCATCAAGGCAAATTAACAATAATCCTTCCAAACAAACACTAAATTTTAACCTAATAAATCATTTAACCCTTAACCTGCGGGAACTGAAAGGGATCAACCTTAACTACTATATAGAGCCAGGCCAGCCTGTAAATTCATGCAGTCTGGCCTGGCTCTATAATGTTGGCTGACCAACTTTTCATCTTTTAAATTTTCAAACTGGTCTCCCTAAAATTAATAATGGAAAGTTTCAAAATGGATGATGGACAAGTTTATTTAAGAAATTCAGCAGGTAAAAGGTTTAAATTCTAACTAGCCTCATGCAATTTATATAAAGTAATAATGAAATTATTCATGTACACAACTATAGCAGGAATCACATGCAATAGCAATGAAGAAAACAAAGTACAACCATACAAGGAAAGCCATAAAAACATCTGTATTTGTGCATGTTGATTAAATCCCATGTTCCTTATATCTGATAGGGTGTGTGTTTTTTTTTCTACTAAGTAAAATACAGGAGCTGTACAAAGGTCATTGAATATATTATGCAACTTTAAAAATTAAAAAAAACAAAAACAAAAAAACTACAAAACTATTAACAGAGATATAAAAAAAAGCTTTTAATGTTAAACTAAATGTTCTTAACAAAAAGGTAATATGCATTACCTTCAAGATAAAAAAAATACCTTTAAAATATTTGTTAAATTCAAATTTATAATTGGCAAAATCAACATCTTTTTCATTAGAATATTATAATAATTTTTGCAGTTCATTAAAATTCTCTGGAATTTATTTAGTTGCTATAGGCAATGCCAACAATTTTTACACAATTAAACATTGATAACGGAAACAGATGAATATGCAAAGAATAATATAATTTCTTGTTTCTTGATTTATGTTGATTTGATGCATTGTTTGATTTAATGACCTTCATAATATGCAAACAAAAACAATTTGCTCACCATACTTTGTCTTTTCTATTTAAAATGGCACTATAGAATCTGAGCAATATCATTTGGTGATCTAATCATACATATAGAGGGTTAGAAATCACATCAGAAAAGGTGACACTACATTAAGACTATTATAAAAAGGTGCCGTTTTAGTCCTCCCCAAGTTAGTAATAGATAAATACATATTACATGACATCACACAAAGTTTTTTTTGGCCAATATTCATCACTGTTTAGTAATCTGTCTTCAACATGATAAAAACAAATTTGCTTCGATCACTGTTTTCAACATTTTTCTATATACATGTTTATTTTTTCAGACTGACAGGAAAAGAAGAAAATAAACAATTTCAATATCCATAACATTATTTTTGACATGATTTTCTTGGTCACATAAAAGAAATATTGGTTGTCTTATTTCTTTTTAAAACATGTACTAAGAGAGACTTGCCTACATCACCAGTATAGATCCAGCACATGTAATATGACCAGAATCTGTACAGTTGACCCCTCAATTGAAAACACATACTGATATCAAAATAACTTGCATTTAAATTGAAAAGTTCCAACACTCATAGAAAATGATTGTCCAGTGTGCAAAGTCAAAGGGGCAAGTCAGCTTAGTAATGAAAAATAAAATCATCCATTTTAAATCAATTTCTAGACAAAGATACACATAAATTACCAACATTTTAACAGACTAGACTTCAAACAATAATGAATATTGATCAAAGTGTGGATACAAAATAAGATATATAAGTGAAAGTGATAGTTAAAGGAAGTATATAGTATAAAGAAAAAGATATTAATATATTTCTGTGGTAAAACACTATAAAGCAAAAGCTACAATGTTTATCAAAATCTTCACTGGTTGTCTGGGAAACAAAAATCACTATAAATTATAGTCAAAGTCCATACAGCATCAGTTTAGAGAATTAATTTTTTTTTACAAATACACAAACTTAATGTAGACCTAAACCCATTTCTGGTTTAAACAAATCAATTACATATATGAGGCAAAAAAATTAATATCAAAACTTCTGCTTTGGAAAAAAATGTATTGTCATACATTCATGTATGATATATGTAAAAGATAATCATTTTCTATTATCAAATGATATATCATTTTGTTATTTTTTTGTTTTGGAAAATAAAACCCATAGAAAGTTAAAATTAAGAAAGAATTTTTATAAAATTTGTAACGAACATCTATCCTTCATTGATAGATCTAGCTGTATGCATTTTGACTGTTTAAATTAAAAAACAAAATAAAATAAAACACCAAGTTATCAAGGTACTGACTAGTGTGTTCCACCAAAAATGGTTTAAAAAAAATAAACTACACACCAACATTAATACACAACATGTATAACAACAATCCAAAAACTTTAACTATGTTTCCAAAAACCTTTAGGTTCGTTTTTTCAAATGAAAACAGTCTAAATAAATGCCTGAATTTCTCATTCAATTTCATTTTTGAAAGTTTTGATATGCTAAATCACCCATAAATAAATGAAATGAGTGAATATTCCATTAATATACTTGACTTCCCCCAAGACATTTTATCATTACAATGTATATACATGTATAATATTATAGTAACTTTTGTTTAAATAGAAATCTGGAGTGATTTTAAACCTTCATATTTCTAGGTGAGACTATCATGCAGTTTTGATGTTAATTTATTTATTTTCTTTACATCAGAAGTTAAAGTTTTCGAATATCACATTTACACATAAACATTTAATACACATATCACAGGGGTGTCCACGCCCAATTTCCAAGCACCATGCTACATATAGCAGCCAATCACAGGGGGGGAGTTTGCCATGCAAGGTCACATGACCTATCTTACATCAGTATATTCGCGAGTCATTGCTTTACACCAATCCAGCAGCATGGTTTTTATGGTACTCGGGCTCCTCGCAACACCTCCGCCTCTACCAGCACCGGGGCCTAAGCTTTAACAAACAAATTATGTCAAATGTTAAAACAGTGTACAATATTTTTGAAACTTAAATGCCTGAAATAAAACCAGAAAACTCTCCATCCTTGGTCCATTGTAACATCCTTAAGTTGCTGATCAGGTCAACTGAAGCCTTGAATATTCTGTATGAGGATAAGTGTTAACCGAAAAACAAACACCACTTTTAACATTCCCGGGGGCTCAAGACTGTTACCAAGTTTCAGCATTTAACTTCTTTCCAATTATGTAATTCCTACACAGAGAAATGAGCATAAATACATGAAAATGTTGGGAAAATGTGTTCAGCATCTCCATGCAACATTCAATAATCAGATTCTTGCCATATTGATATCTTTTTTGTGCGTCTGCCAATAAATTGGGAACTGGAAAATATCAAATCTTGATTGACGACTCATGACAACAATTTTCTGGAACAAAAAAAGTGTAATTAATTAACATTATCTTGATGATCAGATACCTGTAAAATTTTCAGATTGTCGTCTGCTGATATCTTACAGCAGGCGGCAACGTTACATCTACGTCTTACAATCTTAGATCACAAAACCTACGCCAAAATCCTGCAAAATTTGACTATTACTATTACCTACTTTTCAATGTGTAAATATTATAAATTTGGCTGGCATAAAAATTATGTGTTACTATGGAAACAAAAGAAAATTGTATTTCTATGTTATATGTTACATATTTATAGTACAATATAATCAATAAGGTTAAAGAAAGAGGAAATTGTGTTAGTCAAAGGTTTCATGGTAACCAATAGTTTATAATTATAGAAAAATATTAATTGGAAAATGTAAATAATCCTAGGTACATAATAAATTATAGAGGACAGTATTGTGTTAATCTAAGCAAATGTCCAAGCGATCAAGGTGTGTTATAAAAATATTGGGTTACATGCTTACATAAATTTATAGTAAAAAAATGTCTTTTTTGGACGTTACACAGAAGTTTATTCATTAATAAGGTTTTCTAGCAAAATGGAAGATAAAATTTATCAATAAATAATTCTAGCATTTAAACACACAATTATCAACCTGAAATAGAAATGTCACCTATATCCTAGAGCAATCATGATCATGTTGCATCATAAAAATGTATTAAAAACTTTTTTTTTTCAAGTTTTCAAAAACAGATTTCAAATCATAGGGATTGACGTCTGAACAGTTATGAATTTAGCTTATTTGACATTTTTGTCTTATAACTGATATAATAATTTCCAGACAAACCACCTGTCCAGTATGGAGCCAGGTCAATGAGCAAACAGTATATGGTAAAAAATTGAAACTAATAAGTTTGGTAAAAAATCTGAGAAAATACTTGCTTGATTTAAAGGACATAAATCACAGTTTATATTGTTATTTCTGATGCCTTTATGATGTGGGAGAGGATATTAGTATGGAGTATTTAAATATATTTTTTAATGAATTACAAAGTCAAATCTGTCCAAAAATACACTAACACAGCCGGCAAACTTTTATCTCTTGCAAACACATAGAACACCATATTAATTAAAATAATTATGTAACAGTACATTGTCCAAAATGACTGTCTTTCCATGTGGCATCGAGTAAGTTAAAGTAGGTTTTTTCAGTCAGAATTTTAAACTACACTTGTAACTATTACAAGAAATAAAGTCAAAGTTTTATTAACTGTGTCAGATTATTTTTGGACAAGTTTGACTACATTTTTATTAGTGCAGTTTAAAATATTATTTTTGTACTAATTAATTATAATAAATCTATTCTACTTAAAATTCTCAGTAAATTTCAAATGCAAAGGCCAGAACATTTTCTGTAAAAAAATATATTCTTAATCTAACCAAACATAATTATTCTTTAATCAAAGCAAAAAAATTTGATAACATGTTGAAATGTTTGAAGAGAAAGCTAATGTAGTTGTTTAGAATAAAGATTTCATTTTGAAAAGTCTTTTTGCTAAATTGTGACCTTGACTTATGAACGATCAGTCTTACGAGCAAGTAAGTAAGCAAGTAAGTGAATGGCAAGCATACTAAGATACAGTAAGACCTGTCACGTTGCCCTCTATAGTTCACGTTGGCCCCGATAGTTGAAATTTAGTGAGAAAGGACTAAAGGTCAATAAAAAAAGTGTGATTAAACAGCTTCTACATATCACAACACGACCGATTCCTTGCGCATGGAACACAGCCGTGTTAGATTCATGTGATATGTTTCTCTCGCCTACAATAAACAGCTGTCACACAGCCAAGCTGTCTTGTTTTATGTACCTCGCTATATTCAGCAGTGTTGATCTTCACGAAATTCAGCACATCCTGTTTAATGCTGACCGCATTTCTCTTGAACGTGTTGGCAGCTCTCTTAGCAAAAGTGTACGCTACTAGGGGACTAAGAAAAACACCATGCCAAAATTAGCAACAACACCAGGTTACAAAAATATCACATTCATATAATTATTTTTATAGTCAAATGATAAATCATACGAAATAAAATGTAAAATAATAAATTCTATATTAAAAGTTGACATAAAATTTTCAGTCATAAAATACAAAATTCCAATCAAAATATTTTCAAATTGATGCCAAAACAATGAATATTTATTAACATTTATTAGATATAATGAAATTCAAAACTTAAAATTAAAGTTAATCATCACTCATGAAAACTTACTATTTATTTTGCAATTGTGTAAATGCCAAACAGACAGACAAACTGACAGGTATTGAAGGTATTCAAAATTTTAATTGAAAATAGTCTGTCTTTTTATATGGAACTCTTTTATTTTTAACTCACTGAAATTCATGCCTATAATTTTTGAGTCAATAACAAATTTTATCTAGCCAAAATAACAACTTTATTCATATAATGGTATATTTCAGAGTCATGTCCCTTAAAAAACCAAATACCAAATGAGAATTGAGTACTGGTGGGTTACAGGTCCATCAGAAATGTGCGTAAAAAAAAAACAACCCCAAAACCAATGTCTAATGTGTGCAGTATTGAAAGCTTCCTCTCCCATTTTAAAGCAACTTTTTTTAACAACTTCTGTCAATATACTTTATCGACAGTTATAATAAAACTTTTTTTTTCATAAGCAAATAAAAATCATCTAACTATCGGGTTAAATAACTTGATTTGCTTTGTATTTCTATAAATACCAGTGTGACAACTGACATAGCTTCTCTCAAGGCAGTGTCTCATGAAAATATTGTCATAAAATCCTGCAAATTTCTTTCATGTTTTTGCCTGTTTTTCATCATATGACATCAAAGCATTGTATTATTATTTTATGGAATTCATTATTATTTACATTCATCAACGTGTTTGCTTCTTACCTTTACCTGAGTTTGTTATTTATATTTTTATGTTTAATTTGTTTATATCTTATAATTCTAATATAACGAATGATAATAAAAATTAATCAAATCCATGAAGATGTGCAGAATTTGTGATAGCTAGAATAGCTAGAATAACATTACATCCTTCAATTATATACGGTAATACAGTAATACTTATTTAATTTCATTACATAAATCAGTAACATATGTTTCTAATGAACAACTTCTGTAGATTCCGAAAGAAAGATGAAAACAACAAGGTAAAACTTACTTTGTTTTGGGGGCATTTTTGGCATCCATGGCCTTGAAAGCATTCATAGCACCACCTCTACCTGTAATACAAAATATAACATGCTAAGTATATGTAAATTTTATTTTTTGTGCAGAATTTCTTTAATATTTCAAAAGACTACAGGAAGACAAAACAAACTATCCAAAATCTGAAAATAAAATCATAGACGCCATTTTGATGTTGAACGTTGCATGCTTAGCATGTTATGTTGTTAATATAAAGGTTGTTTTTTTTTATATATAAATTTTTCTATTTTCTGCTTTTAGTTAAAATCTGAATAATGTTAATCATAAAACTATCAAAATAATAAAATTATATAAAACAACTTAATAATAACTTATCTAAAGCAATTATGATTCAAGTAGTGAAATTTAACTATACAAATACTAATGTAATAAGTTAAAAACAGAAAAGAAAGATAAATTTACAATTTTTTAGTAGAAAAGAATGATAATAAATCCCTGAAACAGAATAAATAAAGATATTGTACCATTTATAAAGATAAAAACATTGAAAGCTAGTTAATGTTAACAAGAAATATCAATTGCTCCAAAAAAACCCGCCAATTTCAAAATACATAAAAACAGATTGAGTTTTGAAAGTGTATAATGATTTACAATATGATAATATCTAAAGCATGCAATTTCTATTCACATATTTATTTCCATCACAACAATTATAAGAGTGAAGTTATTGTATGAAAAGTGGACTAAATTCTGAATTGTACCTAACTTCCAGGTAATTGAAACTTTTACTTCAGTATCTTGTATTTCAGAATTTTTAAAAAAAGTGTATTTAAAAAAAAATCAGTTAAAATGCCTCTTTAACCAAATGTTTAAAGTCTGTGTAAATTGTTTACAGTTTGAAAACCAGAGTTAAATTGTGAAGAGCTAAAATCTTATGAATATGAGAACTCTATCATATAGGTGCTTGGTAAAATGTATATGTCATTTTATAAATACCAATGATATCAATGAAATGCTACAATATCCTAAGATAACATAATTATGATAAACTACTATGCCATAATGTTATGTGATCTCACTGAAATGTGATAAGGTTTTAAAATCTCATTGAAATGCTTTGAGATATATTAAAATCTCATTGAAATGCTTTGAGATATACAATAATCTCATTGAAATGCTTTGAGATCTATTATTATCTCATTGAAATGCTTTGAGATCTATTATTATCTCATTAAAATGCTTTGAGATCTATTATTATATCATTAAAATGCTTTGAGATCTATTATTATATCATTAAAATGCTTTGAGATCTATTATCATCTCATTGAAATGCTTTGAGGTCTATTATAATCTCATTGAAATGCTTTGAGATCTATTATAATCTAATTGAAATACTTTGAGATCTATTATAATCTCATTGAAATGCTTTGAGATCTATTATAATCTCATTGAAATGCTTTGAGATCTATTATAATCTCATTGAAATGCTTTGAGATATATTATAATCTCATTGAAATGCTTTGAGATCTATTATAATCTCATTGAAATACTTTGAGATCTATTATAATCTCATTGAAATGCTTTGAGATCTATTATAATCTCATTGAAATGCGTTGAGATCTATTATAATCTCATTGAAACACTGTAAGATTATGTTGTCTTAATGAAATGTGATGAGATTAAATCAACATCACTGACATGCCTTCTATCTCATTGAAAGTCATCAGATCATTACAATATCATATAATGGAAATTCCATGAGAATATTATAAAGAAAGTTTATACTTATTAATCTGGGTCTATACTAAATTAATTATTTACAACAATTTTGAAACTAAAAAGGAAAGACTAAGTTACAACAAATTTTCTTTGCATAGTTTGCTCAGTTTGTTTTTGAATAATGTTGCTATGGTAACAAAAGAAATTGAAAAAGTTTACCATATTGATTTTTAATGAAAAAGGTAAAAAAAATATAAGAGGATCACAATAACAGAAATATAAAGACATACATTTATAATAATGTTTGATATTAAATGCCTGTCTTTGAAAATAACTTAGGATTATACAGAATTTATTTTAGTTTGATTGTGTAGTAAGATATACTCTTGAATTATTTCTGGAACCAACCAGTACAGCAACGAGTGTAAAATTTCTCTCCAAGGAAACAGCAACTTGCCTCTGACTGGGTTTGACTCTGTATCACTTATCAAATGTAAGACCTTGTCAGCTAACCCTAACCCTAATTAAATGTAAAAGCTTGTAAGCTTATCAAATGTAAAAAACTTGTAAGCTAACCAAATGTAAGAAATTGTAAGCTAACCAAATGTAAAAACTTGTCAGCTAATCAGATTTAAGAATTTGTAAGCTAACCAAATGTAAGAAATTGTCAGCTAATCAAATGCAAGAACTTGTCAGCTAAACAAATGTGAAAACTTGTAAGCTAATCAGATTTAAGAACTTGTTAGCTAATCAAATGAAAAAAAAACTTGTAAGCTAACCAAATGTAAGAAATTGTCAGCTAATCAAATGTGAAAACTTGTAAGCAAATCAAATGTAAGAACTTGCAACTGGTCTGCAAATTACTTTCTTTACAACTATAGTAAATACATCTCAACCAAAAGCTGTTGCTAATGGTTTCAATATGTTATTGACATAATCAAAACTTTTACGATCAAAATGTAGTACTTGCAACTAAGTTAAATAGTGATATCATGCAATTTTATTCTTCATATATATTTAAAGAGGTTAGGATTGAGTTAAATATCTATTTAGACAGTGAGTTTACAATATAAATTATATGTATGACTAGATAAACAATACTGCACTTTACATTTTGGACTGAACTTTCAGTTATTACTGACTTTTTCAAAAAGAGAAATTCACATTTTTATATAATTATATTTTGGATTCTTTTCAAAATATTATTGAAATTTATTATGTACATTGTAATAATTATTCCTGATATTCTAAACAAAAAAACACCAAAAAAACGTTTCGTATACATTTTAAATTCATTTTTACTCGCTTATTTTAACTTTTGAAAACAGAGCAATTTCAAGAAACCCATGAAGTTACTACTTCCACAATGGTTTCTAATATTACAAATTTAAAATACAAGTTGGGTTGGATTTTAAGTCTTACCAACACAGTAATGGTCATACAGAGATTTTCAATCTAATCTCTTGGTGGAAGACCTAAACCTATCAATATGTTGTTATAGGCATGGTGCATGCAACCAAGTATAACCACCAACCTTCTGTAAATTAATTGGAGGGCATTTGTTTCATTTGCCTGATTTAACTAGAAATATGTATATCATTTTAAACCTTAAATATTTTTTCAGTAGTCCAAAATGTAAAGTTTTATGTAAGCTACAAGTGTTATAAGCTAAGCTAATACTAAAAACAGTTAATATATAACGTATAATGGCAAGCGGTATATGTCGTCTACCTCCCCACGTCTCGGTTTTCTCCGATGTATGTGTCACGTTGTCTTTACTGCTCCACGACTCCGTTTTCACCGTTAGAACACCACTCACACTTCCAGCAGCTTTAATTATTTGCTGAGCCAATTGATCTTCTAGTTAAGGTTGGGAATAAACCAATCATATATATATATAAGTAAAATATCTAGCCAAAATGCTTATCAGTCTTCAGCCAAATGCTTCACCGCAAACAACCAAATTTTCTCGGAAACAAGCTTTGTAAAAAAAATATGATATGTAATGACTTTTCCATATGATACTGCATAATTTAACTGCAAGATTATGTGTGCATGACCAAAGGGAATAATTGGTGAGGAAAGATAAGAAAATGTTAACCTGTTAACAACAAGGCATTTAGAGTACTCTTCTGTTGTTGATTATTTTTTTTTTGTGTTTTCTTTACAATATTTTTAAGAATTCCAGTCAGGAGAAAGTTCCACTCATTCTATTTTATTGAAAATTGTTATGTAATTTTTTTGTAAATATTTGAAAAAATTTCAACAAAATTGGCAAATTTATTTCCAAATTACCGATTTTGAACTTTCATGGTCAATTTACAACATTGAAAGAATTGGCATCAAAATCATTTTGTTTCAAACTAGGATGGCAATTTATTAAACCTAGAAGTTTATATGTCATTATAGAAATATCATATTTTCTTAAGCTTTTTTTTTATTTCCGAGAAAATTACCAAGTATACATGCTGTATGATACATTCATTCTATCATTCACACATGGATGACTAATAATAATGAAATGAAAATTGCAGTAAAATATAAACTTGTCAACATAATCATGAAATAAAATAAAACAAAATAAATAATTTTAAAATGAAATAAAATGAAAATATTATATACCATGCTCAGAATATGCAAAATTTAAGCTTTGATAAAATTATGCAGTTGATTAGTAATTTTGCTACCATTTTTTTATTTTTTTGGTAGCAGTGAATAGGTTCTTCCTTTTCTTCAAATACTTTTGGTAGCATTAGAAACATTCTTAAATTTGAGCAAAAAGGCCACTAATCCACAGCATTGCCTTGTATGTTGATTGAAACAAATCCTTAAGATTTTGATAGCCCTTTCAAATTCATTTTGCAAGAAAATGCCAGGGCTATAATGTTTTCCATTTCATATTTCAGAAATAGTTTGAAAATAGTTTGTTAGATTCAGAGGACTTTAAATTTGAAAATGAAAATAGCTAATCTTCCTTTCCATTGAAGTCTTTTACAAATGGAGGAAGAAACAAAAAGGGAGGTAAGTATTGCAGTGTCTCATTAAAATAAGATTCAGAACTTAAAACTGACTTTAGGATGGAGCTGCATGCAATGGTACCACATTGGTGACGGACTGATGGTGACAAATGGAGAGTGAAATTGAAAAAAGTGATGTGAAGATAGAATAATAAAATGGATGGTCAAATAAAGGGCAGCAACTCTTACCAGACTCCCTGTCACCTCCACCTTGCCTGCCCATTCTCCGAACAATTGTTAAAGAAATTATTTTAAATGTATATGCCTGATAAATCCATGGATATGAATTTGGCAAAAACTATTATGACAGAAGTAAATTGACTTTTTGCCTTAAAGTAGTTGGTGCTTTAAAATAAACTAAAGGGCTGTAACTCTGCAAAAATTAATCCAGTGAATATAATATGGCTTTTTTTTTCATGAAAAAAGAGAGAAAAAAAATGATATAATAAATAAGTATATGTGATGAAACAATAAATGTGGCATTTTCATAGTACATAAAATTAGGTTAGTTTGGAAAAGAAAATTGACTAGCCCTATATTGGTTTTCAAAAATAAAATGAGTAAATTGTCCCAAAAATATCATGTTTCTCTAAAATCTTTGGGTTTGGCCTGTTTGGTCCGTCAATTTCATTACAAGACTTTTTGTTTGATTATTTTTTTTAAAATATAAAAAATATTATGCCATCCTATTTTTTGCATCTCATTTGTTAATAAAGCATATAAAAAGACCCTATAAGTGTATAAAACTGAGTTAAACAGGTATTAGATTTTAAATGATAAATTTATAGATAAGATCATAAGTGATCAAAATATATTAATCTAAATTGACATTACTGATTGTCTTTATTTTATTTAATACAGCTGAAACCTCTTTTAAAAATAAAATTCCCATACTAGGGCAGTCAACATATAATTTTGTACAAATTTGGTCATTTTCTTTTTCTTTAACAATTTTTTTTTACATTCACCACTTTTGAATTTTCCCAAAAAATTATTTTTGTGTTTCAGCATGAAAAGAGCTCAAACTTAGAGAAAAGCCTTGCAGTGAGTTTGATGGACCAAACAGCCTGTAATAATAGTTCTACTTTCAATGCGTTTTTAAAAACGGGAAAAAGGGGACACAATCGTAAAACCGGCTTACCTGAAGGTTTAGAAGCTCCACCCACTTTTGTCACAGTTTCTACTTTCCGTGTTGTCGTTACAGTCTTACCATCTAGAAATAAAATCCCGAACACTGCATGCTTTAAGCACATCCAACAATATATAATACCGAAACTTATGAAACAATCAGATGCAAAAACAGCAGACGCCAATCTTTTTATATGATTATAAATCGTTTCAACACATTTTCAGGCAGTTTTGTTATACATATAATGAAGGCAGCAAATTTTTACATTATGTTATTGATGTTAATTTTGGTTAATCGCCAAATTCCATCAATGATAGGGATGTAACAAAGATGTAACAGATTATGATGTTATCCCACAAATGATCGTTTAATGGTCATAAAACATAATGCACAGTTTGATTAAAAACAATCAACAGAAATTCTCAAGTAACAATATTGCCAAGACCAGATTTCCATGTATTATTTGATGTCTTCTTACACTGTATATATATATATATCTATAAAATATCGCCATAAATTTTATTTTTGGTCAGTTCGATTCCGGACATATTTCTAACATTATTATCTCAAGTTTGAAATAAAAACATTGAATTTAGCAAATATAATCAGGGTAAGTCAACAGAGTATATATGGTACTTTTAAAATGAGGGTATTTAATGGATAAAGACGGTACTCCTAACTAGGATTCTGGTAGGGTTTTGGTAAGACCAGTAACCAGTACAGGAAAGAAGATTGGTAACCATTGCAGGAAGTGGGTGGGGTGGGGGGTGACGGGTGGTAATTCATAATAGACAGTGTGATGCAAATTGCAAGCTCTCTCATGGGCATCATTTATTGCTTTGTGACCACAATCATATCACTTTCACTATACATTTATAATTCTTCATGCCTATGATATCAGTACCAAAATGGAATATATCAGCAAGGTTGTGCAGACTGGCCTAGCTCTACAATTGGTTGCAAAGACTGTAACTGCTGGTTACTGCATTGTAAGGTTTAACTTATAATACCTACTCAATTCAATTCATATAAAGTGCTCCTTCACTCTTATACTCAAAAATTATCAATAATTTTAAGGTTTGGATGGCATCATTGGAAAAACCATAAGGTAAAATGTATGGAAAAGGGCAAATATTTTTTTCACCATTTAGGCATAGAGGTAAGGTAAAAAGGCAGCACATCAGATAATACTTTAAAAATCAGGCCTAACCTCTTGTTACTTCAGTTTTCACCGTTGACGTTTGTGACATACCAGTCTTCCCGGCTGCTTGGTCATATGATTCCAATGTCTTCTTCTTTAATAAATCAGCCTGCTTTATTTTCTCTTGAAGAGCACGCTCAGAAATATCTAAATGTGCAGAATCCTGGTGAGTAGCAGCGCGTCCAGAAAATTCCTGCATAGTTTTTTTCTTCTGTTCATCGGCCAGTTTCATCTAAATCACAGAAAAATCGGTTTAGTCTTGTATCTAACATATCATTTTTTAATATCAAAACTAACCAACAATATTGAGCCTGATCAGACTGTACAGACATTCAGGCTAGCCTGACTCTATACTGGTGAAATAGTTTTGTCAATGCTTGCTATTTCTAAAAGATTTTAAAGATTTCTGAAAGCCTTAGCCTTCTGACGGAAATTGTACCCATGCAACCAGTGCAGACTAAGTTCAACCAACACAACAGTGTCGTCTGATCATGGTATGCATCGTTCATTATTTCAGTCAGTACTTAATTCTAAATTTTCCCTTAAAATGATGAATGGTTTTGTCCAGAATTTTTTTTTTAAATTTTCCCTTAAAATGATGAATGGTTTTGTCCAGAATTTTTAAATTTTCCCTTAAAATGATGAATGGTTTTGTCCAGAATTTTTAAATTTTCCCTTAAAATGATGAATGGTTTTGTCCAGAAATTTTAAATTTTCCCTTAAAATGATGAATGGTTTTGTCCAGAAATTTTAAATTTTCCCTTAAAATGATGAATGGTTTTGTCCAGAATTTTTAAATTTTCCCTTAAAATGATGAATGGTTTTGTCCAGAGTTTTTAAATTTTCCCTTAAAATGATAAATGGTTTTGTCCAGAATTTTTAAATTTTCCCTTAAAATGATGAATGGTTTTGTCCAGAATTTTTAGATTTTCCCTTAAAATGATGAATGGTTTTGTCTAGACTGAAAGATGGACTAGTTCATTAAATATACTCAGGGTGGTAAGGTATAAAACGCACCCTCTCACGAAGCTGCTGTTCAGCCAAATCAAGGTGTTTAGACTCGTGATGGTCGGCTGCTTGTTTCTGGAACTGTTCCATTTTTTTCTGCTTCATAAGGTCGGCCTCCCGATGTTTTCTCTTGATGGGATCTTCTGTCTCCACATGTCTCGCAGCTCGCTTTGCCTCCCATTCTTCTGTTAAATGTAAAAACAAAAAAAGCAACGAAAATTTAGAATTGTTAACTTGCAGAGAAACATGTAACAGACCTAAGTCATGCTAATTATGTTAGTTGTATGTATGTAGTTGACCACGTCACATACCTATTTGGAGCAAAATTTGTAATTGACTAACTTTAAACTAACTAAATTTTTACAATAAATTACATGTACAGTCAAAAACTTGTAGTGCAGGTAAGTAATTTTTCTTGTTGCAGACTTTTGGAAATAATTTGATCGTTTTCCTAATCTACGAAATATAAAGGATTAGACTACAGTTTGCTCATTCATACAATCAGTTCACTTAGCTTTCAAAATTCTGTCTTCTTCAGAAAAAACTAAGTTGGTTTGATTATTCACACATGCATATGGAAATCTGAACTGACAATGTTGTAAAATAAGAAATGTTACAACTTTTTTTTGCAAAAGACCTATTAATTTTTTTCTTTTGCTTCACAATTCACATTGCATAAAATCTGCATTGTTTCTGATGGTTTGAGTGTGCTATAAACTAGGTGAAACTGCACGAGAAGAAAAACTCTTGTGTAACAATGTGATATAGGTAACTAATTACCCAGAAGTCTTTGCAAACTATAAAACACGGAATAATCATTGTTAAGGATGCAATTAACTTCTTCACATCAAAACAATGTCTACGTGCCAAAATGAAAACACTAAACAATTGTGTTCCTGACTTTTTTTCACCCTGATATATTGCATTAACACATTAGTATCTGTTCATCAACACAAGACGCATTTAAAAAATATATTGTAATTTACCAACTGGTTGGTGAAGTATGTACAGGTAAAAAAACCAGTCAAAAAATAAGAACATAAATACTAAGATATAATGTTTTCATCATGATTTCAACAGATAACAAATATACAATAAACTGACACTTTTAAACACCCAATAAACTCTGATTATCCTTAAAAAGTTGGGAAATTTTATATAAATAGGGAAAATGATCAGATTATGCCCAAAATTTCAAATTCAAATATCTGGGAAAAGTTATTCCTTCCAGACTGTGGCCAAGGCTTGATCTAAGTTACATTACACCAAACACTAAGTAAGGGTTATTTCCAAGGAGATAACTCTTACACCATCATCTAAGATAACTCTTACAACATTACCTAAGATAACTCTTACATCATTATTTAACATAACGCTTGTATCTAAGATAACTCTTTCATCATAATCTTAGATAACTGATCCTACACCATCACTAAGTTAAAACTATAAACCTTCCCACAGCTATCTTTACACCTGAAGTATCAATGTCTTTTGTAAGATCTGAACCTAGAGCAGTTCAAAGCTACTGGGTCAAACTGGCCTTCAAATAAAAATTTTGTATAGTAAGGTAACAATAATTAGCTTGATTTCAACATCATTAAAATCAGATCATGGTTTTTGCTCTAATTTTACTCTTTGCTATTAGGATATGATTTAAATGAGATTGGCTTGACATAAACTTACTCATATGTTGGTCTCTAACTTCTTTTATGCGAGCTCGGATCTTTTTCCTCTCATCAAAATTGTCTGACTTGCTCAACTGAAAGTGTTAAAGACACAGTGAGTTATTAAAGAAAGTATTATAAAATACTAAGTGTATTTTGTCCACAGTGGAAAATCTTATGTTCTCTTTGTTTTTCGTTTAGTATCATGTTTTATTGGTGTTATTATGTGACAGAGCATGCACATACATTCTTTGGCTATAGTGTATCATACAGAGTTTAAGTGGTGATAAGCCCAGGTACTAGTGGTGATGGACTCCAGTTTACTAGTGGTGATGGATTCATGTTTACTAGTGGTGATGGACTCAGGTTTACTAGTGGTGATGGATTAAATGAGCCATTTCATTTTAGTTCAGTTTAAATATACTTGATTTGATTTGGGCTTAATCACTTTTAAGTCCCTTGCTTCATGGAGCTAACAAATACTGGTTACATATGAAGAAACAAGGCTGTTACCATAGAAGGGAACAAACCTCAAATCCTGTATTGAGAGGCAGACACCTGCTTATACCACAAGGCATTATTTCAGGTAAAAAACTATATACTTGATAAAGTTTCAATAATTACAAGTTTAATGTAAATGCACCTTGAAAATTGAACGAAATTGAAATTGACAAAATTAAAATAAATTCACTTCAGAATAAAGCTTCAGCCAATCAAATCTATAAACAAAGTAGGTGGCATTTCAAAATGCAGTGTTGAAGAATTCTAAGAATTCTTTTGTTATTATAAACCTGTGTGATATAAACCTTATTTTCATGTGCCACTTGGAATAGCAATAAAATAAATTCCAAACTGTTTACACAGCACATTTTCTAGCAGACTTGTTTTTTTGTGTAAACATTTTCCTAGCACAAAGAATACTGGGAATAGTTTGTATCTTAGAGAAATCAATTTATCCTAGAAGATATTATGAGATAGCTATCAAAGTTAACATGATTTTGATGATATAGAAATTTGATTTCTCCGAAAAACATGATTATCTACATGAAATAAGAAATATTTGTGGGTATTCTAAATTATAGAATTCTCTTCAAATGAGTTAGACTGTAGTTTCGCACCAAATGTAATTTATGCATTATTCACATTATGACCCCTATGCTCCCTTGGCTCCCTCATCCCTAAAGAAGTACTGGGGACTTTTCTTGGACAATTAAATACTTAAAAGGGCCAAATTTGACTGCACATTCACCCAATATCCTCCATACTTCCCCGAGGATTGGGGGCAGTCTTGTTCAAATCTGGTACTCCAAATTAGACTGACAGCCAAATAATATTGTGTAAAGAAATGTTGAACCTTACAGTTTAAAATTTTCACAGCACAGTATTAAACCCCCTAAACATTTTAGCTTCCCTTACTCTTCTCATTTGTATAACATGATTTAGAGCTGCTTAATGAATCAGGAAATGTCCATAGGGATACAAGGGGTATCCTTATTGAAAATGCTAAATACAGAGAACTCTTAAAACCATAAAGAAATCTAGAAGTGTATAGAGAAATCTAAAAACCAACATAACAGTATAGAGAAATCTTATATCATTAATTTGATTTAAAATGACTAATTACCAGGTCATTCAATTTTTCCTCGTCTGTGATGGTGGAATAGTCCATGTTAGATGTGGAGGGGGCAGAAGGGTCCCAGTACTGGACAAATTTACGACTTGAACCACAGGCGGTCTTCTCCTCTTCCTTCTGAAAAAAAATAAATCACACCAATTTTAAATTACAACAATTTTAAAATTACAACAAAATTTTTATTGTAAACACCCGTACATTGTAAATGCCCTGAAATGATGTTAGTTAATCATATATCTGAAAATGATCATAAGCAGTCCTAAAATAACTAAATAAATGATGCAGCATTTCTAAAAATAAATGTAATCACTGAATAAGTAAAAAGATACAATCTTTACCTGAAATAACTGAATAAGGGATGCCACATTTCTTCTACCAACTGCTGTCATTTTTTATATAATCAAACGATAACTTAATCACTTATATTGTCCAAATTCAATTTTAAACCTTAATTCAAACATTTTTATGAAAAAATAACCACTTTCTATTGCATTCCAAAAATGTGAAAAAAATCTCTAATTCTCTTTGTTTTCATAATGAAATGTGGTGTGTCAACATGAACATCTTCAAACAAACAATCTGGCAGTAGGAACCTTAAACTATTTCTATATTTACCATTACAGGGTGAAATTACCCCAATCTAAGGACAATTATTGTATGAAATGGTACACATTTATTGCTGTTGTTTCCTTTGAAAGTTATTAGCATTTAAGAGTTTGATTACAGAAAATGTCAATAAAACTGGTGTCCATTTTATAATACACTTGACCACATTAAAGCTTTTGAAGATTACTTGTGGGTAACTTTAATTATAAAGATATGACCTTATTGGTCCTCTATACTTCCTGTGGTGACACTAGGTGTAACCGTCAATGTTTAGTGCAGGACGAAATTCTTGAGCCAAATTAACTTATATTTAACCAGTAAATGCTGGTATTATGGCAATTTTTTAAATTTAAACTACTGTATTAAAAACAGGGAACCTAACCTTGTCTTAACATTTTGAAATTAAGGATCCCGCACTTAACATTGTTGGTTGAATGGGGTAGAACTTTGAGATCTTGCAGTCTGTTAAATAAAGGCCAGTATCATACTGTAGTATAGTTTCAGTAAAACAAGCAGACTTATCATATTATTGTTTTATACTTAAATTTCTGTATTCTAATATTGAAATCACTGATATATTACACATATACAGATCATTTTCCAAATTACATATCTTTATTTGAGAAAAGTTACAGGTATATTAAGAATTTGATATGTTTTATGCAAAACCATGATTCTAAATACCAGAATTCATAAATGATTACGTCCAAAAATATCTTTTATTTTCACCCGTGGTTGGAACAATTTTATTATATACTGATCCTTCTCGATGAAATATGGTATTCCGTAAGTGAAATATTATCTGTATCACTCATTGCATGTAATGCAATGTGTTTTTTTTCTGCATATCATATGAAATGAGAAAACAATGTAAGTAAGTAAGTAAGTAAGTAAAGGCTTTATTTATCGAGGCTATGATATTTCATAGTCTCAAAATAACCCTAAGCACATTGTTTTCTCATTTTATATGATATGCAAATATGTTGAGTAAAATTTCTAAAATACCTGAAAAGAATTTGGTGCTGGAAATGTTCCACAGATATGTATTTTTCTCTTAAAATTATCATCTTGATTCATTAGTTCAGAGTTATGCATCCAATTAACTTATATTTATGGCTTTGAAAAACAAGAATTCATTTTCAAAGATAGAATCAGCTGGAGATAAAATTTTACTCTAAATGCCACATAATTCCTCAAATTTTATGAGAAAATAAGCATGAAGACTTTGAGATTTTGAATCTTCAATATTTTCTTGCAGAAAGTTATGATTTCTAGACTTTCATAATAAATGACCTTAAGGGTCATTTGAAGAAAGTGAGAGAGTTACAACAGTAGTGTTTGTAACAGAGAGGATGTTGCTCACCCTATGGTTAATGCGACATTAAGGAGAGCTTGAACAGAAAGGTTCAAGGTCAATGACCATAACAAGTGATCAGCAATTGATTTTATTAAATGACATAGATCGGGTATAGGCACTTAATTCTAGGCAATGGTTAATTTTAAGATATTGACCTTGAAGTGGTAAGTTCATGATTAAAGTGTAACAAATGACCTTAATTTGAGATTAATTGGCAACATTGTGAAATGATAATTGATAATGGATTAGAGATCAAAGACATTAAGAGTTGAAGGTCAATTGATTCAAGGTCAATAATCTTAGCCACTTAAAACAGAGGCAGTAATGATACTGTAACTAGCTGTATTTTATCTATATATTTTATGTTTAACTATCAGTGGGCAATTTTCACAGCAGAGTCAGATTTTGTTACCAGCTACTTCCACTAGATATTCCCATGAAACATCGTTTAATAGGCTCCTATACAGCCTGCTACATCCATTGAATCATTAATACATCATTGATATTCTCCCAAACTAATTTAGTACCTGACAAAAATACAGCTATTTCAATGTATGTAGCAAGGCTGATAAGCCAAGCCAGGTATATGTGTGAAAATAAAGACCTGATAACGATCACTACATGCTGAGAACAAGCAGGAATAAAAAGTTCTAAGGAATATATTTTTAAACATTGTTTCTATGTCTTGTATTAATGTTTTTATGATAAATACGTGGATTGTAGCAATTTGTCACTCAAACAATAATTTGGCCTTCATTTGAACAAAATGTCCTTAAATGGCATTCTTTATTGTACAGACTGAAGCACCATTTCGTCCTCAAAAGATGCGGACTTTTTTTTTCTTTATTGTGAACAGAATTTGCCCTTCAAAAGTGGCATTATTTTATAGTGAACAGCATTTGCTCTTCAAAAGTGGGATTCTCGCATTGTGAATAAAAATGCTGATTTTTTGCAAGTTTTTTTTTTAACAGAATTTGTCAATAACAAATATAACTTTCACATTGTGCATGATGTGCCTATTGTGAACAATATCTGTGCAATTTATCTTTCCTTGCTCTAAGCACTCAGAGACCACAAAATATGAACATTATAAATCATAATATCATGGTGTATACTAATTGTTAAAATCATTTTCTCTACTGTTTTGGTTTTTCAAGTAACTAGTATACAATACAGCCATGAATTTACTCTGGACTGTTTACAAGGCACTGACAAATCATTTAGCAGTCTGAAGCAATTATAACGCCCATCGTCCTTTATGTTTCAATAGAGACAAAAAATCTAAATAAATAAAAGACCAGAAAAGTTTGTTACACCCTTTATACATCGAACAATTTTCTTTAAAGAACCCAATGATATATAACTTTTGGGAAGAAAAGTAAGAGAATCAAGATCTGTATCAAAGAAGTTATGAGAAACAAGATTAGAATGTTACAGAATGTTAATACATTTTGCAGCAACTAGAAACTCCACTCCAGGTATTATTTTTTTTAGATTACTTTCTTGGATGTTAATCTTGCTTTCTCTTGGTAGTCTGAATTTATGTGACCTTATGATGAACTTTATGAGCTTATTACATAGATGTCATAACAATTGATATATTCTCATAATAACTAGTTAACTTCATTATCAGTAATAATATAATATATACCAACAGACGTCAGAGAGAAGGGGCATTTATTTAATGATATACAGTACCCAGGAGAAAGGGCATTTATTTAATGATTTAAGGTACAGAGAGGGGCATTAATTTATTGATTTAAGGTACCAAGAACACTTTGAGAGAGAAGGGGCATTTATTTATTGATTTAAGGTACCAAGAACACTTTGAGAGAGAAGGGGCATTTATTTATTGATTTAAGGTACCAAGAACACTTTGAGAGAGAAGGGGCATTTATTTATTGATTTAAGGTACCAAGAACACTTTGAGAGAGAAGGGGCATTTATTTATTGATTTAAGGTACCAAGAACATTTTGAGAGAGAGGGGGCATTTATTTAATGATTTACAGTACCCAAACCAAGTGGCTTTTACTTTGACAGACCAAACTGGTATTTCGTATCCTAATTATGGCTTCCACTTTTAACAGACTTGGCCCCTTCTTCAGAGGAAGGCAAGGGAGATTACTCTGAAGTATTTGGTACTTTATCTATGTTTCCATGTCAGTTCTGTCTGTGTGTGTCTAAATGTTTATCAACAGACTTCCTATTCTAACTTACACATTCTATACCTATCAACTCACTACAGTTTGCTTTTGAAACAATTCCAGCACATCTTATCCATGTTTCCAAATCAAATATCAAACACCAGAAAATGGTATCATAAGAGTCCTGGTTAAATGTTCTTTCAGTACTAGTGAGGTGTTGTGAGGACTAATCAAAGAAATAAGGAAGGGAATTAAATCTAGTAATAAGTGATCAGGGGTGTTAACTCATATGAAGTAAACCCAAAACAAGCTATGCACCTGGTCCCTTTTAATTAAAAAATGTGGTAATGCAATTTGCAGGAGATGTAACTATGCAGTTATTGTGTTACATTACACTTGATTTTATAGCAATTAATGCCAATTATAAAATAAAATGTCCAAATAGAAAAATATATGGCAGAGGACAATGCGGCCATTTCTATAATCTTAAGTTGGGCAGTTAGTTCTTTGGAAATCAATCAATCAAGGTATGTAACTAAACATTAAAGGAAAACACCTAAAACCTGTAATTATGTTAATAATAATGAAAGAACACATGAAAACATGCTTTATCTGTATAAAATCATATTTTGGTATATTGATATTGGTTACCATGGTTTTATTATCATAATAATCAGCTGTTCCAACAATAAACAATCAGAATTCAACCCCGAAGATATCTATGATAGAAAATGGATCTGAAGGAGTATAAAGCAATAATAAACAGTCAGCTGTCAATTAAAATATTACCAGAAAATCATGCTTTCATTGATCTTTATGTACAAACAAGTGGTGTTCACATGTTTCTATACATTCCATTTCATATATTTAAGATGATCTGGAATATTCTGGTGCAAATCTTAAGTGTTTTAGCCTTTGCCCTCTCTGCTGAATTCTAATAAAGCACAATAATTATTGAATTAGAATTTTGAACAAATTTCATGGCTTTTGACATGGTCAATTCATTTTA